ATACATGTTTTAGTAAGGCTGGCAGGCTATGACTGTTTAAAAGGTGAAGAGAGAGCAGGGAGTTCTGAAGAACATTTGAGGGAGAAAAAAAAAATACTTTTGAGTATTTGCCTTCCAGAATAAATACCTTACCCACTTCACCATATCAATGCTGTGTAATATCATACATCCTGCATCATTCCAAGCATCCTTATAATTATTTTAAGAAGCATCTCCTCAGTTCATCTCAGATGCTAATCCCCCCTGAAACTAATAGTTTATTCACCAATTAATACATCCACACTGGCAATACTGTATTCAGTATTCACCTTCATCTTTTATTAAACCCCATTTAGTTATATGCTTCTATTCTTTCACATCAACAAGGTTGTTTGTATTTTTCATTTTTATTTTTAATTATGCTTCTATTGGAGAAGAAAAAAAAAAAGAAGTAATTTTGGAATTCAAGTAAATTTTTTTTTGGTGCACTGATATAACTGGAATATATACATATACCATTAACTACCACTTGTGCATATTACACATTCCGCTCACAAGTATTATGTGAGTTTGGGATTGCCATGTCCCAGATTCAGGACCTTGTACTTGGTCTTGCTGAACCTTGTGGGGTTTGCTCAGGCCCACCTGTCAAGCCTGTCAACATCCCCCAAGGTATCTCTATACCATGCTTCCATGGTATTAAAATATGGTGCTCTGGCCTGTGTTCCATAACTTTCCTTGTGTTCTTGTGATACTAGCATTTTATTTTTTTTCTGACATCCAACAGTATGAGCAGACTTCTGAAAAGGCAGATATTCCTCAGATAAATCACACATAGCTGTAAGTTCAGTGTTAAGTTTACCTTTGATATGTGCTTACTTAGCAAATCTGACACATTAGACCTACTCAGCATGCAATAATGACTCTCTTAGAAATTCTGAAGTTTAGCTATCTTAGCATGTGAACACCTCCCATCAGTGCCACAGCTGGAGTATCCAAGAGGAATGAAATAGCTGGGGAAAGAAAAAAAGGACTGGTAGCTAATGCCTAATCCTGTGTTAAGATACTGAAATGCAGAAGTCTGGGGATTTATTTTAGCCTCAACACTTGAGTATTTGACACTTTTATCAAAAAATCTTTTTACTGTCAAAACGTACCTCATTACAAAGGTATCCAATTATAAGTTATTTCTTTTCTTGCAAGAGAGGCAAAAGCATTTCTCTCTCCTCCGTTCCATTATACATGATGAGTTTGAATTTGCACCTAATACTTGGCTTTTATCTATACTCTTTCATGCAAAAATCGCAAGGTGTTAAAAAATAGTTATGCATAAATTAGATTTTTATGCCTTAGTCCACCCTTTTTAGTTAAGAAGTGAACACAATTAATTGCAGTATCTGGCATGGATTTGGTCTGGGTGTTTCTTAGGAAGAAGAAAAAAAAAAAAAGAGAACTAGGCAAAAACAGCTGGGTAGCAAAATCAATCCTGGACATCGCTGTAAGCAGCCATGCAGGATGGCTCTAACTTTGATTCCTCAGGAGAACCACAGCCTAGGCCCATCCTAGACCATAACTGACACTAACGAAGGAGAAAAAAACAAAGAGACTCCCTGCATCAACACATTTAACAAGCAGCATTTGCCAGCAGACTTCCTAGTGGATCCCCCACGTAGCTGCTATTTCTTGGTGAAGAAAGCTCACTCTGTTGTATTTACTTCATTTTTTACAGGAATATGTAGACAGTACCTGCCTGGTATAATGGGACTTACATCCTATGTTGTATCTGTCTGTATTGCGCCAAAGCAGCTGTACTGCATTGATTACTTCTTTACTAACTACTGCCTGTTTTCTTCACTCTGACAGGTTTAGACTTCTCATTTCTTTCAGTCTGTATTTTACAAAGGCTTAAACAGAAGTATCCTTTTTAAAAACAATCAAAAAAAAAAAAATTAAACTTTCCCCATAATTTGCCAATGGTAACATTTCTATCCCCACTGCATCTTTTTGTCCACAGTGGATATCATGCAATGAAAATTAAAGTCATAATCTTTTTAAGATATGAAGTTTAATAATGTCATTCAGCTCATGAGTGATTCATTCTGAGAGCAAGTATGGGAACAAAAGTAATATAATTATGAGGATTGCTTATGAGACCTCAAGAGGTAGAACCTTGCAAGGCCTGAGAATTAAACCTCATAAAAGATGTAGAAGAATCTCACAGGAAAAGATCAGACAAAGTCAGGGCAGACTGGCCACAGAAGAAATGTCTTGATTGCTGTTGAACTGCTTTCCTTTGGCAAAATGAAAATGATTTGTTATTTATTAAGTATTGACACAACGATGACTGCAGCTATTTATGAAAGGTTGGGAAATGTGCAATAGCACTTCTTCCTCTACTTGAGTACAGAGTACCAAGGGCAGAGCATAGTGAGAGAGAATAAGACTTTGATCACTACTTAGTAAATCAAGTGAAATTATTATAATAGCAGGATTTATTTTAATTCAAAGACCCAGAAGTGTAAAGCTACCCTCTGTTCTATTTTGCAGCTACACTCTATGATTTGTTCTAGTTTATAATCTTCTTCCAGGAAGAAATCAGCTCCCAAAAGAAATGGCCACATAAGCCTCATATTTTGTATTTTTGCTCTGTCTTGTGCACAATAATGTTTCTAGCTGCCAAGAAACTTGAAGAACAAAAGTAGAACAAGAGTAAAACAAAATATCAAAGTTTCCATAAATCTTATGAAAAAAAATGGCTGGCAACTACAAAAGGAAAACCACAATAAAACCTCCTTTTACCTTATTCTCGCCCCTCTTTCCACATTGCAGTAGGTACTCAGTTATTGTGAGGCATCAGAGAACCCATAGAGGTCCTCTATCTCAGGACACATTTCCAGAAAAATCTCATTAAAAACCTCGAGTTGTTCCACCTGTTCTTGTGCCAGCTTTTAAATTCCAAACATATAAAATTCACTTTTAGGCTAGAAACTGTCCTTGGTAAGCCTCTAGTCCAAACTCTGTAGCCATAAAATAACACATTTGCATCAATTTCTCAACACCATGTTTCCTCCTCCCCTCTTCTTGTTCTCCTACAGTTCCTTCACTGTTAGTACTCATCTTGTACATCTCAAAATGTTATCAATTTCTTGATCTTCTTTCACACATTTCCCTCCTCCCACTTTCCAGCTTTTTATCCCTCCCTACTTGACCACACACTTCTAGCTTCATAACTCCCTTTAGCTGTTAGAGCTGCACATATCAAATATTCTTCTGATGAGAGGAACACAATCCAAATGGATTGACAATACATCATGGACATATTAAAGTGAGTCCAGGGAAGGGCTATGAAGATGATCAAAAGGGCTAGAGCACCTCCTATGAGAGAGCTGGGGACGTTCAGCCTGAAGAAGAAAAGGCTCCAGGGACACCTTATAGCAGCCTTCCAGTACCTAAACAGGGCCTACAGGAAAGCTGGGGAGGAACACTTTGTCACAGACTGTAGGGATAGAACAAGGAGTAATGGGTGTAAACTAAAATAGGGGAGAATTTAGATATTTGGAAAAAATTCTTTACTCAGAGAGTGGTTAGGCACTGGAACAGGTTGCCCAGAGAAGCTGTGGATGCCCCATCCCTGCAAGTATTCAAGGCCAAGTTGGATGGGGCTGTGAGCAACCACGTCTAGTGGGAGGCATCCCTGCCATGGTGGAATTAGATGGTCTTTAAGGTCCCTTCCAACCCAAACCATTCTATGACTATGATAAATCCCTGTATTCAAACAGAAGACACAGGCGGACAGTAGTGGAATGGGGTGGATGATCACAACAGTCACCATTAGACCAAACACTTGAAATATACTATGCAAGGAGGATGCAGAGGAAAGGATGCTCCTATTCTTTACAGGCAGAAAGCTCAATACAAAAGGTAATTCATGGTTTGCAGTACTAAGAAAATGGAGGCATCTCCACTTTTTGTACACAGAAGCTCTGCTACTTTTCCTAGCATTTCATGTCTAGACATCTTTCAATTCAGCTCCTTCTGAGGATTTTCTCCATTGCATTTTCACTGCACCTACAAGGAACACAAATGTATGTTCATGTCTGGGGGCTGTGTAAAGCAGAAGTTGCCAAGGGGTCCAACTAGTGTATCACGTGAGCTACCCAGTGTGTTTTTTTCCTCAGGACAAGATTTCTACAGCTATTTTGCCCCAAATCTCTCTCAAGTAACTTCTGTGATTCATTCTCTCCCACACCTAAAAATGTAGTTATCTTGGTTACACTTAAAATAAGTTGACTACCTTATTTTTTTATTCCAGTCTCAAGCCTAAACCTTCATCACAACTTGGTCCTCAAATTTTGTAGAAGATTATACTACACTGAGACCTTGCTTCTTCCCAGCCAGCCTAAACAACTCTGCACAGTACTTCCACACCACTCCCCAGATTGTGCCTACATGGGTGACTGTAAACTGCTGCAGCTTTGTATCCTACCCAGAGCTTTCTCTGTGTGTAATTTACAGCTCACAGTCTGGAGAAAATTCTCCTCTTGATATCTGGACCAAAATAACTGCCCTCCCTGATGCCCCCATGAAAAGGATTAGCTCTTCTACATTTGCTTGTAAATGAAAATCCTGGGGACATGTGAGAGAGGAGGGACCAGAGAAAAACACTGCCTTACCTACCCATAACAGAACTGTGGTTTTACAGGGAAGATACTATTTACCCAATCACTCTCATACTTCAGCAATTAAACATTATTCAGCTGGATGAAAGTAAAATAAAACAGAATAAAATAAGATAAAATAACATAAAATGATTTTTAGCAATGCATATGCACTACTTCCTCCCACACACACCACCACTACAAAGACAACAGAGAAGCTGAACAGGAGTCTGCAGCTTCTCATGCTTCATTAACAAGGTAATTTGCTAAACTCTGCAACTCTGATTGCAGGCCCTGTGTTCGCGAAGGTGTTGTTAATAAATTAATCAAAAAGAGTGAAGTCTGCACAGGAGTCACAGAGAACTTAATTTGACTCCTCATTTTCAATATTGATCATTTCTTGGGAAAGAAAAATAAAATCAGAAATTCAATACTGTTTCTGGAGACCTGGTTGAGTTTAGTGTTAGCAGCTCATAGGCCTGTTATTTTATTTAGTGGATTTTATATTAGGGTTTTTTTTCAGAGGTGACTCTCAGCTTCACCATGTTGATGTCCCTTTCCAGAACAGCATTCAGAAAGATATGCAATGCCTCTCCCAAAAAAAGAGCTTCCTCTGACACTTGCTTTTAATTATACCTTGGAGACGCAACTGAGCAGGCTATGACAGACAGGCTCTCTCCTGGATGGTACTTCTCCAGGAAGTGGCTGAAAGGTAAATTGGAAATATAACTTTTGTTGCTATCAAGCTATAAATATATGCAAAAGAATCAGTCCTACTTTAATGCTTTAGTAGCAAGCAATTTTTTTATGAGCATGTACTGGCAAGATGGATCAAGCAGGGAACTTGACAGAAGACAGCTGCTTAATCTGCCAGAAAAATGAATCTGGTTTAATCCAGGCTATTTGTTTTACAAGCAGCAAAAAGCAATGCTGCAAAACCTGAGAGGCTAAACTGATCTCTCAGCATTTGCCTTCTGTAAAAAATATTCATCTATGAAATCTAGATTATCTATCCATTTAAATGTCTTTCAGCATTGACCACTGCAATATTAAACTCAGTTTCAAATTTTTTTTTCTTGCTTCTATGACAAAAAGCTTTAAAAATTATTATTCCATGTTACAATGAATTGTTTCTTTTTTCCCACCCTGTAGGGTATATGGGCTTTGTATTTGCCTGCAGGAAACAGCTTGCATTGTTTTTTCAGTGTTGAACTTGCAGCACAGCTTGCAGAGAGCCAGAATAAAGGCTGATTAAAAGTAAATAACAAAAGAAAAATAATAAAACCCCACAAACATTCAGCATTTCCACAGTGGCTGTGTGCTTAGTTTTTCAGGAAGCCTTCAGGACCCTTAAAAATGGACCCTTAAGCAAATGTCACAGGCACGTTTATAGAACTGGAATCAGCAATTTAAATGAAGAAAGTTATGTTACCAAGTCTTATCCTAAGCCATAGTGCTGACCAGTTATGCACCAGAAATAATTTCTTCATACCTCATACAGTCTGCACTAAAACCTCATCTTCTGAGACACAGCTCTTCGAGAAACTAAGGGCACATCCCCTTCTGCTTACTTTTTGCTCATCTGGTGATGGTGTAATTGCAAGAGCCAAGGAGGGTCACACTGATGAAGAAGAGGACAGGTCTCTGTGGGGAAGACATTACCTCCACACCTCTCCCCAGTGGCTGCTGATGCAGTGTGCTCACAGAGTCCCAGACCAAATTTCAAGCTGTGCTACTTCGGAGGAAACCTGATTGCAGTACCACTGCCTGCCTGCCTCACAGGACTCAGAAAAAAAGAGATAATGATAGTCATTGGGAAGAATAATCTGACCTACTAATGCACCTTACAAGTCTCTAAATTACCTGCAACCACAGAAGGAAAAAAGGACTTGGATGCTTCTCTGAACAACTCAATAACAGTCTCTGCTCAATATATGATATCGATCAAAAGGGCAAACAGAATGTTAGGATGCAAACAGTGGTGTTGAAAACGATATTGAAAGAAGACACCATCATATAAATCAATGAGAGAGCTTCCTCTGAACCACTGTTCTGAGCTGATCACTTCATCAAAAAAGGATGTGCCATAAGGTTTACAAAGACAAAACAAAAATGAAGAAAGGCTTGGGAAAACATCGATTATGTGGAGAATGAAATCATTGGGACAGTTCAGCTTTGAGAGATACTGTTTAGGGTTCCATGAATAATTTGTTCAGTAAATTCAACTTAGGGGTAGCTGGGAATTTTGTAACCACACAGTTTTAGTAGAAAAAGTCAATTTGTCAAAAGAGAAGTATTTTGCTGAAATGTATTGTTTCAGAAAAGGATTTCAAAGGAAATACAGACAAGGTTTCTGCCTGTCAAGCATTTTTCTCCAACAAGAAACATGCCTGACTTTCTTGAAGTAGGCTATAAATTATCCTAGCTCACAGATCTGTGTCATGGACCCCCTCAGATTTAGGGGGCAATCGTTTAAGTTCAAAACTCCAGGGCAAAGACACTCTGGGGATGACCAAGATTTTGAAACTCAAAGTTTCCAGAACTCTAGGAGCTTTGGCTCCAATACCATTCTGTTATAAAGTCGGAAATGGATGAGCAGGAATAAAATTTACATTTTATTATGAGTGATGGTCATGGGGGCAGTGATGTGCAATCACTGTCTATGTGGGGCAGGTGAGAGAACACAGTAGTTCATGTGACCCACTGTCCTAATAGCAAAGATTTGTGACACAAAATTCCTTTGGGGATTCTTGGTAATGAATCTTTTCCCCAGAGCATTCTAACATGTACAGTTACAACTTTCTACCCCCTAATTTTAAGAACTTCCTATTTTTATGTTAAATCAAAGAAAACTGTGGAATTTTTCTATTCTTATAGCCATCTGTAGGAAGCTGCCCTCACAGAATTCAGAGAAACACAGGACAGAGGAGCGGTGGCCTTGTAAGATTCCTAAGAACGAAGACAGCAAAGTGCTCTGATTTCACAAAAATGACAAGCAGACTTGGGGGAAGGAGGGAGGGAGAGGCTGACTTTTGTTAAGTGAAATATTGGAATATAACCTTTTTGAAATGTCAGAATTTTTAACAGAATAAAAATACCAATTGTCTGCCTTCAGTGTAGTTACTTGTTTATAGAAAAAGGGCACATCATTTAGTGAAATTGAAAGTCAAGAAGTTGAAATGATTTCAAAAAAGAATACACTTAATACAAGAAAAAAAAAAAATATGGAACTCATATTTCCAATTATACTAGGCTGGAGGAAAATATATTTGGAAGGAAAATAAAAATCAATCACTTCAAGCCATGAGATCACCACTAAACAAAGAAACTTTCCAATGCAATTTACTCTTTATTTCTTTGCTTTGGAAATGTCTGCAGTTCCCCTAAGGATACCCCCTCAGTCACTCTTGGAAACTGGTTATTGGGGTATCTGGATTGGTAATCTTCCTGAAGAAAGCATGGTTTATGATTCCATAAAGCTTCAGTCATGTGGTGGTTTTAGCCTGCTGGGCAGCTGAACTCCACCACAGCCACTCTCTCACTCCCTCTCCTGAGCAAAAGAGGAGAAAAAATACGATGGAACAGGCTCAGGTGTTATAAGGGCAGGGAGAGGAGATCACTCACAAGTTATTGTCAAAGGCAAAACAGACTCAACATAGGGAGATTAAAGTTATTTATTGCCTATCACGAACAGAATACTGCAATGAGAAAATAAAAGCAAATGAAAAACATCCCCTCCCCTCTACCCCCCCTTCTACATCCACTCCCCAAGACACGCAGAGGAACAGGGAATGGGGGCTGTGATCAGTCCCTAACGCTTCATCTCCACCGCTCCTTCACGGTTACTCTCTGCCCCTGCTCTATGTGGGATCCCTCCCACGGGATGCCGTCCTTCCCATAATGATCCCACAGGGGCTGCACACGGGCAGCAGCTCCTCAAGCACTGCTCCCACACGGCTGTGTACCACAGGGTCCACCCATCAGGAGTAAACTGCTCCAGCACGGGTCCCACATGGGCAGAAGCTCCCCCCAGGCCCCTGTTCCTGCGTGGGCTCCTCTCCACAGGCTGCAGCTCTGGCCCAGGGCCTGCTCCTGTGGGGGCTCTCCATGGGCCGCAGCCTCCTCCAGGCCACATCCACCTGCTCCACTGGGGGCTCCTCCATGGGCTGCAGCGTGGAGATCTGCTCCATGTGGGAGCCATGGGCTGCAGGGGGACAGCCTGCTCCACCAGGGGCCACTCCACAGGCCATAGGGCAACTTCTGCTGCATGCCCGGAGCATTTCCTGCCATCCTGCTGCACTGACATTGGTGGCTGTAGGGCTGGTTCTTACTCCTCTCTTTCTTCCCCAGCTGCTGTTCCCCAGTGTTTTTTTGTTTGTTTGTTTGTTTGTTTGTTTGGGGGGGGGGTGTTTTGTTTTTTGTTTGTTTTTTTTCCTATCTTAAAGATGCTTTCACAGATGTGCAAACAACATTGCTTATTGGCTTGGTTCTGGCCAACGTCCAGGCCCTTAGCTGACACAGGGCAGCTTCTGGATTCTTCTTGCAGAAGCCACCACTTTGGCCACCCCACTACCAAATCCTTGCCACATAAACCCAATGCAAATCAGCACAGATATCCCATGCATTCAGGGACTGTAGGCATTGCCACTTGTAGCATCTAAGGAAAGAAAATACAGGTTATGAATTTATAATATAATATCAACATTTTAAGTGGTGACAAAAATAATGTGGAAAAACAATAATTTTAGCAACAGCAAAATAGTTTACATTTAAATATATATATATGTATACATACAAAAGACCAGGAAACCTTTTATTCAGGACATAAGCTCTTTACTGCCTGGAGTTTACACTGGAATAAGGAGAATGTTTTTCTTTACAGCAGCTCTGATGAGAGTCATATATCAGATATTTGAGAGATGAATGATATGATCTGGTATGCTGAAACCTATTTCCATTATGCACCCTAATAAGAAGTGGTTGCTAGTCTATTAGATTAGATCTTATGCACTGCTGTTACTTGGCTTTTAAATAAACATTAGTGTGTACCATCCTAGGGATTTGAAAATAATGGCTTTTAAAACATCTTTTTCCAGTACACCAAATGTTGGATCATTCGTGTTGCAATAAGGGGATGAAATCTTGCTGTGAGTCCCTGAGGTGTGTCAGTTCAAAACAGTGCAGTGCACTCTAGGGCAAATAAAACAATGGGAAATGGGAGAGTTCAGCTACTGTGGCTATTTATTCTATAGCAACTTCAGTCCAAGCCATGCTGATAGTTTTTCTAATGCTTTAAATCAAACAGCAGGCATCTGTGGCCTCAAGGTAAGAAATGCTAAATATCTGCCAGTTTCCAGACTTGAAACATTGCAGCTGCCCTACCTGAAAGAAATATTATCGTCAGTTTACCAGGAACTTCAGTGCTACTGTCATGTGCCATTTTCACTAAGGAACATGTGATTGGCACTTCACAAAACATTTAACAACTTCATCTCCCAAAGATCCAATTTTAAGTAATTTGCCAAATATCATGGTTATCATATTTTCAATTCCTTATACTGGCCACAAAAGTGCAGCCACAAGCTCTTCCATTTAATTTTTTTAACAATTTAAAGACTACTCTTGACATCTGGCCATGACATAAGAAGTTGTATCACTGTTTACTTCAGCAGGCCACCTGTCCAAGCTGTACTGGCAGTATTCCTGACTACGTGTTCCCTGGCCAATGAAAAAGAATTATAGATATAAGCATAAACTGGAATAAATTGAATAATCCCCTGAAGTGGTTTAGCTCCAGCAGGCAGCTCAGCCCCACAGAGCCGCTCACTCAGTCTCCCCTGGTGGGATGGGGGAGAGAATCAGAAAGGTAAAAGTGCAATAACACTGGGATTGAGATAAGGACAGTTCAGCGGGTAAAGCAGAAGCCATGAACAAGCAAAGCAAAACAAGGAATCCATCCACTGCTTCCCATCGGCAGGCAGGTGCTCAGCCACTTCCAGGCAAGCAGGCCTCGTCATGCAGAGCGGTTCCTTGGGAAGACAAACGCCATCACTCCCAGCATCCCCCCTTTCTCCTTCTTTACCCAAGCTCTATTGCTGAGCATGATGCCCATAGGTCCCACGGTTTCCCATAGGATCCTACTGGACAAAATGTCCAGCATACAGCTAAATAAAAACATCATACGATGGGTGAGCAATTGGCTAACGGGCAGGGCCCAAAGGGTTATGGTAAATGGGGCTGCGTCAGGCTGGCGGGCGGTCACCAGTGGGGTCCCTCAAGGCTCCATTTTAGGGCCGGTACTTTTCAATATTTTTATAAACGATCTGGATGTAGGAATAGAAGGCATTTTGAGCAAGTTTGCTGATGACACCAAACTTGGAGGAGTTGTGGACTCAAATGAGGGTGGAAAGGCCTTGCAGAGGGATCTGGATAGGTTGGAGAGCTGGGCGATCGCCAACCGCATGAAGTTCAATAAGAGCAAGTGCCGGGTCCTGCACCTGGGACGGGGAAACCCTGGCTGCACGTACAGACTGGGCGATGAGACGCTGGAGAGCAGCCTAGAAGAGAGGGATCTGGGGGTCGTGGTAGACAGCAAGTTGAATATGAGCCAGCAGTGTGCCCTGGCAGCCAGGAGGGCCAACCGTGTCCTGGGGTGCATCAAGCACGGCATCGCTAGTAGGTCGAGGGAGGTGATTGTCCCGCTCTACTCTGCGCTGGTGCGGCCTCACCTCGAGTACTGTGTGCAGTTCTGGGCACCACAGTATAAAAAGGACATGAAACTGTTGGAGAGTGTCCAGAGGAGGGCTACGAAGATGGTGAAAGGCCTGGAGGGGAAGACGTACGAGGAACGGCTGAGGGCACTGGGCCTGTTCAGCCTGGAGAAGAGGAGGCTGAGGGGAGACCTCATCGCAGTCTACAACTTCCTCGTAAGGGGGTGTCGAGAGGCAGGAGACCTTTTCTCCATTAACACCAGCGACAGGACCCGCGGGAACGGGGTTAAGCTGAGGCAGGGGAAGTTTAGGCTGGACATCAGGAAGGGGTTCTTCACAGAGAGAGTGGTTGCACACTGGAACAGGCTCCCCAGGGAAGTGGTCACTGCACCGAGCCTGACTGAATTTAAGAAGAGATTGGACTGTGCACTTAGTCACATGGTCTGAACTTGGGTAGACCTGTGCGGTGTCAAGAGTTGGACTTGATGATCCTTAAGGGTCCCTTCCAACTCAGGATATTCTATGATTCTATGATGCCACACGGTATGGGACATCCCTCTGGTCAGCCTGGGCCAGCTGTCCTGGTTGTGTCCCCTCCCAGTTCCTGGTGCGTCCCCAGCCCCTCACTGGCAGGGCAGCATGAGGAGCAGAAACGGCCTTGGCTCTGTGAGAGCACTGCTCAGCAACAGCATCATACAAGCCACTATGAAGAAAATTAACTTTATACCAGCCGAAACCATGACATCCCCCCAGATAAACATTTCTGAACGTTAATGGTCTGCACTCAAGAGCACAAGCTACTCAGGACTCTTGTCTTGCCTTAACCAGTAGGTGCTCCCTATGCCAAGAGAGCAAAGGCTTTCATTGGCACGGGCCAACTGAAATTGCTAGTACAAGGCACTTTTTATCTAACTTACCAATGATTGTCATATTTCCGTGACTTATTGTTTCTCCTATAATTCTGTATCATATTTGCCCAGTTTGCAAATTTCACTTTGAAAGTTAAAAGTCTTGCTGGATTTTATATCCTCATTCATCTCCAAGAGTAATAATAATTTGGCAGGCCAGAGTGAACACTGTAATGAAAACCTTGGAAGCCACTGAGTTTTCTGCTGTGCTTAGTCAAAACACACTTGAATTTTAAAATATGAATAATTGTGCAGAAGTCAATAGAATTACTATATGGCTTATGTTAGAGTATGCTTTGCTTTGTGCAAGTTCCTGTAAAGAAGTATTATCTTCAAAATCTGCTCTTCAGGTTTCTCCTGCAGTTCAGGAGGAGCTGTGAAGATGAAAGAAGCACATTTGTTTCTTGCAGTGGAAATGCGTTAATCTTCATGATGCATGAGCGATGGTAAGGATAACAACCTTTGGAGATACTGTTATTGTCATGTGTCATAAAATGTGTCATAAAAAAAAAAAAGTGTATATGTGTTCTTAAAACAAGATGAGTCAAAATTCTTGGGAATTAACTTTCTAAATAACTGAAGTTCTCTGGTGCTCAGAAAATCTGCCCACTGGAAGCTACAGGAGCAGAATAACTTTGTTAGTCTTACCTGCATGTATGCTACCTGCATGTGGACATTTTATTATTTTTGTTTGTTTGTTTGTTTATTTCACTTTATTTCTGCCCATATAAGTACGACAGTTGGGAAAAGAGGTACATCTGAAAAAAAGGATCCATGTTTCCAGGAACCTTAACATTTCAAAAGGCCCTGCAAATTTTAATATTTACTTCTGCCTAACTGCCCTTTTCTTAGAAAAACAGAGAGGGAAGAAGCAGCAGGACTTCTCTTGTATTTTAAGCACAACGGTTTTACTCTCACTAGCACAATACCACTGTAGTATGTTTCTGTCATTTTCACCTGTAAAGAAAAATGGGATGCGAAAAGAAAAGGCATTTAACATCTCTTTCTGAGGTTCTACTATCCCATATTCATTCAAGAGAGAAGGAATAGTTTTTGTTACCAGTTTCCCCAAGTTCATCTAGACCTTTACCCACATCCATTTTTTGGAGACGTTATAATTTAAATTTCATTTTCCATATGAAACTTGAATGGAGGTGTGGTCCACATCAGAGTTGGCTCAAAGCTTTTTACTAGTCAGACAAAATTCTTCTCCCCAAAGATTTTCTCTTATGTTTAGCAAACAAAAACAAACAAACAAAACTACTTTGTGCTGAAGCAACTTCAGTGTTCAGGCTGAGATAAAGAAGTAACACTGAGTTTATTGGGGTTGCTGTAAGGCCATGCTTGGGAAGGAATGCTAAGAGCTTATTGGGACTTCCAAGAGTGCTGGGAGAAAGTAGAGGCCTAGGAAGAATCAGCAGAGCCTTTTAGATGCTTAACTGCAGATTGAAGTTGTGCACCGTGGGGTGGATAGACTTTCAGAAGTGTGCTGGGCAGTTTTGAGGCAGTTGTTAACAATGAAACTTTCTCCTTCTTCTACTTTTTGTACATCTATGTATGTGTGTGGTTTTTTTGTTTGTTTGTTTGTTTGTTTGTTTGTTTTCCTGTAGACAAAATCAAGGCAAACTTTGCTACCTAGTCAAACCCATTTGAGTAAAACTTGTTAATTGGGATAGGTCTGAATAGTTAAAGGTTTCACTGATGGACACATGGGTTTTCTCATTGTGCTCTCAGACGGCCCGTAATAGGTGGTATGTATCTTTTAAAGACAGAATAAGGTTATATGAATCAATGGGAGAAGGGATCAAGGTGGGAATCATTTGTCCTACACAAATATCTAAAAGGTTTCCAGATTAGAAAAGTTAAAGTAGATTTTCAGTTAGGGAACAGCTTCTAGAAAAGACTTTTTCTCTAAGAAGGATAATGAGAGCTGTCCAGTCTGGGAGGTAACAGAAATGCCTTTTGGAAAGTGTAGGATAGGGCAAAATTACAGTAACATCATTGCTTCAGATTAATTAAATAAAAAAAATAGCTATTTAGTGATTTTGAATATAGGTTGCTGCACCTCTTCCTGAGGTGGCTGTTAGGAAGCATAACAAGCCTTCTGGGACCTTCCTTTTCTGTTAATTTAAAGCTGTTGGAGAACATTGCAAATAGGCTTGAGCTCTGGAGAGCTGGAATCAAACTCACTGTAATGAAAGTTCACTCGTGTGCCTCGTTGGAGCTTATTCCTGTGACTGTACTGACCCCTAGTGACTGCAGCTCTAGTTCAGTAATTTACAGTCTATTTATATATTTATTTACATAAAGTATTGTTATACAAGGCACCGTTTATAAAAAAAAAAAAAAAAAAAAAAAAATCTCCATTAGGGTGAAATTGTTAACATCATCCTTTTTAAGCAATCTTTAAAATTTCCAGGAAAAAAAAAAAAACTGTTCTGTTTTTATTTTACAACCATCTTCTTTTTTTTTCCTCATTTGTATGTCAACTTGAGATATACTATGATATATTTATATATAAACAGCTTATTTAAAACATCAGTGCTGCTAAGATCCTGGGAGGTGGTGTTTTTAATTTAGCTGTAAAAGTTTGTTCAGGAATGCATGCTCTCAAGCTGGAAGCTCTGCAACTTTTAATAAAATACAGATGGTACCACTGTTAATCTGTTTACTATCTAATATGGTTCACCTACACTAGGTATCTGATGTGCTTTTAGACATACCATCTGGAAAAACATTAGCATATTTTTACATGCATAAGGTGAAAACAACAGATCATTCCTTTCCCCTGGGCTTTTCAACTCAGCAGTGGATTGTGTATATGCATAAATGATACACCAAGTTCAACTATGCTTCAGAAGCCCTTTGCCTCTGATCTTTGACACATTATCTAAGCACTGATTTTCAAGTACTGTTAGTTTAAACCAGTGTGGGGGTTTTGTCGTGCAGTGACTATGTGAAGACACAGAAATCCACTACTTAAGCCTCACAGCGTGAAGTACTGAATACCCTCCGTTTCCTTTGAGCAAAGGCATTTGAATGGCACAGCACAGGCACAAAGGCCACACTCTTAAGGGTAACAGCACAGAGTAGCACAGACCTGTGCCCACTCAGGTTTGCTGCACTGTGGATCACTCAACCCTTGATGTGCAAGAGACTGCTTGTTATGGAATGTGAGGTAGTTATTGGAGAGATGAAGGTGCTTTATTGATTTCAGGTGCAGAGATTGCTGCAAAATTTGCAACTTTACAGTTGAAAGATGAGTTCATGAAGGTATACTTTTATGCTTGTCAGTTCACTGTAGTCAAAGCTCAGTAAAAATTATTTTTATCTAATTAATTACAGTCCTGTTACAAGCAAGGTAAATAATATAAATAAAATTCCACACATTATTTACTTTTACTAGGTGCATTTATTGTATGTTTATGAATATACAAACACCATTTTTTAAACACAGTATAGTAACAATACCACACAATAAAGCACAGTCTCTCCTTCAGGTGGCTCACATTAGACTCCTCTTATTTGTTCACCTTTTGGTCACTCATTTTTTGTCTATCCGGTACAGGAAAACAGTGATAAGACTTATTTCCTTTTTATATTAGCTCAGAACTATAATAAATACATAGATTAACAAAGCTCTTTGAGTTTAAATACAATTAAGGGAAAGAATCAAATGTAATATTTATATTTTCAGATGTCATAATGCCTTCTCAGATTTCACAATATATATTTAGGGAATACATACAGTAATGAACTTCAGTTTACTTCTAGTTCAGTGTTAAGTTCATAAATTTGGAGGCTAGAAGTTCACTTTGTTACTGTTTCTAATCCAAACCATGTGACCCATTTATTTATTTTTGTTTGTTTGTTTTGTGTTTTTTTTTTTCTTCACACCATTCAGGGTTCAGAACATATTTGATCAAAGATGGATTCACCAGGAAGGTCTAAAACTGTAGCACCACCTACTCTGTCATTATCTGATGCTGGAACAGTCAGCAACATTCAAATTTTATGCCCATCTGTTCTTTTTAGTAATTTTAAGTAAGTTTCTGGCAAACACACTGTTAGTAATTGTAATGAACTCTCAAACTTCCGTTTCTTTGTACAGTACACTGATAAGTAAAACCAACAGGTTAACACCCAAGCAAGCAAAGAGTATCAGCTGTACTCTGAAACAAAATTACTAAGACAGAGTGGGATCTTTGCACTGCTACTCTCAAACCAAATAAATTCCAAAATTTAAATACTGAAACCCTTTTTAATTAAATACTAAAAAACAGACCAAAATAAAGTTTGGCCCTGGTCAATTTATGGCCCTGCCAAATTCAATCCTCTAAATTACAGAGATTGAACAATCATTATATGTAAAATTTATGTTTATTTGAAAATGAGAATAAAAGTATTTTTCTAGATGTTAAAAAATAACTGGGTAGAACAACCCTCCAAATCAAGATTTTAAGCTGCCTCAGGCAGACAAGATACAAAATGTTGCTGCAAGGCATTGTGTGATACAAGTTGAGAATCCAATGTTTAATTAGAGGGAGGGAGACATTTTCAGTACACTTAATCATTGATTTTAAAAAGATGTTACCAGTTTTTTTGTTTTGCTTTGTTTTTTAACATTTTCTACCTCTCAGCTAAAACAGATAATCTATTATTTTCTCAGCTAAGAAAGTAATGCCCAACTGCCTACACCATTATAATCAATTTCTAAAATTAAAAGTAATAATATTTAAAGCATTACTCGCCTATTTTTTTTGCAAGATATTCTCAGTAAAGTAGGACTGAGAAATATATGATGATATTTCTCATAGAATGATAGAATAATTTCATCTAGAAGGCACCCTGGAAAGCATCTGATACAATTTTAAACAGTCACAAAGAAGCAAAGTGCTTTTATGTTCATAGCCATGGATGCCACTGAGGTAATTACTGGATCACAGAGCTCTAAAAAAATGTTTGAAGGGCTCTCCTCCAAAACTAAGTATGTTCTATGAATGACCAAAGGTTAAGTAAATGCAAAAAAAATGAAAAAGGTTTGAGACAAGGATATACATTCATATTTATATACATAAATTATATATAAATTAAAACATATAAGTATGTTGTAATTTAGTGTTAGGTACAATAGTTGCACACATTGGCTACTGACCAGTATTCCATGAAAGACAGAATCCTTTGCCTTGCCCCTCTTTTTCTTAACTCTCTGGAGGGAATCTTTGAAATATGTTTCTTTCAGTTACATGTTCCACAATTACATAATTTTCAGTTTTCCAGAAAGCTATTTTTAACTTTTGAGTGCATTTGTTTCATCTTTCAAAATTCCTCCTTCAGGCTCCATTTCCTGCTTACACCTGCCTTCTGGTGTGTCAGTTTTTCTATTTTTACACAGTGCTGTTTACTGTTTGATATATTGATCCAATCCTAGAATAAAGGTGATCAAAACCCATTCTCTCCAATTACAGGAAAGAAACCAAATCAGTCTGTCTCATAGAAGAAAAAAATAAATAAATATGGAAATGCAGAAATGATTTAATAACAAATCTGTGCTCTCTAGAGAAATAGTAGTACGTTGTCACTGTTCACTTTAAAACCATTTATATAGTTTATTTTTTCAGGAAGCGATGTTGTAGTCTTCTTGTCAGTCTTTTTCTCTGTCTTTATCCAGTCTTTTATACTTTTGTTTAAAATGTGTGGAAAAACATATTTCTGTTAATTCTTCTTTTGTTGTGAAGTTCATTTAGTTCATAACAGTTCTGCTGCCCTACTAAAATGGCAAAATATTAAGATCAAACTCAGAATGAGCCCTCAAACATCTAGCAAACAATTACATCGTCTACAAATCTGTCTTTCACACCAGAACAGCCATTTTCTAGAATGCATTAATATTGCTGTTTACATTGAAAGTCTTCTGAAACTGCCAAGTGTAACTAATAATATTAATTCATATTAGTAATTTTTCATTAAAGTATCTGTCAAACAAAATGGGGGAATACTCTGTTTAAGGAGTCCTCCCCCCCCCCCCCCAAGACAGTCTTTTGCTATCAGTCTTGAAGTGTACAGCCATAGCCTGTAATAAATCATTTCAACGGTCAAATTTTAACAACAGATTAAACTTTGTGAATAGATTGAAGACCTGTATATGTGCACATACAGAACATACTTTTTAATTTGCATTTTTATCACTTTTGATAAAATGTTAAAGTATACTTCCTGCAGATTATTTTTGAGATTTGCAATTTTATCATCTTTTGATGTCCAGTTGGGCAGTACTTGTTAATTTCCTTCTTTTAATTTAAATTTTTCTTGTAAGTTGAAGTATTGGTTTCATATCTTTCTCCTTTCTACAAATCTTTCTCCTTTTATATTCATTTCCATTTCTTCTTGGCTCTGTGGTCAAAATAGATATACTGAATATTTTGTGCATAATCTGAGTAAAACTGTATGTTCTTTCAGAGATGTTTTAAGAATTAAACCTTCAACACTTACAGAAGCAATAGAAATAAAAATATTTCATATTAATATAATTAATTTATTTTCAAAATGTTTCATTAAAGTATTTTCACTCCAAAACTTTTCCAAGCAGTTGTTTGAGAACCATGTGGTACTTGCACAAAGTGATCAGACTTGTTAGTAAGCCTAGTGATGGATTGCAGTAGGTGGTTTTAGGTGCTTTGCATCTGTCTGGTGCCTCAACAGAATTTTGCATCTCAGACTGGAATCAAAATGGCATAGTGCTCCCCTGTGTGAACTCATCTGAATACCGATAACTGGGCCACTTGGAGGGCTCTGAAACACAGGGCCACAAAGTTGTGTATTTGTGACCCATCCACTTTGCACTAATCTGAGAGAATTCTTTGGTTTCCAAAAACCAAAGAAGCTGCTTAGAAAAAAAAATAAAAATAAAAATAGAAATAAAATAAAAATAGAAATAAAATAAAATAAAATAAATAAATAAATAAAATAAAAATAAAAATAAATGTAAACATAAACATAAACATAAAAACAAACATAAACATGTGTTAATGATCATCTTCTATAAAATAAAGTCGCGTTAAAAGGATTCACCCAAGAAAGGGCACTGTTCAGCAGGATTTCAACTTATTTCTTCCTACTTTCAGGGATGCACTTTCACAGCAAGCTAGGCTAAGTTTGGAAGAACTGAGAGGATGCTCTGCTCTTCCACCTTTTGAACTATGCAACTGCAGAGTGAAATATCAGTGGAGGATAGATAAGGAGATAGGAGGTAAGAAGGAAATGTCTTCCCTGAATGAAGAACAGACTGATGACTAATGGTTTGGCTACTCATCCGTGGGAAAGGAGATAAAGGTTCTAATCTCTGCTTTCAAGACAGCTGCAAAATGCATTAATGGTTCTTCGGGTGTATTCTGAGGCTTTTGGTAGCCTGAGTCCTTTTATGAATTTGGACCTAGACTGATCATAGTTCAGCTATTGCAGATACTTCATGAGCAAACAAACAGAGAGACAAATAGATTGCATGTGTCTAGAGTCTCTTCTGCTTTGTCCAGTGCTACAAGACAAAACCAACTTCATTTATCTCTTCACTTTAAAAGCAGGTACATATTTTGTATTCATATCAGTGATATTATAGAAAATTAGAAATCATAGGTTAGCTATATTGGCAAAATTGTATGTCTACAAACAAAACTCATTCAGACTACTCGGCATTGCTTAGAATCTTGCAATCTTTGGTTTGGCAAGTTTGAAGAGCAGTTATACGTTTTCTTGGCAAGGAGAGACATCACCTTTATTAAAAAGACTCAATTATAAATATTTATATAAAACAGGTACCTGAATGGTTGTTTTAAACTTAGTGAATGTCTTTGCATGTGGATTCCTTTTCCTCCAAGTTGGTGCATTACAAGATCCTGAAGTATATTTGTCTATAGAAGAAATATATAAATTGTTCCTAAATTTCAGCTATAATTTCAGGAGAGACTATCTTAGTCTGATATGTGATTTAAAAGAAACATTTGCTGAAATATCAATTGATGGATCATGTCAATCACCCCTAAAATGCAAGGTATTATTAAATATAAACTTTATGCCTAGTACATTAAAAAACATTTATAATCTTCTAGAATTTCTATGAGGCTCACAAGGTCTTCCAAGTGACATTATTCTTCCAAGGACATCCTTGAGGTAATCAGAATGAATGTCCAGTGTTGAAAATCTTCCTAATGGGACCAATTGCTTTTAGTTTAAAACAAAACAAAAAAAAATAAACCAACATACTCTTTATCTCTGCTTGTGAAAGCATTAGATGCAAGGCAATACTACATTCTTGTGCAAGACGGTTGGTTTTGCATCAAGGTATGTTGCCTAATGAATAATCATTTTGTATAAAATTTGGCTGAAATGAGTATTATCAATATTCTTATTTTCTCTTAGCTCCAGATTAAATCCAGTAATTCCAGTGAATAATTACATAATAATTCTAAGCTTTTCAGTTTATATGCAACATCTAAGTATCACAGTTTTCAGTTTGGGTCTAAAATCTTTCATGTGTCAAGCATAATTTTTGGTTTGGATCATTTCAGACCAAATGGCTCAGGTGCTCTTGAAAAGAAAAGTATCAAAAATGGTACATTTTGACATATGACAAAAATTCTGGTCATATTTTCTTTGAAATACTTTATCTTTTTTTTAGCATGGAAATTTTATAAGAAGTATCCTTTGCATTAAGAACATTCTTTCTGTTATTTCTGTATAACCTGTCAAGATTTAATCAAAACAAATATTAAAATAAAATAAATAAATAAATAAATAAATATTCGTCCTGCAGACTAAACACTGATGTCAAATTTCATTTCATTTAACTTTATTCATCTAAAACCAATACTTTGTCTAAAGGAGGTTCCCTTTATTGGAAATGAAGATAGGGAGGTACATCAAGACCTCATTCCAGTTTAAGACAGATGAATAAAACTGGCAAGATGAATCACTTTCCTATCTTATGATTATTTAAATTATTTACCACTTAATTTGCTGCTGAAGTGACAGATAAAAAAAAAAACAGTTATCCAAATAAACCATGGAGACTGGAAATAGAAAGACAAATAAAACGCAAACTAAGACATTATATTGTGTAAAGCTGTATTAGTAAGTTCAGAATAAAGTGAAAGATGCAAAATTATGGTTATATCTGAAACAGATTGCCAAAAAGCAAGATATAAAACTCAGAATCCCACTGTAAGCTTCTTGTTAAATTATGACATATTGTATACTACCAAGAAGATCGTAGAGTATGTCAAAGATGGCAAAACAATGAAGAAAAATATCATCCTGAAAGAATGGCAGAAATAATTAATTTGATCCTCTCTCCAGTATAAATAACGTGAGAACATAATATATTATGAAGAGTGTTTATCACCGAAGTTTGGAATATATTTAAATTGATAATAGAAGTTTGAGTAAAGACCTTGTTTATGCAAGAAGAAAAAAAAAATTGTAAATAATGAAAATAATCATAAATCATAGGCAAAACCACAGTGGAATACCAGTTGTGAAAAAAAAATACACAAAGAAAGATCATTCCTTCATCCGCTGATGGTAGCAAAAAGTTGAACAATAAGTATTTCTTGAAAGGAAACTGAAATTCTACTACAAAACTACTTCTACTACTTTTGCTTTCAATGCTTCCAGTAGTATGAGAAGTTAAAGGGGACTATTACAAGGTTTATTTATTTAAAAAGAATAAATCACATAAAAGGAGCTGTGAAAAGTGGGAATCAGTATATTTGAGCACATCAGCACATCAATGGATTCATCCCTCTTTGTTAGGCAGGGAAATGAATCCTTTCTGTGAAGGTGACTGAATTACTTTTCATTAATATTCTGATTAATTTTAAATGTTTATAAAGCATAAAAGTATTTACATTTCTGTTTATGGATACTACTGCAATCAAATTATGAAAATTATGCTGGATTAAATTTACTCTTGCCCATATTTAAGAATAAGTACCTAAACAGATATTTAGCAACATTTTAAGAATTCTGTGTAAGCAGGAACTCACCCATTGATCCATTAAACTTTGGTTCTTGGACATCTGTAACATTACGGTAGAACACGTATGCTGATCTTCGGGGTTCTGAAGAATTGAAGTAAGTGTTTCTTCTAGCTTGTCTCACAGAAATAGAAGAAGCAGTTTCATCATCCTTTCTTTTATCACTTTGTTGGTAACTTGGTTTAACTTTTGGGTTTGAAGTGTGATTTTCTAAAAGTGGAAGAACAAATTTAAAAAGAAACATTGTGGCATTATTCAAAATTTGACATATTAGAGAAGACTGGAACCTGGAAGACCAGAAGTTCCTTAAAAAAGTCCAACCAAAATACAAATTGTCCATATCTAACACTAGGAACAGAGCTAGGCACTATTAAATCATCTAATAGTTTAGTAAATAAAAATGAAAAAAACAACCATTTTCTAAAAATACCTTTGCCTGTTACTGTATTAGATAAGTTTCTTGGTTCCTCAGAAATCCATTTCTTTTTCTTTACTCCCTTAAAATGATGCTTCTTTACCAATTCAGAGCGGCTTGTTGCTAAGGAGTTAAAATAGCACAGATTTACTTTTTCAAAAAGCACACAACATTTTCTTATCAAGAAATGCTACAGTGTTCTGAAAAACTCATCTCCCACTTCATACACAGGTCTCCTTGGGTGAGGAATGTTCTTTCTCACCTTAATTATTTTTAAAGTATCATACCACAAAAGGAAAGCAAAAACTGCTACATTTCCTCTAGCAGATTTCAAGGTCTCAAAATCCTGTCAGAAAACTCAATATTTGGCTAAAAACACAGTACTTTGAACTAGTACAATTACTTTAATTGGTTCTGGCTCAGAACGTTTCCCATTAAGAATGAGTACTTCATTAGTACTGTAAAAGAAATCTCATCTAAAAATCAGAAAATATGTAATAATTAAATACCTTTTACATCTGAATACTTTGATGCAATTGGTGCTTTTTCTAAAGGTAGTGCCTTGTTTCTTTTCCCTTCAACAAATATGTTTTTCTGTGCCACAAAACAATCACCTCCTACAGAAAATGAGTATCAAAAAATCATCTACACCAAAGAAAAACAATTAAAAATCAAATGTGGACAACACACATGATTTGCTATTTTTAGAATTACATTTTCACTGAAATGAATATAGAAATAAAAAACAAAATGTGAAGAAAAGAAAAAAAGAAAAAAAAAAAGAAACCAAACATGATTCATTAAGGCCCAGAAAATAAAAATAAAAAAGATAAACATCTAACATTTAAAAACTTTAAATCAACATGGGTATGAGCAGAGATTTAATTATAGGATTGCTTCTCAGTGGTAACTTTTTACTAATGACAGTGAAGAACACCTAAAAGAGAAACACATACTGTACATAAAAGTTGTAGGTAAAGAATATTTAAGATACATTAGTACTGTTCCATACAGTTCTGGATCTAGAATATGCATACCAGTTTGCTCAAAGCTAGACCAAGCATCCCTAGCATGGTACTGCATTATTTTGCATTGACAAACTAAGGGAAGAAAAAAAAAAGAATAATACAGTAATTATTATTATTTTTAATACTAATAAGTATTGAAGAAGAAAATGAGTAAGTATTGTTAAGTAAACACAAATTCAAGGATAATAGGGCATTCTTTAACCTTAATTACATGATTCTGTACTAAACTCGACATGGCAAGGCACTACATCACAAGTTCAATTCTGTTCAGAGAAATCAGCTCCCATCAGAAAAGATGCAGGATTGAAGCTTTAGTATTTCACTGTACAATAACTGAAAAATACAAAGCCTATTCATCTTAACTAAGGATAGTTTCACATAACAGGTTTTTAAAGCATACTAACTTGTCATTCCTACACATTTTTTATAACTTTAGAGAGACATTTATTTTCCAAAATTAAGCAGGAAAAAGTCAGTTTGTTTGTTTTGTTTTTTTACTAGGGACTTAAAGCAAGTGGAATAATAAATGATACTTTTAATTGTTACAATTAATGGTGCGTTATGATAAGTGCATATAACATGAGTAACAGACAAAAAACTCTGAATTTGACTTATTCTTTTCTATTTAAATAGTGAAGTTTCATATACACATATTCATTTATGGTAAATGTATTTACCACACAATGTTCAGCAATGAGAAGACAATGTTAAAGTATATTACCTCCATTTTCAAAGGATCTATGATCTGTTCTGTTAATACCCTCTACTGACACTCTCCTTCCTGAAGTCTCCCCCTCTCTTTTTATATTATTAAGTTTTGTAGGATTTGTATTACCATCACCTGGAAAGGCAACAGAAAGGATATTTTAGCTGCTTTTGTGTAAGCACATTAAATCAAACTGTCATTTTTTTCCTCCCACCTTTGTGAGTTAGCAATTAGCTCAGAGCAATTTCCTTTAACCTCTTGTTTTATATTGTTATTTCTCTTTTATTAGTCATTTGGGTAGTGTGTAATGTAACTCAAACACTGATGTACAACTTTTAAGTTTTTTATGAAAGTGACACAATACTCAGGTTACAGAAGACTACAAATGCAAGGTAAAGAACCAGCTACAAATTATCTACTTCTTTAGCTTCTCACTTTTCATGAATGATACTTATGAATCCTATCCTATCCTGTGGATATGTGGTATTTTTAAGATACATGCCATCATAATATCTAAAACCTCAGAAACTCAGTTGAAGAAATGCTTTGGGAAAACGCACCTATCTGATTTTTTCTGAATGTATGTAATTATAAATATATATATTAAAAGTTATAAGTACTCATATATTTGTCACTGAATTCTTTGTGTACAGTCTAAATATATTTAAATACTTGCCAGAAAAAGTTTATCAAAACTATTCGAATAACAAACATATTAAATGTAGAAATAACAAGGAAATATTTTTGCGATATATTCTTTGACCATATTTATGTTAGAAAATGTGAAACGTTCAAAACAAAATGTAGCTATTTTGTAGCTATCTTTCATAAGAGCTTAAAGTTTTTTGTTATATTTTTCATTGAAATTGAGTTAGATGAAAATTTGGTGTATAGCCAAATTGTCATCTTGACATCCAATATAGTCAGCAGAAAGAGCAGAGCACCTCTGAAAAAGTGATTCATTTAATCTTTGGCAGACCTTATCAGGAATAAACAGCCCATTAAGAGTGCCTATCTTAGTCCATTTAGAACAGACAGCCTGTATGAGAAATATAAACTAAACTTGGGATGTTTAAAATTAGACCACATAAATCTTGATCTTAAAGAAAAATATGAAAGGCCTATGTTGTGTACCTCTGGAAATTATATGCAGGTTTAATGTCAGCCAGTTTCTATCTTTTCCACCTACAATCAATACTGGTAGTCGCCATGCATGTGACTAAACATATACATGGGGAAAAAATAAAGATGTATTTTTATGCTCTTTTTATGTGCTGTATTTTATTTTCACTAAATTAAGAAGGGGGGGAAGAGGTGCAAACTGCAAAATTTCCTCCCTGGAATAGTAATACAAGAAGCAGTACAGCAATACAAAAATACTTGCCTTTCTGCAAATCCCGCTTGATAGCTTCCAAAGGTAATAACTCATTTTCTAGAGACGAAGATATGATTTTTGTTGATTGGTGTTCCTGAGGGTAATGAATCCTATAATACTCTCCTAAACACAATCCAAAATGGGAAAAAATATTTTTATTATATTGGCAGCATTGCTGTTTATGAAAGAGTCGCTAATTTCATATTTACCAGATTTATAGCACATTTCCTTTATTGCTCTTTCCTCTTCAAGGTCTGAAGCAGTCTTAGCCAACAAATTAAAATCATCTGTAGGAAATATTTTTTAAAAGATTATTAGATATCTATACAAAGACCTTCAATGTTTCTTAACGATCAAACACCATAATGAATTTCATTTTGGTCATGACTTTTTTTCTGACTGCAACCTCTGCTCTGGGTAATACAATGACTCTTGAATGTTAAGTATTTCCAAGTGCATTGGAATTGCAACAACACCTATGAAAAAGCTAATGCCTGTTGATTTAAAATGACTTAAAACCATTTTCAGTACTCACTCACAAAATGACCATTTATTTACATTCACCAGGAAATCTGATTAAACCTATCACCAACAACTTCTTGTCACTAAACCTCTGCTCAAAGTTACTATCCTGTAACGTCTGCTGGCAGAGCTAGTGAAGTAAGCGTTCCTTATCTGTCTCAGTTAAGGTTAGTAAGGCTAGCAAAGACCCACTTTTGATACTGTCTTTTTTTGATACTGAATATTTATTTTATTCAGACCGAAACAGAGTTAGGAAGCACTAACAATAAGCAGCCCTTCCAACCTGAAAGGCAGTGGGAAAGTGAAAAGCAGCTTGGGGCTCCCTAACTACTAGCAAAGTAGTTTGCAGAATGCCCAGGAGAGTGTTTTCTCATTTTCACTCTCTGGGGACGCACAATTCATTCACTTCTTATGAATCTCTAATCTCTAAGTGAGATACATCCAAATGTTTAATTACAGTTTTTTTGTTGTTTGTTTTGTTTTAATATATATGTATATGTATTCAGTTTTGCATGGACTCCTTTTATTAGATTTAAGAATAACTTTTAGTAATAAAATGTGACTGCCTAAAGAGGGTTTAATAATTTAGTTGAACAGTTTAATAAATTAGTTGAACAAATTATTTAAATTGAAAACAAACAATATTTTGCACAGAAACCTATGGCTTCACCTTCATTGATTAGCGTGTACAACCCCAACCTCTTTTCAAAAACCTGTTTCCATTAAAAGATGTGCTTCCTAAACTTGCAATTTTTATAGCATTTTACCCATAACATTAGAGAGTGCCAAAGAACAGAAAGTATTTGCAGCTGTATAGACCAGAAACATTTTTGTTTGGCACAACAACAAAATGGTTCCTGCACTGCTACTGTAAATCCCCTGTTAAACATTCCCCAGTAGTAACTGTTACAGAGACGGCTAAGGCAAAGGCACACAGTAAGTCCTCAGTCAACATATAGTATTAGCTATTGAAAATCTTGATCACAAGGGGAAGACATTAAAAATGTCTTTTTAAATGCAAGTGTCAATAGCTCGGATCATCCCTGAACTGAGAACTTTGAATAATATTTGATGGTCATCTGAATATTTTAAACTCTATTTGATGAAAAAGGGAATGTAAATTATATCAATATCGAAATATAAAGCCAGACATTTTACAGAAGTTAGAAAATGGTGGCTTATTCATGCATCTGGTGACTACCAACTGGGAACACTTCAGGAATTATACAGAAACAATTTCAAAAACTTGTCAATAACTTTTTCCTAAAAATGTAATGGTTATTAGAATAAATCATTTATGAACTATATTTTAAGAGCTGAAAAACATCCACTGTACTTCCTTGTAAAACAAACAAACAAACAAAAAAAACAACAAAACTTGTTTACTGTTCTCTTTGTCTTCAATATCCTCTTCATCCTCCTCTTCGTCCTCTTGGTGGTTGATGTTAATAATTAGTGGAGGGTGAATTGGTCTTAAAATATTCTCCTGATTTCTGAATGATTCTTGACCACAGGCTGGATTCAGAATCCCTTCTTGGACCTCCTCCTGCAATGCAACATCTGCAAAAAATAACATTATTTTTTTTTTAAGAAGGAACTAGGTTTGGACCAACAGGTAATCTTTTGAAATGACTATATTTAAAGAATCAGCAAAAAGATCAATTGTGCAGAGGCAGGCAAAAGAGCCTCTTCCAACCACAGAAAGTACAAAAATGAATGTGCACTAGCTCCTTTGATTGGAAAGATAAAGCACAGCTGAATATAGTCTTTTGACAACTGAAACATTTTGATCATCCTACCCTGTTCAAAAAAGGTTGCATATCTCTTCCTACTAGTGGATCAATCTGAGTAAGTTTCTTTCTTTCTTTCTTTCAATCCCTTTGTTCATAACATAGGTTCATATGTTCATAACGTGTGATTAGTAATACCTTGGCTGAAGTGAGTCTAGGATCCCACCTGTGGAATGAGTCTAGGATCCCACCTGTGGAATTGTATTAAATCTGCTGAAGGCAGGCCTGTATTGGTCTTCATGGCATCAATTTTGAAGAATGCAGCAGTGCTAAGCACTAGATTACCCATTTTTATCTTGTAGACTTCTTTTTTTTCCATCAGAATTTTCTAAATCACAACTCTCTTGTACAAATGTATAAGATTATACAAATGTACATAACATTTGTATAAATGCTATGTACAAACACTATGTACAAATCACAGATTTTGTGAAATAATATTAAGTTAATAAAAATAGTTCACAGTAAATTAAAAGAAAATCATAAAAACTATGATTTTTCTTATAAATCTATGTCCACCCACAAAGTTTTGCAGTGAAATTATTTCAGTACTAGATCAGCAGTTTCTGAGAACCAGGAAACGCAACTGATTGAAAATAAAAATGATGAAAAATAGAAATAACATGAAGCATGGGCATCTTTTTTTTATTCCAGTTGTTGTTAGCCTTGTGCATTTTGTGCTTGCAAAAGAGCAGCATATGTATATTTTAAATCAATTTTAAAAACACTATTGCAGATCAGATTTATTGCATGTATCACATGCAAGAGCAAGTAAGATACAACCCTTTAACTTGGTGGAGATTTTTTCAGTCCCAAACAGTGTATTATTATCTTTGGATACTGTAAGCCAGAACAAACTTAGTTTAACAAGAACATTAAGTCTTGATATAAATAAATGCAGTTTTAGCATTAGCAATGTTATTGTGGAACACACAGACTTTGAAGTTACATATATTCCAGTAATGAGAAGGGTCCATCTTCTAGTTCTGATTTTTGGGCAACGCTTACAGAGGGTGCCCTTGTCAATAGTGCCTACTCAGCACAGTCTCTGGCTTACACCATATACAAAAGCATGCCTACGTTTCTAAGTGCTAGTTGGCAGAGGCTGATGTTGTGGATGTAGGAACTGTACAGTATGGATGCTCATAGAAACATCACTTGCCTTGGTCCTGTGTGATTAGTTAAGCTCTACATTACAAGATACAACAGCCTACCCTTTCCTGAAAGAATTTCAGGAACACAAGGTGCTTGTTTCTTAATAGAGGTCATTATAGACATTTATTATGACGTCTGTCTACAGCTTTGAAGATAAGGCCAGTGAACAACTGTATTTCAGTTCACTCGTTCACTTGGCTATGACAAGTCTGCCAACTTCTCACTTCTGCTTCTGCCTCATTTTTGACATTTGTCTTGGTTCCCTGCTCTGGTCTTTTAACCTAGTCCAGCTGTCTACCAGGACTGCTAGTAGATAAGAGCTCCACTTAGAAAGAACTGAGGAGGGAAGGGGGGAAGCAAAGGAAAACAACAACAAAAGGCTGTAACTGTGTGGTTTTTTGTTTTTAATAATCTGATTTTCAGAAGTTAAAAGAGAAAGTATACTGCCTTACAAAATATTACTGTACTTAAATAACATGCATCCAATGCCAAGCCTGAAAAATCTATTTGAAATACTGGATGGTAAATGCATTTACACACACAGCACTGGAATCTTATGTTGCCCACCAATGGGGTGTCTCATTCTTATAACATGTTGTACTTTGTCAACAGATGATGCTACTAATGGCCCTAAGCACATTATGCTAATAGTGATCCTAACAACCTCTCCCCTCCAACACAGACACTACTTGTCTTATTACCTTCCTACAGACCATTTTCATTACTCTGTATTATCTAGTAAATACCTAAGTACAGAAGAATGTGAAAAAACAAATTTCTGAAGGTGTTAATTGTTGTGAATATTTTAATCATGTCTCTGAGTACTGATCTGACCATGGGAGCAGGCTGTCCTCCTGCACCCCATGGGTCCTACATGGAGCAGATCTCCATACTGCAGCCCGTGGAGAAGCCCCCAGTGGAGCAGGTGGATGTGGCCTGGAGGAGGCTGCGGCCCATGGAGAACCCAGCAGGAGTAAGCCCCGGGCCGGAGCTGCAGCCCATGGAGAGGAGCCCATGCAGGAGCAGGGGCCTGGGGGGAGTTTCTGCCCATGGGGGACTCGTGCTGGAGCACTTTACTCCTGACGGGTAGGCCCTGTGGTGCAAAGCCATGTGGGAGCAGTGCTTGAGGAGCTGCTGCCTGTGCACAGCCCCCGCAGGCTCAATTTGGGAAGGACGGCATCCCATGGGAGGGACCCCACGGGCAGCAGGGGCAGAGAGTGACCGTGAAGGAGCATCAGAGATGAAGCATTAGGGACTGACCACAGCCCCTGTTCCCTGTTCCCCCGCAGGTCTTTTGTTTCTTACTGTACTAGTCTGTTAATAGTTCACAATAAATTATATTAATCTCCCTATGCTGAGTCTGTTTTGCCTGTGACGGTAAATGGTGAGTTAATGTAAAATTTTTACTTGATGGATCTTAGCAACTTAAATTGCCATTTATTAATTCATCTTGCACGTGATTACAAAGATTTGTAACATGGCACTTAAATAAATTAATAGATCAACCCATTTAAATACCAATACAATTCCTTTATTTGCCTTGAACTTGTCTTGGATTAGGTCATACCTGATTTATTTGCAGGAGTACATTTCTTGATCTTAATACATATTACATAAGCAGTGGAAGTTTAAGGATGCTTTTGTATATTTACTTTAACAAACAAATTGTTGAGAAAATATTTTTACTCACTGTTACTAGGTGGCAGAAAAAGTCCATTTATATTACGGGGTTTGCTGTGATGGAAGACACAACTGATCCTCACACAGCCTAATGGCTGTGTTTCCCAGAAACATGAGATGTTGCTGTACTTCTGCTGCAGGACAGAGTAGTTTTCAGATATTGTAAATATAACAATAAAAAGAGACTACATTGACTAATACCTGGTGTACTGTAGTGAATAGATAAATAACACTTTTGAAGACCATATTCTGGTATGTTAGAACATTTTAAATTGTCTACAGTTAAGTCAAGGAGTTTTAATGAGGTAGAACTGTTACCGGACAAGAATCAGAGTAAAGCTGTTTATGCGCACTGTACTGCAGACTTTTTATGAGATGCTGGGAAGAAAAAATCTATTATTTTTAATATACAACATTTTTATTTAATTTATACACATAAATTTTGAGTTTTCTTTTCTACTTAATGGGATAATCAGACCTATCTCAAATGAAATCTGCTGCACAAGTGCAATACTGTACTCTCTTAATATTAAAAGATACAGGCCCATGGGAAAATAAAACAAAACCCACAGAGATGCCTAACAAAAAACGAAAAAGTAAAAATTTGGGAACTTGTAATCCTTGTACAGACTTGTCAGACTTGGATTACAAAACAAGAGAAAAAAAAAGTCTTTTTTTTCATTTCACATTCAAAACATCACTTTGGAAGGAGAAAGTCACTTTTGATTTCAGACTAAAAAAATGTGCTTGAAGGAACTTGCTCTTTTGTACCTTATTTCCATATGTCTAAATCTGCAAAACAGATGTGAACATTCTCCTTGCCTTCATAATGAGCACACAGTATCACAGCTGAGAGGTTTTTCACAGTGACAGAATCTGCACTTGAAACCCTAATGAGGAGAATGACTTTGAGGCTAAGACATATTAGATTCCTGTGTATTAGTTCCTTCCTTAAATGTCAGTCTCCTCTTATATAAACTATTTTTAATTAATGAGGGAGGCAATATGGCAGCCAAGAATAAACATATTATGGTGACAAATGCTTACAAGTTCACAAAAATATTCAGGATATGATGTTCTGAGACTACTGTCATTTCACTGCTCATACCATCTCCCAGCTGTTTTTACATATGACAAACAAAAGCCTAATGAAAAAAAAAAAAAAGTATCGACAGCTTTAAAAAAAAAATTGCTGCTTTACTCCTACATATGATCACACTTCAGTTCTCCCTATATTAATATTCTTCCACTTTAAAAGTCTGCATGATATTGCACGATTAGCACTCTTCCGATGCAAATCCCTTTCATTAGTCAAACAAAATTACTTTTCTCTATCTCTTCCTTACTAACAGTTTTCAGATTCTAGCACCACCTATGATTATACAATTCACTTATCCCTATAACCTGAGGTATCTTCCATAAGCATGTGATAAGGAAACTCCTAATTCCAAAAAGGCACATGCTCATGACCATTACCCTGAATATGGGAAACTCAGGTTCATATCTGGGATATGGACTACAAGCCAGCTGGGATATGTAAATGCCAGTCTACCAGCTATTTTTTACTGAGTTTCTGTCTAATTTTTAAAGGAAAAAAAAATTGCACTTGAAAATTTTTACCAGTTGGAATAGAAACATTTGAAGAACCCCATTTTGAATGGCTTCATTACATGTAACAGGATGTAAAGAAATTCACATTGTCGCTACAAGCTGAAAATATACTTGGTCTGTTTACTCAGAATTAATATAATTTTGACTCAATAAAGAAAGATGAATGATCAGTGATTTTTATATGGAGTTCTAACTTATGCGTTCCCTAAGTATCTGAGCCCAATTCACATTGGGTACTTAGGACAATTAGCTCTTCTCATTCTGAAAATAAGACATTTGATTTAAATATGCTGCCATGATCAAGGCATATCAACTTCTAAATTTAGATAATAAACCTCCCTCTAAATATGTATATATATCAAGGAATTCAAGGGCGCTGACTACTCTAAAATCTACAGCATTTACCTGTGCGTAGGGAGAATAAAAATAGAAATAGCTGTCATTCCCAACTTCAGGCATTTTCACCTCTTATGCTTCTACTCCACTCTCTTTATGCAGGCAGAGCATACATGAAAACATAAAAGCTATCAACGCATAGGCAAATCTTAATCGTATCTTGAAAACTGTAGTTTTCTTTTAAAAAAGGGGGCTTCGGAACTTCAATTCTGCTTCTTTTTTGAAACAAAACTCCAGCTGACAGCGTAGCTAAAACCAAGTACACTTGAGCTACAGAGGTGGTACCTTCTCCAGGTTTGCTATCTGTTGAAGATGGTTGCTAGCCAGGACAGAATGTTACACATCCACGGTCACCCACTGTTCCTCCAGATCTTGTGACATCATCATGATGACATCATGTGACCTTTTGGGCTTGAACATCTTCCTTAGTTCCATTGCTTCAGAATAAAGTATGGAAAATTGGACCATTTCCAAGAGTTTCTTGTATTTGTCCTTCAAAGTTTCTTCTTTCAAAGATTTCCACACAAAATGGAACAAACCCATTTTGCACAGTTTAAATGATACCCAACTTCTAACTACAGAAGCTGTGGTCTTCCAAATAAAACTTTGATATAATGAATACAACATTTATCCTTTGAGTAATTTTTAATCCAAATTCTTGCACTCAATGGTTTTCTTACCGTATCCTTCTTTGGACTGAGACGGTGCTTCCTGTGAGTACACTGTTAGGTGTTAACTGCTTATCTTGTTGCAGCTAATTGCTTTTTCTTGCTCCCATGATGCCCACCACCAGATACACTTTTGTTACTAATTAACACCTCTCTCACTATTCACATTCAGGTCCTGGGCTGCCTCTGAAAAAATAATAATAATACATTTAGCGATGAAAATAAAGTGTTAATCCTAGAAAACGGTAAGGGATGCATTTATTCCGACTACATGGGATCAAACTCACAACGCTGAGTGGCATCTCTGATTTCAAGATGAACGTTGTGGAGCACTGCCAGATCAAAAAGTGACACTTTAGAAGTAAAATATAAAAGGAAGAGCAAAAGGAAAAGGAAATCAACCTCAAAGGCAAACAATGCCAAAGCTTATAAAGCAGTAAGAATACAAATAAAGAAGGTAGATACACGATGGAATTCAAGCAAGAGCACTAGCAACACCAGAAGTATATGCAATTTGGCGTTCTTTAGGGAGAAGGAAAAACAAACAAACAAAACAACACACGTCCGGGGGCGGTGAAGGCAGGCAGGAGGTGTCCGCACCTCGGGGGCCGCACCACGTCCCGAAGCCCGGCCGGGCGGCGGCAGCAGCAGCAGTTCCGCCAACGGCCGCCGCTGCGCGAGCCTCAGCGTCCCCCCAAACCGACGGGGAGAAGCCACGGCAGCCGGGACTACATTTCCCGTGGCTCACCGCAAGGAGGGAGGGGTGGGGCGGGAGGGCTGCGCGGGCGCACTTGGCGGCCGGTCCGGCGGCGGCTGTCGGCGCGGCGCGGCGCGGCGCGGCGGGGCGATGCGGCGGCGGGGCGCGGTGCAGCGCAAGCTGCCGTGCCTGTTCGTCACCGAGGTGAAGGAGGAGCCCTCGGCCAAGCGGCAGCGGCAGGTGCCCGGGGCGGCGCGGGGGGGCGCGCAGCAGCACCAGCACCACCACCACCACCAGCACCAGCACACCACCGCGGCGGGAGGCCTCTCGCCCTGCGGGACCCCCCCGAGGGCTGCCCGGCCCGCATGGGGGCCCTTCAGCTCTGCTTCTCCTGACGGGGGTGTCCCGGGGCCCGCCCTCACTCTGCTTTTTCCAAGTGTAGGCAACATGGCAAGGAACCAGGCCGCTCCAGCGGGAGCGCCCGGGTGTGTGTAAAGCCGGCCTGCAGCCCCTGCCTGGGGAAAAATACGCATTTTTCATCATTATTGTCACTGTTTTCTTTGATCGAAGGTGTATGAGGCTCTTAAGATGCATAATACACATCAAGGTGAAAGCAATGGAGACCAATGTGACATCCTCTCAGTCATGGTTGGTTTATGGGTGGAAGGGACAAAATAACACCAGTGGATCCGTAGCTGTTGTTAAACTGTCAGTACCAGCACCATATTGATAATTGGTCATGTCAGGCTCCTTCCCTAACTTGGTGTTCCTGCATATAGAACAAGCAGATGTGATTAGATCTGGAACTGGTATGCTCTGTTTTCTTGTTCCAAGTGCAGGCAAGGATATTACATGGGCTTTGACCACTAGGAGAGAAAGGCAACGGTGGTGATAGGTAAACCAACAGGTATCTTCTCATTATCCTAAAAATGTTGTCTTCATAAATACTTTGTTATGGTTACAGATACAATCACTGAACTGTAAAAGTCATGCAATGTAAAGGAACTATGTAGGAGCTTTTCATTTTATGAATTTTATGTATTGTGTTTTTCAAGTCAAGGACTTCTTTGTGTTTTGATAGCAGGAGTTGGTGACCAGTTTACAATTCAGAGCTGACAAGGGAGAGATGAGGGATGGTTGGTTATACAGGAAGATATTTTAATCCAAACATAAATGTTAACATGTTTTCACAGAAACCATTACAGAAATTCTACTAAGGAAAACCTTGGAAACTTGGACTAGTTGTGCTTGGATATTTGTTTAAGATCCCTGGATCACTTATTTCTGTTTGTTTTGTTTTGTTTTGTTTTTTGAGATGAAAATGTTTAGTTAACACTGAGTATTTTACAATAGAATGCTTTGCTACCTTGCATACCAGTGGTCTATGTGTTGTATTAATTATGGTGCCATTGCTGTTCAGTTCCAAACCAAAAGGTAGGGGCAGGTAGTCATGATGAGCTTATATTACCATAGTAATACGGGAAGGTATATTTCAAAATTTTGTAATGTTGGACTGGAACCCATTTGTATTATATGCACCATTTAAAGTGGAATGCAGAACAGTCTATAAATCAAAAATGGAAAAGAGGGAAAGGCAGATAGGTTGCCTTTGTTCTTTTGCCTTATGGTATTCTGCAAACTTGTCTTGAAGAAACAATGGTATACTTTGATAGTATTAGAAATCAGCAATAAAATGCATAATACTGGATTTGTAGAGCTCAGCCATGTGAAGCAAGAGTCCATATGAAAACAAGGCCGTAACGTAGCAATGATTGGAATTTAAAGTACCTGTCTTCTTTTCAGCCATTTAAAGTTTTGGCAACTGAAACTCTAAATGAAAAGGCATTAGAGGCAGATATATACAATGCAATTCCTACTGAAAAGGTGGATGGGACCTGCTGTTATGTAACTACTTATAAAGGTAATAAGAAAGAGCCATATGCATATTTTCATGTTGACTAGCAGTTTGTTTTACGTGACTACAAAGTAATAGTTACCATAAATATGGTAGAAGTCCATAAAGTTGTTAGAGATTTTACTTTCCAACGTACATGAAATATAGTTTAAGTTAATATTCCAATCTTAAAACTTCTTACTAGTAAATCTTCCTTGCACACTAGAATTTATATAGAGGATATTTAATTTCCCTGAGAAGGATTAAAAGAAGTATGGAGGTTGGGGGGAAATGAGAAGATTGTGGTTTATTGCATCACTAGGATTCTTATCTTTACCTGAAATTGTAAGAAAACTTTCTATTAAACTAGACAAGATTCTACAAGTAGATTTTTTATATTTATATACAGTAGTTAATTTATTAATTTAAATATTCTTTTGGATGTGAAATTTCTGTAGTGACAAGTGAGAATTCATATTTTACCTTTTGTGCAGTTGATTTTAGTACTCCGCGGGGTATAGTTACTGGGGTAAACTGCTGGTTTTATACCTCTGGCATCTCTAGGGCGACCATATCTATGGGCAAGGCTGGACAGAAGACCCAACAAACAAGCTGAAAAAAGGTTTAAACAATTCTTATATTCATTGGAAGATTGCAAAGGTTAGTGACAATTTTTGCCTGCTTTGGTAATGTAAGTTATCCACTGGAATAACACCTCTGGTCTAACACAGGAAACGTCAGTGATCCTACTCTTTTTTCATGTCACTCAACTTTATTTCTCTTGCTCTAGTTTAAATATAATGTTAGCTATTTCTTGGCTATTAGCTATTTCTTAATTGTAGTCAGTTTGAAATTTTAAACTACTTACAGGCTGTAAACTGTCCTAACTCTAGACTGTATGAGTATGACAAGTGTTGGGGTTTGTACAAAGTAATGCAGACTACTGTCTTTAAAACAAGGTTTTAAACTTGCATTGATAGAAGATTAAAATGTAGAACTGGCTAACAGTTTGTGCAAATCTAAATGCCACATTTATATGTCTAGAATTTATTTGGAACTTTGAAGAAGATTTCAAGCCTGTTCCAGATACATGGATTCCAGCAAAAGAAGTAGAGTTCTCTAATGGCAATCCTTTGCCCGATGAAAATGGACATATGCCGGGTAAATATGGCAAAATGCGGGAAAAAATAATTTTTGAAGTGAATTAGGATTAGTTCCAGAGTTAAAAAATAGTAGCTAACATTCAGAAAACAATTGGACTGTTGTGCATTCATTATCCAGAAAGGCTGTGTTCTGATGTAATGAAAATAGTTTGTCTTAATCTGAAACTCTGTACAGAAAAATTGACAAGTTTGTGTTCCTCTGACATTTCTTTGAGATGTGACAGCTTTTCTAGTAACTCTGTGTGTAGCTAAGGTAGATGATTTTATTTTTTTTTTCAATGCATCTACAGTTCTAATATGTATTCGATACATTTAGATACTTTGGTAAAACCCACTGTTTCCTCATAGGTTGGGTGCCTGTGGAGAAAAATAGTAAGCAGTATTGCTGGCACTCATCTGTTGTAAATTATGAGGCTGAAATAGCACTGGTATTGAAACACCATGCTGACCCTGGGCTTTTGGAAATCAGTCCAGTACCACTGGCAGAACTTCTAGAGCAAACACTGGAGCTTATTGGGACAAATATTAATGCAAATCCATACGGTAAGTTTGTATGTTCAGTTCTTAAATACTCTTTTACTGAGCGATATTTTAGGTGGAAAATAATAATTTTCTTTGTAAAATGTTTTTTCCTGTAATTATAATAACATGTTCTAAATTAGAAATGTAACATCTTAGTTCAACAATGGCAAGTGCAGGGTCCTACACCTAGGAAGGAATAACCCCAAGCCCAGTACGGGCTGGGGACTGACCTGCTGGAGAGCAGCTCTGCAGAGAGAGACCTGGGAGTCCTGGTGTACAGCAGGCTGACCATGAATCAGCATTGTGCCCTTGGGGCCAAGAAGTCCAATGGTATCCTGGGCTACATTCAGAAGAGTGTTGCCAGCAGGCCAAGGGAGGTGATACTCCTCCGCTACTCAGCCCTGGTGAGGCCTTCCTGGAGTATTGTGTCCAGTTCTGGGCTCCCCAGTACAAGAGGGGCATAGAACTACTAGAGCGAGTTCAGAGGATGGTTAGAGGGCTGGAGCACCTGCTGTATGAGGACACGCTGAAAGAGGGGAGAGCTCATCAATGTGTATAAATATCTGAGTGGAGGGTGTCGAGAGGATGGAGCTAGTCTCTTTTCAGTTGTGCCCAGCAACAGCACAAGAGGTAATGTGCGCAAACTGAAGCACAGGAAATTCCACATGAATATGAGGGGGCACTTCTTTCCTGTGTGGGTGACAGAGCACTGGAACAGGCTACCCAGAGAGGTTGTGGAGTCTCCTTCTCTGGAGATTTTCAAAACCCACCTGGGTGCCATCCTGTGCAATGTGCTCTAGGTGATCCTGCTTGGCAGGGAGTTTGGACTAGATGATCTTCAGAGGTCCCTTCCAACCCTGCCCATTCTGTGATCTTATAGAAAGGAAAGAAAGGGCTAGCTCAATGAACATTCGCAGGTTGGCACCAAAAATTAATCACCTCAGAAAGCTGAGTTGTCCTGAGTCTGCTTGTCTATTGAAGCTGTTTCTGCCTTCATATTCTTCAGGATTTAACATCAAAATGCTTTGCTATTGCCTTTCAAAAAAGAGCAGCAGTTTTGTTCAACAAAAGAAGCATGAATTAATAAGCTTCTGCATTAAAATAACTGTGATTTAAAACAAAACAAAAACTGGGTATACCTTGGCTTTGCATATACCTATGTAGAGTAAACCATTTACACCAAACCTAAAATTGAGGTTTCGGCTATATTGATGCTGAGCTGTGTCTGACACCTGACAGGGAAAAATGGCTATTCTGTTGAAGAACTACTTTCTCAGCAATCAAGAAGTAAGTTTTATCTAATGCTTATTGCAGTTTCTAGACCAGTTAACTTTTTTTTTTCTTTCCCCTCAGGAATAAATACTCTGATTGGAAAAAATGTCTTAAATGTTAGTCTTCGAAATATTTTAAGATTGTTTGATGGTGCCTTTTCTTGTCTTTTTTTGCTTTCTTGATACTATTAGTCCATTAAAATTAAACGCTTTATTCAACCATAATTTTTAGTGCCTATTAAAAAAAAGTTGTAATTTTCTAAAATTGTGACATATTATGAGTATCTCTTTAAGGAAGTGTAATTTCAGCTAAATTTTGGCTGTGACCTCTCCCCTTAAAGTTTGTTAACAAAACCCACAATTATGTATAAGCTCAAGTGCATTTTAATTTCTTAGCTTGGCTGCTGTAGTAATCTGCAGGGATGGATAGGAAAAGTAGTACATACTCTATGTGCTTTGTTAGAATTTAGATTTTTTCCTTTTTTTTTTTTTTCTTTTTTACAGTTCCTTTAACAGCTTTTTTCTTAGTTATTCAATATAAATCTTCAGTCAGTGAAGAGGCAATGCATTTATTAACAGCCTGGCCTATCAATCAATCCCCATGTGTAAGAAAATATGCCAGACTTTCAGAAAGATGCTTGTTTGTGATACGGATTGTGATTAAAAGCATGAAGAATTTCATCAGTGATTTTATGGTTACTGAGGAGGTGAGCATGAGGACTGAACAGAAGATAGTATAACCTGTATATCATGTTGATTTATTTTATATAAATAAAAGTTACACGAGGAAGAGATGGCTACATTTGATACTTATACTTAACTGGTCTTCTAAAGGCAGGACATTTTTGTAGTATCTAACAGAAATCTACCTTTATAGGGTGCTTTTAAGATAGCTGTAATAACAAAAATGGGGAAAATGTTAAATTTAAACACATAACTAGAAGGATGATTTTTGTTCCTTTTAACAAAGGATTGGGAAGCAGAAAGCAACCTGTACATCTTCTTGTACCACATGGAGCATTTGAAATAAAGAATCCACCTTCTTTGAATCAAAATGACATACTGTCTTGGTTTGAAGGCTGCAGTGAGGGTAAAGTTGAAGGAATTGTGTGGCACTGCCGTGATGGGTGTTTAATCAAGGTAAATATATTGATAGACATGTGGAAATCACTATAATACATGTAATTTGTACTATCTGAGGTATTGTGATTTACTGTTTATTCTGCCTTTTCCAAATTCTCAATAGTAAACATTCTCCTAGCAAATTAGGTTACAGCAGAATTAGTCAAGCCACTGAAAAAGTAATCACTACAAATGACAGCTTATTAAACTTTTCCATTACCTATATTATAGATAATAGTTACTGAGAACACAAAATAATGTTTTTCCTATCTCTATACAAATCACTCAGTATTTTAAAGTTTATTTTAAACATTCATTTCCTGTAATGTCATTTAGAATAAGGATTGTTAATAAGAATGTGTTCTCTGTTTAATTAGCAAGTTAACTTTTATTTCTGAAGCTGTGGTTCTGGTTTGCCTTTTGTGATTCACTTAGTCGTGTTATTCAAGTAACAGATAACTAATGGATGTTTGTAAGAAGAGATCTACTGCAGGGAATCCTAGAATTAAGGCCTCCCTCTTTCTTTCAAAATAGGCACTGCTGGGCTACTATATTCAAATCTCTAAATGGATCTGTTTCTTCTTCTTTTAGCTCCATCGCCATCATCTTGGTTTATGCTGGCCACTTGCAGAGACATACCTGAATTCTCAGCCTGTTGTCGTTTCTTTTAATAGAAATGATTATGACTGTGACTTTGGACCAAAGAGTTTGTTTCACCATTTTTCAAACCTAGATGGTCAAAGATTCGACAGACTCAAAGATATCAAGTTTGATGGTTGAAGTTTTTTTTTATTTTAAGTTAATTGCTGTATGTCCTGCACTCTTCTTGTTTCTGTCTATCACAGAACTCCTTCCAAAAAGGAATCTTGCTGATTAGGCAGTGGGCACAATACTCTGCATTTTGAAGTTCTTCCTAAATGACTAGTTGTATGTAATAGGAAATGTGACATTCAGAACAGAGATCTAGCTTTCAGCATGTTTTTTTTATCACTTCTGAAAAAATACTTAATTTGTTTACCCATTCTTGGAACTGTTACGGTCAAATAGTATGTTGTCCAACAGTGGCTGATCGGAGTAGTTAACGAATGACAACAACTGTAAAAGTTCCATAGATTGCCCTTTTCTAAATATAATTACTGTAACATGTAGAATTCAGATTGCTTTTTCTTATCAGCACAAGATAGATTTCTGGTGGGACTAGAATTAGGCCTGAAATGTAATAATTTTTTAAAGGTTCGAGTTCTTCTTGGGGAAGGCATTCACTGTATTATTTAGCTGATAAGCTGCAGCATTATGCTAGTACCTGAAAACCTAATTAAGCTATTTCATAATTTGGGACAAAGATCAAAGTATGTAATAGGAATTATACTCATTCTATTTTCAAGATCCTTAGTAACTTGGAAAAGATGTGACTTGGTTTAGTAATAGGCATTCTGAGACTGCACCTAAATTTATCAAGGATATATTAAGTATTTGAAAAAAGATGACATAAATAAAAGTGAGAATGCGTGATGAGTGGGCTTTGTTTATTTGCACTATAAAGTACACATATATATAAAGTATATAAAATGTAACATTTCACATAGCTGCACATTTATTTATATAGAAGAATACTGTTTATTTACAATTGTTCATTCTTGAATTTTGTAAAAATGCAGTAAATATAAATGATCTTGTTATAAGAGAGACAACCATAGTCAAGATGTATTACAGCACACGACAGCAAGAATAAATTATATAGTACTATTGATCAGGAATTCAGCATACACAGTATGCATTCAGAGTTTCTGAACTTCTAAGTGGAGTTGAAAGCTTGGACTTCTCTGAAAAATACACGTAACCACAATTACTGTTCTGAATTAATATCGCTATGTGTCTGGGGGAGGTAAAGCTGTTTTTCATTTTGACTGGTGTATACCACAATCCACTGCCTAATCCAATTCTGCATGCTGTGGTATGTGCCAAGCCATTGTAACTTTAATAATTTGTATCATTCCAGAAAGAAAATAGACAAATAAATCAGTATTATATAACTGCCCCAGAATTTATTTTCTGTATTAATAATGAGGATACTAAACATGAGCCTAATCAATGGAAACATTGGCTGGACTATCCACATGAATGCCAAACTCTTCAGAAAGCTGCTTTAATCTTTCTTCTAAAATAATATTTTTTTTTACTTCTTCATTATAGTTATATTTCAGATCCTCAATTTCTTCAAAAAAGGAAGGGTTGAAGTTTTCCAGTTCTCTTCTCAACTTTTTTGTTTCTTCCTATTAAAAAGAACAAAGGAGTACCATCAATATACAGAACTTAGGAAATACATGTCAAAAACAGCTTTTTTGCCTTTTTCTTCAGAGTTCTCGCTTCACTACAGAGACACAAAAATCTACTCAGAAACAGCAAATTAATGAACAACAAAATCTGCTTTATAAATATAATGCTTAGAAATTGAGGTGTTGTTTTAGTGTTAGTTTGGATATCAAATAGCTCTTTCTAGCCACCCATAATTTTGCAAAGGATGCTTTTGCCAAGAATAATCTTAACAACTCACCTTTAATTGCTGTTTTTCTAATTCTGAGGCTTTTAACTGTGCCTGGAGGTCAGCTACATCTGTCATTCCCTTGTCGTTTTTATCCTTCTCAACAATTTCATTATGTCCTGCAAAAAATGTGGACTTGATAGGAAATTAAGGTAATGATAATCAATCACATGAACAATTTTGTTACAGTAGGTTTGCTTTTCTTGAAAGTTGAAACAGTAGAAGTGTGTAAACGCAACTGTGATCAACAACCACCGAAATACATAATATATATTATGGAATATGATTCTTGGGACTAAATGCAATACTGCCTTAGTCAGTGTAGTAGCACACTTCTGAGAAATACAATATTCAGTTTCTCTGAATTAAATGCAGGAATTTTTGGAAGTTACATAGTTTAAGGATCTTAAACTGTATTCATGATTTTAAGAGTGCTTTTTTGTTTTTGTCCCTCCTCCCCCCTCCCCCCCCCCGGTGTTATGGCAGTGCACTGCTCTGCAGTGCTCTCCATGTCCTCCTTTGTTTTCGCTATGGGACTGATGCCTGCTAACTCTTAAATCATTCCACATACCTGGAAATGGACACTTCTCTGGCAGCTTGGAGCCTTAGGCAAGAGGAGTAGGGAGGATGGTTTCAATGAACGACAAACCTTACAAACAGTCTTCTGAGGTTTATGAGGTAAATGGTAGCGTGAAATACCCACTTTCTTGGGATAGGAAATCTTGCAAAGATTCCATCCTCTTGTTAGGCTGGATCTTTCATTATAGAAAATTTTTACTAATACTCCCTATAAAAAGGCTGTTTACTCAAAGACCTTAATCTGCTCCAGTTTATGGTACTTCAGCATTAATAGAATCCAGATAATTCTGTGGATTTATTACCATCTAGCACACATTAAGTAAAAACTGTTTTAGGCCCAAAATACATGAAGATCTTTATTAGAGATACTAAAAGAGATTACCAGCTGCAGGACCTTCACTTGTATACGTATGTATGTGGTGCTTATAGTTTTCCACCTGGTGAGCTAGTTCTGCTTTTTCTTTCTCTAATTGATTATTAGTTGATCTGGAATATAAAATAATTTTAGAATTTTAAAAAATCATCATAATGTTTCAGAATATCTAGTAATATAAATAAAAATTCCTTCTGTTTCTTGATCATTCTTATTTCATCTATACTGGCCGAGGAATACAGTACCTTAAAAGCTGAAGCTCCCTGATGAGGCCTTGTTCTGTCCTTGCATCTTCAGAAAATTGTTTGAGAAACTCAATCTTAAGACAAGTTAAAAAAAAAAAAAAAAGTCTTAGTCTTGAAAACAGTATCCACAGATACTGCAGTTCACATGGGATCACGGAATTACTTCTCTTTGGCATAGCTTAATAAAATAAATGAAAATACTGCTAACAGTAAATTTTAAATATATATTATGGATTATTATATAAAATATTAAACAATGGTACAATGGTCTATTATATAAACATATTATTATATACATGTCTATATAGACATATACATGTCTATTATAAATACTTTTTCCCCTTACTACTACTTGAGTACAAAGGGAGAAAAAAATGTTTACCTACTATCATTTTCTGCAAAGCTTCTAGTTATTTACAGTACTCTTAAAGCTAGTACAGGTTAGTGCTGTATATTTCATGAAAAGTAAAGAAAGAAGTAAGTATTCACAAGCCAGATTTACAAAAAAAAAAAAAAAAAAGTTAGACACATGGATAAACCTGAGGATAATTTATAGATATGCTTAAGAAAGTGATATACATAAAGGTGCATAAAAATACTACCAACATGCTTATTTGAGTGTATTAAGTATCTGAGTTCCTTTTTAAGCGTGATACAAAAAGTGATTTTTAAATTAAAAAGCAAATGTATGTGATGTTGACTAGAAATGACCCGCAGTCGTAAATTAGAAACAGGTTTCTAAACAGAGGAGTTAGCCTGTGGAAGTGCCTTTCAGTAGAAGTTAGAGGAAGAAAAAGTTAAAGTCTTTCAAATGTGAAACTGGATGTTGTTTTTTTAAATACGATGACAATTTATTAACTCCCAGTAAGGCTACTGTTAGCAACAGACTTTATTCTACTGTCTAAAATTCTTTGACAGTCTCCATTTTGAAACGGAGTTAACCTTGACCACAGGCCATCATCTACATTTGAGACACAAGACAAACCTTGAAGTGTGATGCCCCAGAGTCATACCACATAATAAAATAGTCTGTTTTTTGTTTTTTGTTTTTTTTTTTTTTGCTGTTGGTATATGCTTTATGTTAATAATTCTGATTTTAAACTGAAAAGTGAAACCAAGCAAAGCTTTACAAAATAATTGTTTTACAGAACTCCACTCTAAGTTCTGCTTATTGAACAAGCTTACCTGCTTTGATAATATATATGACTTTATATTGAAAATTCCTTGTATCAATACTTTACTCTGAAAATGGCCAATGCAAGATAGAAGCTAATCTAGGTGGATAGTGCTAGGACTAAATGTCTGACATACTTGAAGTTCAAAATCTTACAGATCTTTTCAAAGATACCTTAGTTTAAAATTAAGAATTCTTCCATGTGCGAAATATATTTGTAGGACTTACTAAGGTCTGTGTGTAAGATGCCATATTAGAAAGAGATATGAAAATCCCTTTTAGGGACTCAGTCCCCCCAAAATGACCTGGAAGAAAGAGGAATGTTCTGGTGGCAAATTCAATGTGCTGACCAAGCTAGAATGATTTTAAGACAACACGAACCCTCTATACTTACAGGCTTCAAATGATCAATGCAACTAAAATAAAACTACAGAGAAATATTATTTCCCCAGTAAGTGCAAGTCATAAATATATACTGGTAATATGTAGTAAACCTTATTAATCCTGAAGTATCTAAATGTACAATTACGGCATTTTAGACTGAAAAAAACCTCATGGGCTAGAGAATAAATAATATACTCTGCCACTATAGACGTTAGAATGAAATTAATCTGTTCTCAGAGTCATCTGGCTAGACTTTACTCACTTGTTCTTTCAGATCTTTTAAGTTTTTATCAGCATTATGTTCACGTTCTATTGCCTCCTGAAGCAGCTGTTTAAGGTTAGTAATGCTTTCGTTTTTTTTAGCAATATCCATTTCCAGTTCCTTCAACTTTGTTTCCTGCATCCTGGTAAAAAAAAAAAAAAACAAAAACAAAAAACCAACACACACACACATATATATATATATATATATATATATTAAGAGAGAGATAAGAGCAAAAGCTATTGCATTTGCAGAAATAGAGATTAAAATATTCTCACATAGATGAAATGCTGTAAAATGCATTCTAAATGTTTGGAGCAGAGGCCTAGAAATAATTACTGGTCCTGTTTATAAGCAAGCTGAATGACCACAACAAGAAATGCTTTTTTGTGATTTTTGAATAAAAAGGCTCTTCCACGTGTTCCATTGTTGCTGACCTTACTTTGTTTCTTTACCAATAACGGCCTGGAATCTTTCCATTGTACTGCACATATATCCCAGCCTACGCCCTACTAAAAACATGCATGTCTTTTACTGCACTCAGCTGATGCAGTGGTGTGCATGGGTCATGTCTCAATTCAGTGTCATACGTTTATAGTATTATAAATTAAAAATGTATGGAAATTATGTACTGAGAAAAAGTTTAATACAGATACAGGAAATGAGGAATCCAACAGAAAAAAAAAGTTCTACAGTAAATGATGTTTTGCCCTGGAGTAACCATAGTCTGAGAAAGATTCCATTTTCTTTGAGACATACAAGACTACAAAAATGGTTTTGTAGAATCACTGAAATGTCAGTTGGTAAGCTCCTCTGGAGGTTACCTAATCCAACTCTGAAGAGGCTTTTCAGGTAGTGATAGTCTCCAGTACCTTGCTACCTGCCAAACAGTAGAATGCCAAGGATGAAGTTTTCCCTGGATGAAACTTTTGGATGATGCCCTGTCAAGGATCTTTTACTACCATGTAAGTGCTTTGGAAAACATGCGTGTGAGGTAGACTGCATGATGAAACGCAACAATGAGATTCTCTAGGTTAGCTTTTCTAGGTTGATGTTATTCATTTACTTTAAAATCATGTTAATCTCAAAGCATGTTAAAGCAAATAAAAATTTTTACTCACACCACTTGAAATAGTCAAGTAGAATTAATTAGTCACTATACACACTCACACCTACCTATATTAACCAAAAAGAATTAGGCACAAATGTTTTTCAAAGAGATAAGCTAAAAGAAAAACTATATTCAAACTATATATTGGGTTGATAATTGTAAGAGATTAAGTTGTGTTTTAGCATTGGAAAATTCCACTAACCTTGCATATTCAAAAGTGATTGTGTAGGCATAACACTGGGGGGTATGTTAAGCAGGTAAGGGGACAATGAAGGTCCCACTGTCCCAAAGTACGGAGGATGGCTAAGAAAAACAAGACAAGCAGTTGCAGAATCAGAGAAAAAAAAAAATATCATGGGCCCCTCCAGTCACAAGGAAAAAAAAGGGAGGGGGAGGAAGAGGAGAAATTGACAAGGTAAACTTGGTGAAATAAAAATCAACACATGGTATAGTAACAAGCGTCAAGTAGCTTGTGAACCTGTAGTACTGAGCCAATGAGGAAAAATCAAGCACTGGGTAACAGGGAATAGAAGGTTATGATACACGTCTGCTGTGTGCTCCTACTTGCAGGACGCCCGCCCTTGCAATCGTGAATAAAAATGTTAGTTCACTGAGATCCTTGCCTGAGTCTGTGTTTCTGGCTGCAGATTGTTTCTCACATAATGCTAATGCAAGCTGTTAAGGGCCTACCATCTTCACTGCATGATCCTGTTCTTCCCGTGGCTGGCAGCCAATTTCCCCCAGTAATATGGCTGTCACCTGAGCTTGCATGAAGACATTCTACATCACTGCAGGGTTAGGAGGAAAGGGGAAAAAAAAGAACAGCTTTCTGAAGTCTCATTGAAGTGAAATACCTCAGCCAACACGTCAGAGAAGCCACCAAAACGCTGCCAACCGATTCTGTGGGAGTGCAAAACTAAGAAGTGGGTAAAATCACGGACAGCAGCAGAGAGACTAAAGCTCAACAGCTATCTGACCTCGCCTGCAATCAGACAAGTTTCTTTCTGTTTTGCAGCATGTGAGCTTACTTTGTCCTGAGGTCATCCCTGGATAGTAGTATTTTTCTGCAAAAATTTGCTCTCTTCCATTCCTATTTGGACAGAGGGTGTTTCTTAATAGCATAAGCAGTGTTTCAGTTTCTTGTCCTTTTAGACATGCCAGTACAAGAGATAACACCCAATTCAAAATTCTTGCCTCAAGGAGGGATAAAATTCTCCTTTATTCTCTGTTTTCATGTGAATGTATATTATATCAAACTTCATATTCTGTATCAATGTGTTCATTGTTAAACATGCCAGTGAGAGACCTGACTAGCCTCCTTGGCTGTAGCTCATTTTTGAAAACAGGTATAAACAGTAAAGCATTTTGGACTGGCAATGGTTTTGGGCTGACTGTTCCCCAAAACACTTTCTGTAAACAAAGCACAAAACAGTACTGAACAGTTTGTTTCTATGAAATAAAAAAAATGCAATTAAAGTAGTTCAGGCTGTCGAGTTAAGATGTTCAGCCTTTAAAAGCAGGTTGTCATAGAAAAAGCATCTGAACTACGTGCAGAAGTACTGACAAAATAATACAGCATGCATAAGTTGAAATGTAGAAACTGGTGTCATAAAACCATTTTCTTTAGTGTGTTCTACCCTCAGTGATGCAAGTGGTACCTGAATTTTAGAACAACTGACAGGTAGCTTTCAGGTAACTGACTAGTAAAGATTTGTAAACATTTGCTATTATTAGCAAAGCAAAAGTGACTTTTGATTCTGATTTCAAAGTCTGAATTCTAAGTACAAATTTAGGAGTTGACAATTCCCACAATTCTTTTTATATATACTGTAAAAGATGATCCAATGCTAGTCTCTGAATTTTTCTCCCTTCTACTACAATTAACAGGACCACCTGGCTGACTGCAACTTGCTTTCAGGGCCTCCAGAACACATATGAGGGATCTTTAGCACAGGTCCCAAGGAGCACGGAAATCCCAGTGGGCTTCCTAACAACCTCTGCATGTTTACACGGTTAAATGTAGATAAATAAATGCAGCCATGCTGGAAAATGCAGTCTGTGGGACTCCTTTTTTTTTTTTTCTTCCCCAGGTTGCTATCTTTGTGGTAAGGTACTGAAATATATGCTTTTTATATTCAGCAAAAATGCTGATATTACTCCACAAAGCACAAAGACACTACATTTGAGTAGCAAGGAACACAAAATATGTCCTCTACCAAAACTATACAGGAGTCTACAGCTGATGGGAAGAAAGAGGAAGGCCAGTACTTAAGGATGGTAGCACTCTGCTGGATTCATATCAGAGATCCATATACTAATTCTACATACTAATATAGAACCAGAAAATAATATTAAAAGTATCTTCAAAAGAGGAAAGAAAAATTATGAAAATGAAAGCCTTTATTTTTTTTGCTAATACTTAAAGAGGAATGAAAAAGAACTTAATTCACAATTCCTACCTTGTTACAACAACTGAATTGCTGCTTTTCCTGTCAGCTTCATCAAGCTGAGGGCCTGTGTTCTCAGCCAAATTTAGTCTCTTAATGGCTTCCTCCAGCTGTATGGTTAACTTCTCATTTAATATCTCCAAGTTATTCTTTGCTATTCGGAGCTTCTCTCCACTGTCAGCTTCCTATTGTTCAATAAAAACAAAGTTTTATAAAATAGATAACCTCCTACGAAGCACTGGGTTATCTAAACAGATGGTGAGAGAGAGATTAAGCGCTGATGGTGTATCCTAGATAGATGGTATCTCAGATCACCGGCACTAAAACTTACACATACTCTAATGTCCTGTTTCTTGGATGTCTCCTCTCCACATATAATTAAGAATTTGGTCATGGCAATACTAATACTAAGAAAAGCATCTATTTCATTTCAACCATTTTTTAAAAAGTAAGACAATTACCACATCCAGTAACTACTGGAAATAAAGGGATACGTTACAATGATCATACCTTCTTCAGCTCTTTTCGTAGCCTCTCATTTTCAGTAATGACTTTTTCCATTCCTTTTGTTCTAGATTCGTAATGCATGCTCAGCTGTCCCCCCAGATGAAGTTTCATTTTTTCCATTTCAGACTAAATAGTAAACAGTTTGTTAAAACACATATATATTACTTAGTAGAAAATTTCCAATTTCTATTTTTAAACCACATCAGAGTTACACCTATCTAGCACACTATATTTCATCATGTTTAAATATATTCTTAAGATAAAAATTACCATTACATAAATCATGCAGTATATTATTCTAAAATGAAGTTTTGATTTTGTATTCTACAAGTTTCATATTTGATATATTGGCAACACTTCTGTACTAATCAATGTCAATAATGGGCCTGCTGTTAAAGTTTCCTACTATAGTATATAAGCTGCTATCTAAATATAGTTATTTAATATGAATCGGTACCTTTAACTTCTCATTTTCCTGTTCAAGACCAAGTAATTTCACATTAGAAACCACAGCTGGAGTTTTTTTCAGATCTTCATTTTCCCTTTGGAGTCTCTCTACAACCTTTTTCATCAAACCAATTGTTTTTTCCAGTTCTGGAATTGTCTTTCCACTTCTACCAGCCTGTGCAGAGGGGAAAAACATAGTGAGGTAAATACTTCAAGTTAACATTCTGAGATGCTCCAAATCATGTTTTACAGTATGTTTTTCCACTGCTTTCTATTTGTTGAAAAGTTGTCATAGTTTGTGTCTTGAATCATAAAGTTCTTGCATACTTACTTCCCTGAAAAGTCTAGTGATATATTTACTCCCAAGGTAAACATATCAGCTCTCTCATTTCCTGTTACCTAAAAAAGCTGCAGTTAAGTCCAAAAATTTGCTGTATTTTATGAAATAAAGTGAAACACTATGAAAATAAATCAAAGTACTCAAGTTTTTATTGTAGAGCAGTTTCCTGATCCAACTGACCATGCTTAAATGCTAACACCGTCTAAAGAATAAAGAAAAAATAATGACTGTATGGGAGCTTGACAGAGTAAGGTGGCCCTTTTTTTAGCAACGATATTTCTACTGGATTAGAGTGACAGAACTACAGCTTAAAGCACAAGTAAATAAATAATAATAATAGTAATTAATTAATTAACAATAAAATTCTCTATTTTTCTTCTTCCACTGCATTCATTTATAACGTAGATAAACTGTTAAAGGGTGTTCAAAAGCTTTTATTTTCTTATATTCTTTGTGGCAATGGACTCCCTCAGCAATAATGATTTAACAATGCCACTGTTTCTAGTTCTGGGGCCATGAAGTACCTCCTATTCTTTCTACAGAGATAAAAACCACAGTATAGCAGAAAATAGGGATGAATTTAGTACTAGGAACTCTCCATAAAGCTACATAGTGAGCACATTTGAAAGTGAGAATTACATTACTTCTCTAGAAGCATTGAAGGAACTTGGAGTTTTTTCATGGTACATTGCAGAACTAAAGAAAAATCTTTAGTTTGTGTCTGGAAAGGAGGGAAGATTTAAAGTTTGCTGCCTCCTCAGAACCTCTGAATGAAGCAGTTTTATAAAATGCCTTATCCAAAAAATACCACTGCATAATAGTGAGCCAAATACACAAGCAGTCCCTGCAATGTACAAGAAAAAGAATGGGAAATACACAGTTTTTTACAGAAACAAAACTCATTCTCCTTGTATACCTCAAAAGCTACAAAGACTCTTCCTTAAGTCTGCTTACTTTAGGAAGCACAGGCCACACAAATAGTTTGACAAGTCAGTGACAGGAGAGGCACACAGCATACCTGAAGCATTTTTCCATTAACTTTTAAAATATTTGCTCCATTAAAATATTTGAGTAAAATTGAAGTGTCATCTTGTATAGTAAAAGAAACAACTTCACTAACAATAACTTACACTTTCTAACAGCTGCATCATATCAAACTCCTACCTTTTTAAATCATAAATCTGTATTACATATTTACATAAATACATTAATATAATTTTTATTACCACAGCTGTAAACTCCTATTTTTGGTACAAATACATTTCTGAAAATAGCTTTAATGCAAATGACAAAACTAGGCCACAATAGTTCAAATATTGTAGCTCTGTTCCCTCTGACTGAATTTCATTAATTTATTATAACACTTTAACAATACAAGTAAGAACAATGCCTTTTTTCTTTCAGACGATTCCAGGTAATTTAGCTTTAATAAAATGTTTATATTTTTCATATTTTTGTTTAATATAATATTGATGAAAAATGCTGTTATGATACTTACCCCTCTAACATTGCCCAGTTTTCGTTCAAGATCTGCTTTCTCCTTTTTGAGAAGTTCACACATTTCTTTTAAGTCACCCACTTGGTCCTCAAAAAAACAAATTGATAAGCACCTTATTTATTTAGATTTCAAACTGAAATGAACAGTAACAAAGTTACTATTGGCTTACTTTGAAAAAAAAAATAATAATAAATTAATTTCACATTGCAATGACATTTTTCATTGTTTCTACCAAGCTTTCTCATCTTGTGTAAAAACACTAATAGTATGTACAAAAAACAAAAAAACAGCTTATTTTTAAGAGACCCCCTAACCTGTGCCAGGTTAAAGTGGACAAAAGGTAAAGAGATGTTACCTTTAGTCTTGGCAAATCTCTATTGGCCTGCTCTAGCTGGAATCTTAGCTCAACATTTTCAGATGATAATCTTAAATTTTCCTTTAGAACATCTTCTCTTTGATATTGATCATTTGATCCTACTCCTGATGTCTTCATAAAACAGAGAGAAAAGTAAATTATTATTAAATAATAAGACATTGTATTGTTGTACCTGTTTGTAGCTCATAAAGAGCAAGAGAAAATTACTACTTTTCACAGAAAAAAAGATCAAAACAAAATACTCAAAGAACAGGATACTATCTTTCTGGAATTTATTCAACACTGAAATTTTGTGAAACATAATTGATCATAATTTTATCACCAACTAACGAGATCTACTTGCTTAACCGCTATAGAAAACTTACTAATTAGTATTAACCCATAAAAAAAAGTGTCAAACTAGAATTAAGTCTCAATCTATTGCCTAGAAATAAAGCTCAAAGTCTACAGACAAAAAAGCTACTGAGTATGGTAAGCTTACTGTACCTATGGTAAGCTAAGTACTGTACCTACAAACAGAATCTGATTTTCAGGGCACATTCTGTTTATTAAATACTACATATGGCGTACAAATTTCACTGAAGTCAAACAGATCATAGAGTGAGTTAGTTCCTATGTTTTAGGTCTTTAACCATGGAGACTAGTCATTTCTATTACATAAAGGGTACTTTATATGCCTTATTGCAATTGTAGGTATATGGAAAATTATTACCCAACACTGGTAACATCTTTTGATAATAATCAGTTTTTGTTTATGTAATTATGTAATTAACCATGTAAGCCATTACTCTACACTAACTGACAGAAATCAAGTACTTGCTTCAATATAGCACTTTTTCTAAGTATAACACATTATAAGTTTCAAAGAGCAAAGGTCATAAATCAGCTGCATGCATGATTGTGATTGTAAACTTTCTAAGCTTCTGTCAATTCTATAATTTTGATCTATTTGTGAGCTGACATACATGTAAATTGTGAAAGGCTAGGATTTTCTTTATGGACCACTTTAATATCCCTGCAGAGCTTTCAAGACCACTGCATTATGAAGATCAAACTATTCTAATTCTATGTCATTTCTACAGAAGAAATGCTAGAGGACCACCATAGTATCAAACCTTAGGCATTTCACAGAGTTCTGGGGTCATTACAACTCCCTCTGTACCACTTCGGTAAGTTTCACATTTATTCTCTGGAGTGTGTTGATTCATTTCATTATTGACATTTATTTTTCCTACTTCATAGTTGTTAGCTTGATTAGAAGGCTCTCCTGAATCAGACTGATTGCAGCTCATTCTGTCAGTGCAAGGCTCTTCTACACTTTTTTCTTCATCAACATTTGATTGTTTGCATGTTTCTTGCTTCCTCTCCTGCTCTCCAAATTCCTCATTATTTTTTCCATTTTCAGGTTGGGTTATATTTTCTTCTTTATCACTGTGATTCTCTTCAGCTTTCAATTGTTCCCAACAAATATCTGTGCCCTTGCATTGTTCATTATCTTCAGGATGCTGTTCAGAAAACACTTCAGCACTTGCATCCTTTGTAACCTCACAGCCTTCATTAAGCACAATGCATGTTTGTATGCCTGCTTCCTCATCTATTTCATTGCCACCAGTAATTCTAAGATTAGTCTGATGTTTGATTTCATCCCTATTTGAAATAGGTTTCTTTTGAAGGTAATTCAAATACTCTTGTTTACTGATACTGACAGGAACAGAGTTGGTCAGTTCAGTTTGGTAACAACTCTGATTCGAGTTGAAGATAGAATGAAGCATGAAAGGAAAGCAAAAGACAGTAAAACAAAACAGGAAATAAAGAAACATAGGCTGAATTTTTAAATCTGTGTCTTGAAGGATTAAGATAACCTAGTAATTCAATATTTCTAATACAGTAAACTTTATAAAGCAAAACAAACAACAACCGACCAAACAAAAACATCTAATGTAACCAATGTAACTAAAATCCAGCTTAGAATTTTCTCAAACTGCGTATGCTAAATTTTCAATTAATATAGCATATAAAAGTAGTCTCTCAGTTGCAGACTTGTGTATATGACAATATATATCCTTTATTTCTTCACATTAGGAAGTTGAGTATTTCATCTTCTACCTGCAGAACACAGAATCTAGAAATTCTTTTTTTTTTTTTTTTAAACACCATAAATGGAGTATTTCATATCCTGGTCTAGAATGCTATAATCTGAAATAAAATCTGCCAAGTGATACAGAATAGTAAATAAGTAACAATTGTTTTTGTTAAATAGGTGTAATATTTCTAGGTAATATGATTGTATATTAACTTACCGAGGGCCTAGAATATGTCTCTCTTGAATACTGTCTCTGCAATGCATGAAGCTTTTCCTGGAGGTATTGATTTTTTAAATGTAACTCTTCTACAACAGAATCTCGTGGGATTGCTTGCTGTGTTCTACATATAAAAATGAATGAAGCCAGAATAAACACATGGCTATTTCTATGCAGAAAACCATCCCTTTATGTAAAACAAACATGAACTTCTCAATTGCTGGACAAAATTTTCTAATATTAATGGACAGAATTTTCTAGTATTAATGGACTAGTTATACTAAATCAGCCACATACACAATTTCAACTAATCCCCATGAATCGAGAGTATCTATTTTGGGAAAAGCAATCTGCTCTCTTGAGATGTGTACAGCTTCTATTACCGTGGCACAACATCCACCGTTATAACAGATAGAGTGCTTATGAATACACTCCATAATTGCAATTTCTTAGCTCCAGTATCTTTCCCCAACTTGGGATTAGAACTACAATTTTACATAAAACGAACTATGTTTTTCATATTATTTAACGTTTGGAATAACAAACCATTGCTGCATATTCTCTGAACATGCATAACTGATCTCTACCAGCTTTAAGTTTTCTCATCACAGACTCAAAGAAGGGCTTTTGCAACTTGGTCTGTTTTTTCTAATTGTATCAGTTGATCTCTTTCCTTAGATTTTTTTTCTCATTTAGATTTCTTATTTTTTATAGATTCTTTTGAAATGCCTCTCACCTCATATGAGCAACTTCATTTTCTAAATCTAGATTCCGTTTTCTTAGTTCTTCCAGCTCTTTTTCAGTCTCTGAGGCTCTTACTCCAACAACACGGTCAACAGTGACACCAGTAGTTTTCAGTTTCTTCTGTAGAGTAATTTTCTCTTTTTCAGCCCTGCAACATCCAGTAAATTTGCATCTAAAACTTTATTTGCTGACTTGCTTTCTTTAGAAGAAAATATTTTCCATCTTAAAGAATCCACACCTACTATTTATTTGCTCAGTATACTACACCCCTTTTTCTTGTTTATTATGGTTACCATACAGATAGACACAGCTTTACAAATAAATAAATAATATAAATAAAGAAATTACAAATATTAGAAAAAATAGCAAACGTGAAGTTAGCAGCATGCATGTCATAAATCACTTGGTCTCACCTGTGTTTTATGTGAAATTCCTGAAAGATTTGGTAAGAATGCCAATTTGAAGCTGTTTCAAACCACAATCTAACAATGGCTATGACTACCATCATCATTTGGTCGTGATCACCAACCATCATTACTACGTATTTTATTTGTAAAATCCTGCCATTACTGTACTGAAGTAAACTTAACTTTCATGGAGGCCATGCATATATGTGGTGGTTGGTTTTATTTGTTATTTTTTATTTTTGTCGTTGTTGTTGTTTTAAAGTTTTCTATCTCATAATGCTAGAACTGTTAGTACTGCAGTAACACAGCACATGACAGTAGCAGCGCATCCAGTCCTAGCAGTCTGATGAAATAACACAGTGTAAGAAACAGCCTGTCTTCATGAAACTGTTACTTTTTTCATGGAAATAACAGAACAGTATATATGAGAAGCATAATAAAGATCTTAAATTAGTTTTATTCAGAGGCTGTTTCTTCTAAATACGGTTGTCAGCTTCTACAAGTATATACTAAAGGAGTAACTTGCTACTTGAAAATTAATTTATTCTTTTAATCTCAATAGCAAGGTCAAATCTAGGCAACAATCTTACAAACATAACAAGCTGTTATAATTGTGTGGCAAACACCTGTATTTCTCTTATGCCATCAGTTTGTAGCTGAATGCATTAAAAACAACTTACTTAGTATAAAGTTCCTTCAATGTACTGAACTGTTTTAACAAAGTATCCATTTCTTTTTCCTTTTCTTTTAGTTTGTTCCGCATCCCTTCCGTTCTGATTTGCCATTTTTTGCTTTCTTCCCATCTAATTATTTCCTCCTTGGAAGTCTGCAAAGCATAAAAACAAATTATGTACTTTTTGATTTTTTTTTAAGTGAACAAACACATTAGAAAACCATACATGATATATTTTTCATTTCTAAATTTAAAACAATAAGCAGTAATTCGGTAAAGAGCAGTCCAACTTGGATACTTTAAACTTGCTGTAGTGACTGGCATATAAAGCTGATGAAGTTTAATGTTATTACAAAATTCATCCTCACCTTTTAATATTCATTTTACAGAAAAGGAGTGATACATTTTTGGAAATTAGGGTTGCTTATGAAATATATCCTTTTAGTTTGAACTACAGGCGAGTAAAAAAGACAGCTTTCCTATGCCAATTTACAGCACATCTATCTTTTTTCTTACAGCTCAACAGGAGTCTATATGCCCTTGCTGCGAAGCTGTACCACTGTTCATTTGATTTTTTTCTACAAGAAATAGAATTTCTACTAACAATTACAATCATGTAGCTATAAAATGATATATCAATTAAAACCTGTACCTACATGATCACAAACGACTACTGAAAAATCACCTGTAAGCAATTTTTTCATTTGTTTGCTGAACTTTTCCCTTCCTTCAGTTAGTCCCTGTACTATCTTTCCTGTCTTCACTCTAAACAGTTACTGCTACTAAAAAAGACAGAAAGTAAATTATTGCAAAAAGGAAAAAAAAAAAAAAGTTTGTGAAAAATATCTTTAGACACTAAGCCACAGGTATATAAAAATTCTCAAACTAACTGGAAGTTCAGTCTTAAAATCATATTTAATATTATAAAGAGCCTGAATGTCATGCAAGCATGCTATAATGTTCTAGTATACCCTATGGTTACCATGACAAGCCAGTAATTTGTTACTGATATAGCAAAAGACCAAAAAAAAAAAAAAAAAAAAAAAACAAGAGGTAAAATGAACTCGTCTCCAGCAGGTCAGAACCACCTCTAAGTGGAGACTGCTATTGTGAAGAATAATCACTTATGCAGACATCATCCCTTCACAGCTCTTGCTCCCAGGTACTTCATATTTTCATCATTGCACTGATTTCACAAATGTGCATTTGACATCTCTTACATAATTAATTTCACTGATACCTGTAAAATCTTAGTTTTCTATAATGGATCTTTAATTCTACAAAAAGGGCAGGAAAACATACCAGCACTTAGACTACTGTTTCAGCAGGAGTTGCAACAAAGACCACTGGGAACTTGAAAAAGTGTCTCAAAACTGCTTCTGACCTGATAAAGTTTGGCTGGTTATCTGTTGTTTTTAGAAGCAGTGGGGAGAATTGAACTGCCTGTACTTAAGCTGATGATGTCTTTCAAAGCCACAATTTCAGTATTCATCACATACCTTGTCTTCTTGTCTTCTTACACTTTTTCTTTCCGTTTCTTCATATTTCTTCTCAAGTTCATTTTCCAACTTTTTAACTTTTTTCTGAAGTACATCTGTCAGATTTTGCTCATCAGCTTTGTTCTGAAAAATTATAAACTTTCACCAACTTAAAGTTTAATGACTACTACTTAAGTATTTTTCTCCTCTCAAAAAATAAGGACTTTAATTCCAGTTGGTGGAATTAGCTTACAACATAAATGACCTTTTTAAAATTATCTTTACATTACAATACGTCAAGAATTTAACTTTGCATTCTAAACTAAATAATCAGCAAGTAGTTAAATTAAAAAATAAAGTTTAGACAATTATACTGTACACACTTCACTTCTCTTCTGAATGGAGAAATAAGGGCAACCAGGAAGATCACAAAATTCAAACCAACCATTTTTCAAAGAAGCTTTAAAGGTAGAAATTCTACTCTTCAGGCTTTCACATTATTTCAAGGAAAAAAATATTTTTCAGCCTCTTCATTCTATTTGAGACGTAATTCCAACAGCAAAAGGTAATAGCTCACATGTAACCCATATGATGAGCATGCCAAGATTTTTAAGTCAAGTATCAGTTTTAATGCCTGTCAAAGGTACTTACTCTTTCCCCCCAAAACCAGCCTATCGAATGCAGAAACTTGACCAAGATCAAACATTTTTTAAAAATCACTTCTACCTGAATGCTACTGGTAAGTCTCCTAATCCGCTTTTTCAGTTCTTCATTCTCCTTTTCGATTTCATTTTTTTCTCTCATTACTTTAGTGAATGTTTTTTGTTTCTTCTGAAGTTCTTGGTTCAACTCTTCCTTTTCATCTAACAAAGCACTCTCCCTGTTTTTACTTATTTTAAGGTTATCTGTAAGTTTTGAAATTTGATTATTTAATTCCTCTATCTGTGCCTAGAGGGAAAAAATAGTAAAAATAAATAAATCAGGATTAACAGCAATATAACAATGCAATAGAAAGACATTACCTAGTACTCACCATGAGCCCCTTTGTTTCCCTGTCAACAATCTCCTGGACATTCATATATGCCTCTTTTTGTGATGCTGCAGAAATAATCTGCTGTTCAGCATTAGCGGTCATTTCTGCTCGGAGTTCCAAAAGTGCTTTACTCAGAGCCTAAAAATAACCAATACAAGTTCTTATAAGCAAAGAAGCTGCAAATATGAACATTAAAAAACAACAAAATGCAATTGCATTTTACTATGTCAGATTATGAAACTATATTCTATCTCCTGCTGTACTTATAAGTAGAATTCTTAAGTATTAAGCCACATAAAAAATTTACGTTCATTAGTGACATAAGTATGTAATTTTTGATGACTAACTTTTTGCTGCTTCTCTTTCATGCCTAACTGGCTCTTCAGCTGTTCCACCAGGTTTTTCAGTGTTGCTGTGGGTGCTCTATTATTTGCTTCTTTTTGAACTTGTAGTTCAGCTTTTACATTGGCTAATTCCTTCTCCATCTGAGATACCAAGTTCTTCAATCCATTTGCTTCATCTTTCAATTGTTCCACATCAACTGTGTGCTTTTTCTGAAGCCTAATATAAAATAAGAATTAATATATTGATAGTGTACATTGCAATAATTAAGCCAGCAAACTCCAAATAAATAACAGAAGGCACAGTGTTGTATTTTTTACTGTAAAAGCAAATAATAAACAAAAAACTCCTTACCTCTACAAGAATGCCTCCACTTAATAAGAAAATTATACAAGAGTATCAATATAATGAGACAAGAACATTGTCATTCTAATTCCTATCCCTAACTGCAAAGAAAGAATCGTCCTTTTTTTCCCTTTTAAACAGGGGTTAAATTTTAATGAGTTTAAACCCATAAGGCAGCAAGCTCAAGTGGATGGGGGCGGGATGGGGGGCAATCATGACAGCTTAAAGACAACTCATATACCAACTCACTGAATATTTTTTCACTGGATGGCACACAATAACAGAATTGCATTTCTGAAGCCAAGATTTTTCAATATTTTCAGTATTAACCATAAGGCAGGGCCACAAAAACAAAATAGTTCATATAAATATTTACCAACCGTGGTAACAAACTTGAGTCAAAACTTTCAGCCAAACCTGAAATTCAGCAGACATGCTCACTTCAACAGAACTTGTCAGTAACATCAATACATAGCTGACCAACAGTGACTTATGTTAACAGCCTAAAAACTTACTGGGCTCTGATAGTCTCAAACTCCTTGATTTTCATTAAAGTAATTTGTTTTTGCTTCTCTAACTCAGATGATGTTTTCTTCAATTTGCCAACAAGAGAAGCAAGAGAATTGTCCTGTTCTACTACAGTTTGCTCCATTTCAGCTAAACGGAGGAAATGTTTGCTGCTGGGAAGTGATGAAGGCTTTTCCATTAACTCCTGTAAAACAGAACAAATGTACATGATAAACACTTTAAGCTTTAAATCAAAGGTAAGTGTTAGTGATACATTATAAACTCAATCCTAAACATAAACAAGCATTAATATTTATCATGTTTATCTCCTGAGATGCAATTCCTAGTCCACAGAAAAAACAGTAATGCTACTTGGAAATGAACATCCTACATGGAAAAATCTACAGAATAAATGTAGGTGTCGCCTTATCATAAAGTGTCAAGAGAAAACGTGTATTAAAAATGGGTGTATTGCAACCAAAGAGTTAATAAAAATAATATAGAAAAAGTACACCCCCCTCCCTCCCCTAGAAGTCTATACATTAGAATATAAAGAATGATACTATATACTAAGGCAGTAACTTTGTTTTTTTATACTTGTCCTCTAATCCACCTATCTTAAATTCTTTCATCAATTTCTCAATTCTCTCTATATCAACCATCCATTCTTTCTTCTTGTCATTATTTACTTGTGACTACAAAACTGTTCTTTTGAGTAACAATTTTCAAAATTTGGAAACAATTTTACTAATGCCATAAATACACACAACTCACCAAAGCAGTCTGTTTGAATTTATTAAGGGAATTGTCTGTACATAACTCTAACTTCTGGTGTAGAACTCTAAGGTCTTCTTCGTGTTTCTTTGCTATTTCCTCTTGTTCCTGTTAGTTCAAAATAAATATGCAACTCTACTCATGCACATTAACCCAGCAATTCATGAAACTGCAGTACCCTTCACATCAATTGCTCAATTATTGATCAGCCTTACTCCCCAAATTTTCCTTTAACTCTTCTGCTTTTTAAAATTCTTTTCTTCTTCTTGTTAAACTCAATGACTATACCTTTTTTTTTTCCCTTGGAAAAAAAAAAATCCACCATTGCAGTTTTAAGCTATATTGAAAGCAGTGTGGTGCAACAGGATAAAAGCTGAAAAGCAAAGTAGTTGCTCCTCACCAACTATGACTACACATAGTAAGAATATAAAAAAGATGCTCTAACACAAGGTTTATATTTTAACAACTTATTTTAAATTACAGTATATTTAAGAAGTATATTTTCCATAAATGCATATCTTTCATATATTTTTCAAATTCACTACAACATGCAGTCCACCAATCCCAGTTGTAAATACTTGAAAATTCTATGAATGTATAATATATGGAGTCTACTTTTCACAGCAAACTTCTAATATTCTTCCTGTCACACTAGTTTAATTCCTAGACCAATACCACATACATAAACCTCTTGACTGAGCAAGTCTCCTTCTTTAAAGAAGTTAAAATATTCTACATGAACTTTCTACAGAAAACAAAAATAGTTCTATTCTCTCTGAGGTAATTTTTTATTTTTTTTTAAGATTTCACTAGCAATGAGATTAACAAAGAATCATTAAAGTCTTAAAAATGAAATAAATTTATGCAAAACATAACTACCTCTCTTGCTTTAGCCAGCAAATGTTGGTATTTTTTTAGCACTTCTTCCTTCTGATTTAATCTTGCTTGCATATTTGCAATGGTTTGCTGAGCAATTTTTATTGCGTGATGGTACTCTGGATCATCTTCTTTTTTTCCTAATTCAGCTGTTATTTTCTCTCTTTCTGATGTTGCAGGTAAATGAAGTCTTAGTTCATTTATAACTTTGTCTCTTGATAATATATTTTGTTCAGCTTTCCACAAAGCAGTTTCCTTTTCTTTTAATTTCTAGAACCAAAGGCAGTTATTGCATTTACAGAATTCAAATGCTGAAAAAAGATCTTACTTTTTAAAAAAATGTAGCAGAAAGATTTGTCTAAATGGACATCATCAGAGGGCTTTTTGCATTCAGTTTTGGCTGTATGGAATTACTACTACATGAAAAAAGTCCCACAGTGTCTTTTGCTTACGCACTTATGCAACCCCAGTTTGTGCTATCAAAATTAAGAAGGTGGTGTTTTTAAGATTGCTTAAGAACCACGAAGTATCTAAAGTAAATTTAACTAGATACAGTCACCTGAATTTTGTACAGCAAGAGCATCCTACCTTACTAAAGGACCGATCTAAATGTTCCCCAGTAGGTTGTTCCAATGGAAAAAATAACACAGGACTAAAAATAAATCTGTTATCTACATTCTCTCTGAGTTAAAGTACTTATAAGGGAATTGACATATTTGATGTACATTTATAAAAGGATATTTGTTACATAAAAAAAAAAAAATACAACCTTTATCCTTTATATGATAATTTATTCATTTAATTACCTCCTCTAGCGATTTGCAGGTTGCCCTTGTTTCTACGATTATTCGAATATGCTCCCGAATCTTTCTCAAAGCCAGCTCAAGTTGTTGTGGAAGAGGCAAATTAGGGTCTGGAACTGATCCTGTGGCTTCTTCTAACTGTACAGAAAGATTCATATCCCTGTTATCTGACAGCTCTGAAACATGTTCTTCTCAGTTTATTTTTAGTTAACTCAGTGTTTGTGTACCTTTAGAGCTGTACTAAGGATTTCATTTTGCTGATGATCATATGCATCTAATTGGCGCTGCAATTCTACTTCCCTCTGGTCCCAAGCCATTTGCCTTTCTTCATGAAGCTATAACAAATGTTTGATAATGACATTTTATTTGTTTAAGTCAATGGGGATTTTATAACCAACTTGAAAAGAAAGAAGAGATATCAAAGAGTAAAATACTTTGTGATATTAGAAAGAATTAATGAACCAAGAAACAAACATCTATGTTACAAATAGTATTACAGATTTTTTTTTTTAAATCACTTAATAAAATAAGGAATATGCTGTTTTTTCTAATAGCGTGCAGAAATACATACCTTGTTCTGCTGCACAATTTCTTCTTCCAGATTATTGATTGTACATTCGTATTCTGAAATTATATTATGCAAATACTTTATCTCTTCCTTTTGCTTGAGTAACTCGCGATTGAGTTTAAGTTCCTGCAGATGGAGTTCCTCCATCTTCAAATGCCATTCTATTACCTAATAACAAATGATAGTATTATAATAGTATTATAATTTACCAAGCTTACAGGCTGCCTAGTTGCAGCTACACTCTGATTTTGAGGCAGGAGAGCACCTATCCTACCAAGAGAAAGAAAGAGGTTCTTCCTTTTTAAGCTTCTTCACTTCCCTTGAGTGAGGAGGCATTACAAGTCTATTAAACTGCAAAAGGAATGACTGGAAAGTGTAGCAGACAGTTGGAGAGGCAAAATATTTCCCCTACACTATCAATAGAACTCTCTCTCATCGCAAATAATTTTCATATGACCTAATCAAGTTATAGTCTACGCATCTGTCCAGACTGAACAATTAAAAAAAAAAATACAACAAATCTATATATCTTTTATAAAACAGAAGTTTTTCGAAACCATTACAAAACTGTAGAAAAGAAGAAAGTATTCAAAAACACACATGTACTAAGAATAACAGACATATTTATGTCGAACTGCACCCAAAATAACTTTGAAGACTGTCTTTTAAAACATGCCACTAAAGCAATTGCTTACATGCAGACATCCTTAATTGTGACAGAAAAAAACAACAACAAAAAAAAACACATTATATACTATGCAGGTATCTGGAAGAGAAGTTAGATAGCCTTATTCAAATTGCAAGACAACATTGCCTACAATAGCAAAATAAAATTAAGCAGAATTACATGGGTATAATAACGTTTCTCACCATGCTTCCCTGGGATTTATTTAAAATACATGGATTTGTAAAGATTTAAATGCAAGCTCTTGGAACAGAACTTCAGAGTATTACTCTGTGTTTAATTTAATTTAGTGCATAATTTAACTCATAATTTAACTCATAATTTAATTCAATTTTATTTAATTCACAGTAAGTGCCTACTTCTTATGCCACTTACATAGGCACAGAAGAAAATTAGTAAATCTCACTGTACTGATTTTTACATGGCAAATAACTAAAGATGTTATTACTTTTTTAAAATAGGAAAGGCAAAAAATGATACCTGTCACCATGTATTCTGAAATCATTAATTTCTCCATTAAAACAGAGATTTAGAAAACACACTGAAATGAAATTTGGTTTAAACGCACATGAGATTAACAAAGCTATTGAAAGTTTTAAGACAGAGAACCTTTTGAGCTCCTCTTGTATCCTTCAACGCAATTAATAATTCTTCTAAACTTTTCAGCTTTAACTCCACCTCCAGCGCTCTGTTTTCTGCATTTCGACGCTCCTGCTGGGCATGCTGAACTTCTTCTAGGATCTTTAGTTTGTCGTTCTGTAGCTGAATCATTGTTTTAGAGAATTTTTCTTGTTGTATTAAAGGCAGAGCACCGCTAAACTGTCGCCGCAAAGACTGAACTGTCTGTCGTAGATGTTTGGCTCTATTTCTTCCTTCCAGTCGGGCAAAATACAGGGCTTGTTCTTTCTCATCAAGTTTCTGCTCTAAACGTAGATTATGGATCTCCATCTTCTGTAGTTTCAATTTTAGTGTCTCTAGCTTGCCTACAGCAATGGATTCACTGCCTTGAAGGGCTATGATATGCTGATGCAGTTTTGCAATAACTGTTTTTTCATCTGACTGTGCCTAAGAATCAAAATATAGAGCAAAATTATTTTTTCATTGTAAATATGTGAATGAAGTGTACTTATAAAAAAGCTATTATTTTTTCTGTATTTTAAATATTGCATGTATTTTTTCCTACAGATAAGAACAAGAATTAGCCTTTAAACATAGGTTTTTATTTTTCCACTCTTGTTTCTACATCCACGTTATAAACAGAGATTTTCACATAATGATTGTAAAAATCATCTCTTTCCAAAATACCAGAAATCGGGAAAGAAAAGCATACCCAGAATTAGGAAATATAATGCCATAAAAGCTCGTAGAAGTGTTGTGTTTAGGGACTAAAACCATTCCAGAACATGGAAACAATCCCAAGAAATTGTTTTAGCTAACAACAAAACAAAATTATGTTTTGTTAATATAGCTTAATCTTCAAGATTCACAAGTCACTGACTGTCTTGTAAAGAACAAACAAATAAACAAAACACCATTATCAAACTTTCCTGGTTTTATATATAAAGACTCACCACAGGACCAAAGATCATTAATTATATATAAATATACCAATACACCGAGATAACATGGAGAAAAGCTCAGGATCTTTTTTTTTTTTTTTTTAATAGCTATGCAACTAAAAATGAAAGAAGAAAAAGCAACTATTAAAGTAATGTAGATTTCTTGAAAAGGCATGGACAATAGATTGGCTTGGTAAGATCCTTCTGAAAGTCTTTTGCAGTTTCCTAATTCATTGTACAATTACTTCATTTCTTCCCTGCTCCCTTCCCTGAGGAAAAATATATATTTAAAGAAAAAAAAAATCCAAACTGCATAATCAAGGTTGAATTTTACCATACCTGACAGTCTAAAACTTGCATTCTAAGAGATTCTACTTCCTTCTCTCTACATTGTTGGCGAGCCTCTAGAGCTTCAACTTGCATGTTTGCAACATCAGACAGTTCTCTTAACCTTGCAGGAGAAACAACAGCATTGTGTCACTTGAAACCACTGAACAACTTATGTTTTTCTACAAAGAACGTGCTAAGAAAATATATGTTTCCTTGTATCAAAACATTTTAAGACTTTTTTCTTTTAGCATAAAAATGCTACTCAGCATCCTTGTTATAAAAATTCTTCTGTATAGTATCTCACCTTTATTGTTGGTTATTTTCCTGTAAATTTGCTAGCAGTCATCTTCTCAAGGAAAACAAAGCCAATGTTTTTTACCTGAACTTCCCTCCTTCTCTATATCTCTCCCATTTCTGGGCATAAATCATACGTGTACTGAGATTCATTTTCTATTCCATTCTCTCTTTCCCCAAGTCTAATCCCTCATTTTCAGCATCAAAATCACTGCAAATATCCCCACAGACTTTGCTGATTTAGGAATATAACAGCATTACATAATTTACTCAAAGACAAATATCCATGACAACAATCTCATCAAAATATCTGAAAAGTTTTTTTATTTTTTAAAGATGTATGCATACAAAGTTAATCTCTTAAGTAAATGGAAAAAGAAAAAAAAAAAAAAGAAAAAAAAAACTACCACTTACTTTGATACTTCAATCTTGAGCTCCATCTCACGCTTCTCTAAGTCCATGATTTGTCGTCTGTCTGCATCACTTATTGCCTTACTTACACTATTTGAGAGTTCATCTCTTAATTCCTGTTCTACTTTCTGTGCCTCAAGGTTGATTTTAGTGAGCTTAAAAAATAAAATTAAAAAAAAATGGTATCATAAGAACAGAACTGCTCCCAAATTTGCAAAGAAAAAGAAGTGCCCGAAGTATTTTTTTTTAAGTCATTACAAAACATTGTTCATCTGGGTTTGAAAAGTAGTTTCCCTTCCTCTCACAGCATTATATACACATAGATACACAGATCAGCACAGAACAGGATTCTAAATTAAACCCTACTTCAATTAGTGAATTTGCTTAAAACCGGGAAAGGGAAAAGGAGATTTTACTCTTTAGGAAATTAATTTTAATGTAACCATTTATTATACTGTCCAGCATGTTGGGATCAGTAATACAAATACTGGCAATAACTACCCAGACCCTAACACCATTGTTCTTTTGTTCCTTTTAAAAAGAACTTTCTCAATCAAGCAGCCTTTTTCAAGTTGATTATCAAACACTGACCAACCAGTGTTTCACTTCAAAGAGCATTAGGAAAAGATGAATTTCTGAAAAGCGTTGGGTGACACAGAGAATACTCAGAAATTAATTTACCAAATATAGTTGTGGCAGATTAATCTGATACCACTCATAAATAAAATAACTGATTTACTAAACAAACAAAAGTGTGTGGTATATCTTATTGTCTGGAGTTCACATATTTCAGGCAATTTTTTTAATCTGGAAAAAATAAACTATTCAAATAGAGGTTATTGTGGGAACTGCAAAAATGGTATGAAAACAGTCATGTTGAAATAGATTTATGAGCTCAAAAGGCGAGGATTTCCTTTCAACTCTTAAAGTGAAAGTGATCTCACGATTTTCATTAAGTTTAACACAATCTTGTTACATCGGAAAAAAGAAAGGAATCATGCTCATTTAGGAATTCTTGGCAACAAGAATACACGAAATAGAAAATGGACATTTTAGAGCTACAGAAATGAGGTTAAAAAGGAATATGCAGAGGAACCACTAAGAAAAAAATATGGTATTAGGAGTTCATCAAATAAAAACGAAGGAAGACCAGCATACCTAAGTATATCACAAGACAGGTAACATATTCAAAACAGAAAAAGGGAGATGTTATCTTTGTGTGCAGTACTTGAGATATTTCTTAATGAAATAAGTCATTCCATCATAATGGGCTTTAACAATACTGCTGCTGAAAAGCTTTATGCTCTTTCAGATACTCCATTCTCCTGATTAATTCAAATCAGAACAGTGTAACAAACACTACTAAAATGACAGAGAAATGGAGAGTCCACAGCAGATTAAAATAGACTAGACTGTAGTCTGGTAAAGCATGAGAAAGGGGAATGAATACAATCTATCGATACCTATCAACAGAACTATTCTTCATTTTTGTTTAGGTTATAGGCCAATACTGGCACACAACTGATTAAAAACAAATTTAGACTGGAATTAGAATGAAGTCTCCTCCTACTACATAATTTATTCATTGAACAACTTTCAAATAGGAATATTGAGGGGAAAAAATAGCAAGATTAAGATGGATATAAGAGGAATTATAATCATGGAATCATACAGGTTGGAAAAGGCCTCTAAGATCATCTTTTACAACCTTTAACCTAGTACTGTACAAAGTTCTAGATCTACACATTTCTTGAACACTTCCAGGGATGGTGACTCAACTACTCCCTGGGCAGCCTGTTCCAATGCCACACAACACATTCAGTAAATAAATTTCTCCTAATATTCAAGCTAAACCTCCCCGTCACAGCTTGAAGCCATTCCACTTGTTTTATCACTTGGTGTGTGGGAGAAGGGACCAATCCCCACCTCGTTACAAACTCCTTTAATGTAATTGAGAAGTACAATAAGGTCTCCCTTGAGCCTCCTCTTCACCAAGCTAAACAATCCCAGCTCCCTCAGTTGCTCCTTGTAAGCCTTTTTTTCTAAACCCTTCACCAGCTTCCTTGCTCTTCTTCGGAAACACTCCAGCACATTGATGTCCTTCTTGTAGTGAGGGGCCCAAAACTGAACACAGTACTTGAGGTATGGCTTCACCAGAGCCAAGTACGGGGGGACAACCATTTCTCTAGTCTCATCTGGCCCCACAAACTTGCACACATAAGGATCATAACCTGCAACAGCACGACTTTTATTCCTGTATTACAGAAAATGCTTGACACATGACAGAAGAACACAGTCTGCAAAAGAATCATGCCATTGGCAATAGGGCTGCAAAGTTCTAGCATGTTTAGAATCATTGACAATTATGGGAAAATTTGCAAAACAGTGATCGTATAAATTAGACAAGAAATAGGTCGCAAACAGGCTCTTTTCTAGGAATCTGCTGAAGAACTAAGAAACTATCTGTAAAGTTGCTCATCATGCGTTTTACAGAGAATAACTACTGTTTGAAATAAACTTTTTTTTTTAAACAGATGTCCAGTCCATGCAAAATCGCAGCTCCTAAAGCCAACTACATTAGCTATATTTTGCATCATAAATTTGTCAAAGCCATAATGATATATAACTCATTCGTTTTGAAAAATTCAAAAATATGCTTCTAAGACGTGTCAAAGCAGATTTACCTCAGCAAACTTTGTTTCTAATTCAAAATTGCGTTCTTCTACTTGCTTTAGTGTATTCCTTAAATGTTCATACATGTGTTGTGAATGTTCTGCTCTCTGTCTTTCATTTAGTTCCTTCATTTCCAGCATTGCAATTTTCTTAGAAATGGACAAAATTTCACTGTTGGTTATCGCTTTTGAGGCCTTGTCCATGGCGTTGTCATCCCCTATATTCAAAAATATTTTGAGGAGAAAAATACCAAACTCCATTTTGGTAGAATAGGTAAGTAAAATGAAACAATACAAAAGAAAAAAAGTAATAATAAAAAAAATAAACACACACACACACAACAAATTATTTGAAAAAAACTAAGACTTAACAAAAGATACAAAACAATTTTGAATTTTTCATTTTTATTTTAAACAGACACATGAATTTTAAAATGTTATAGAATATTACTTTTACACAGGACATACCGTTTATTTTTTAGTGTTGCAATACAACTTTCATACTTACCCAGTTTAGTCATTTGTTCCCAAGCCTGTTCTATAGTATGAAGTTTCTCTTTTGTGATTTCCAGTTCCTTACTCAATAAATTTATCTGTGCTTTCAAGGATTCATTTTCACGCTGTATGACAGAAAAGTTGAAAACTAATTCTAGCATGTTTGATGTTTAGGACCCATAAAGTCTTTTAAATAAACATATTTTACCTATGCACAACCCATTAATTAATATGCATTGGAACAGAATAGCTTAAGCTGCCTCATAATCCATTCTGAATGATTTTATGATGCACTAAGTTCTTTTTGCTGTATCTTACTGTCGACGACTATTACCACGAATATTTACTGTCACAGTTGACTATGGTTCCTAGATTTCTTCATCTAATTTATACTCTAAGGTTATCATACTAAGCCTATGATTACCAATGGGAAGGGAAGAAAGGTATTTCATTTTGCTCATAAGTACATGTTTGAGACAGATCACATGCTTCTTGTAGGCATCTAATACGATGCTAAACATTGGTTTTGTAAATGTTCCCCCTCTCCTTCAGATAGAAACACAAATTTCCACGTTAACAAAAAAAAAAAGAAAAGGAATTCTTAATATTAATTTTCAATTTTGAATTTTTTTGAACACATTTTTAGTTTGCTATTGATGAATGATTATTTAGCTCTGTGAAATTACTGAATTGGGGTTGCAAGTTTTCATACATACAAAAAAATCCTTAAAATAGAGAAGGAATCATTCCTTGTTTAGGTGAAATGCGCCAATCTGATTCCAAAGAGACAAAGTACAGCAAGTTTACCCATCACATGCATTTAGCCCTTGTCAACCACAGACAACCCAATAGACAAGAATGTTACAAGAACTCTAACTATTCAAGCCTTCTTGGACTTGACATGAACTTACTTCTGACATGAACGTAAGGTGGAAGGTAGCAACACATCTTTCAAATCAGCTTCACAGACCTCTATGAAAATCCATTCTACTCGAGAATAGAAATTCACAGATTTTCAGCTCCTAACTGAAAACGTGATCCTAACATGATGTGTACTGCAAACATGTCATGAACATTTGGTGATTTATTTGTTCATTTCACACTTAGTGCCTTTTGGAAGTGAACATTTCATTACTGTAACTCAGGAATGAGTAAAAGTGCTTACTTTGTCAGGAAGCTTTGAAAGCATCTACACTCGTTCTGCTTTCCTTATGACCTCCAACACCTAAGATTATACTAAGTATTCCTTCTGCCAGCCTGGTTTTGGTAATCAAAGCATTAAAAATATTTTGTGAAGAAATATGCCCACAGCTTAACTTACTGCAAACAAGAAAAAAAAAAAAAAAAAAAAAAAAAACACACACCAAAAAAAATTTTATATATGCCCATTGAAATGAAATCTGGGACTTTTCATAAGTTTCTTAGTACACTGACAAAGTACCATGTAAGCAAATTAAAATTTGATAGCAACAGCAAGACTTGCTCCAACAGCTCATACCCGCTATGGAACTGTTACAACTAGCAACTAGTTATAACTGTCCCAACTAGTGTTGGAACTTCTATTTCATCTTTCTATTAATTGAGAGGAAAAAACAATGCAGAATGAATGTATAATGAGGTCTGTTTTTTTCTTCCCTTAAGGTTTAAATGTAACACAGACATTACCTCCATATGCTCCATGTTTGTTGTCCGTTGGACGAGCAAGTTATCTTTTTGTAACATATCTCTGTATTTAGCAGTTAATGCATTATACTGCTTATTAGCCAGTTCTAACTCAGATAATGGCACACTACCATCCAATACTTTTTGCAGAGCTGCAATCTTAAAGCTAGCCATTTCCTATGAAAACAATCAATACAATGAGTTACTACTGTTTCCTAAATTTTTAAATAGGAAAATAAAATTTACTCCACAGAAAAAAGAATACCAGTTAATACAATGTTTTAACATATGATACTGGTTTGCTTTACTAAATTAATATACAACTTTATGCATTGCTTGCAATAAACATTGACAAAATTTCACTGGTATTGAACTGTCTAGGCAATTTTATCATTAATAGCCTCTACAATGCCCTGTCACAAAGCACTGTCAAAACCATATTTTATAAAGATGAGTTAATCCTTATTATTATGATCCTAAACCTTTGGCCCTATCAAATTGAAAGGCCAAAAAGTGAGATTTGTTTTCATATGACAATTTCAATAAAAAGGACTTGTGTTAACAACCTCAGAAGCAGAAAACTGACAGATTTTGTACTATGATGCTCATTTAAATACAAAAAATGTTTTGACAACACAGCATTTAGCAAGCACCTGTGTAAGGCATTTAACAAACTAGAATTGTCCCATAAAAAAAAAAAAAGTGTATTTATTGCCAAACTTTTAAAATAAAAAAGTGGACTATTACTATTATTAACTATACCTTGAATCGCTGCAAGTGTCCAATTTTCCCTATAACTGCAGTCTCCATATGTGTCATTTCACTCTTCAGTTTCTCATTTTCTTTTCTAAGATGCCGTTCCATTTCAAGTAAAGTGGTATTCTGCCTTGTTAATGACCTTTCATTAACTCGTAAAACAGTTATTTTTCTATTATTTTCTGCAAGTATTTTTTTTGTTTCATCAGGATCCAGCTGAAGTGCACTGAGTAAATTCTGTAAAAACATTTTAAAAAGAACCTCGTACAGAAATATGGTAAAACTCAACTATATTGACAAGCTTGCCTTGTTGAAATACATTTTCTATGCTCACTGTAAAAGCTCTATTAATCTGAAATAATTTATTTCTTCTATTAAAACACATACACTCTCAACACACACATTTTAATCTTAACATTTTAATATATAATTTTAAAATTTTTAATCTTCAAAGTTACTTGTTTCTGAGGAATAGAAGGTAAATACATTGGGCTAGTAGGAATTTCAGCTAATGCTGACATTTTTAACTTAGAAACAAATTCTCTACATAATCTTCATTTTTCCCCTTTTACTAGTCTAATATAGCATTTAGAATAAAAAAAAAAAAAAGTATTTGAATCGTTTTCTAAACCAAACAGAATTACTGTAGTACCTAAAAAGAACTAATAATTTCCCACTTCGAGGCTTAAGCTAATATTTGTGAAGTAATCACATGACTACTATGATCCTATGGATACAAATGCAAAACCTGGGAGGCACTGGAAGAGGAAACCATAGTGACTCAGGTAACAGAAGGCACGTGAGCTTTAGCTTTGCCATCATCTCAGCAAGCACGCAAGGAGCAAGAATTTGAGCTGTAAACTTCCAGTTTTCAGTGAGCTTAATGTCCCACAGGACATCTTTATCTCTAAATTGGTGAGAGACAGTTTTGAAGGGTGGACAAGTGTACCCTGAGCAAGTTTGTAGACATCACCAAGCTGAGTGGTGCAGCTGACACAAAAGAAGGAAGGGATGCCATCCAAAGGGACCTGCACAAACCAGTTAAGTGAGCCCATGTAAACCTAATGAGGTTCAACAAGGACAAGTGCAGGGTGCTGAACCTGGGTCAAGGCAGTCCCAAACATGAGAACAGGCTGGGAGAAGAACACATTAAGAGCAGCCTTTTGGAGAAGGACTTTGGGGTTCTGGTCAACAAAAAACATGACAACAGCCAGAAGTGTGCATTTGTAGACCAGGCTGCCCAGTGTATTCCGGCCTGCATCAACAGAAGTGTGACCAGGAAGACAAGGGAGGTGATTGTCCACCTCTACTCTGCCTTTGTGATGCCCCACTTGGAGTGCTGTATCCAGGTCTGCGGCCCATGTTAGAGCACAAGGAACGCCTGTTAGAGTAAATCCAGAGGATGGCCATGAAGATGATCAGAGGGCTGGTGCACCTATCCTATAAAGAGTGCTGGGGATATTTAGTCTGGAGAAGAGAAGGCTTCAGGAAGACTTCACTGCAGCCTTGCAATACTTTAAAAAAGACGGAGAGTGACTCTTTGCTCAGGCAGATAGTAATAGGACAAGGGGGAATGGTTTTAAACTAAAAGAGGGGAGATTTAGATCAGGTATTAGGTGGAAGTTTTTTACTCATAGGGTGATGAAGCACTGAAATGCCCAGGAGCATGAAGGACAGGATGCCCAGAGAAGCTGTGGATGCCCCATCCCTGGAGGTGCTCAAGGCCAGGCAGGCTGGGGCAACCTGATCTAGTGGGCAGTATCTGTGCCCATGGTGTGGGGTTGGCACTGGATGATCTTTAAGGTCCCTTCCAGTGCAAGTCATTCTCTCATTTTATGAAGAGTACGCATGTGGCTAGAAAAATACACCAGAACCCTGGAAGCCTGAAGCCATTAAAAAATGCCACGACAGCTGGCAGGATTCCACTTCTTAGGCTTACAGTAACACTTCGTAGGTGTATCAATAACATGATTTACCTTTTGTATTGTTGATACTGATTCTGAATGTACAGTTCACTGACTGATTTCATTTTAATTGAGCAGTTTTCCTCTGCAACATTTTCACCTTCTAACAAATTATAGAATTATTTTAAAACATTTCTTCTTCTTCTTAATATGTTTTTCCACTTCTACTTTGGAAGCAACAAAGTTACTTACAGAATACTCCTTTATTTTTGTAGCATCCTGTTCTTTTTGCTCTTCTAGCTTTTTCTTTTCCTCTTTCATTTTTTCTGATTCTTTCTGCCAGATTTCCTTTTCACTAAAACAGCAATTACACGTTTTCATTTACAATCACGAAGTGCTTGGTGAATTTCAAAATGCAATTCGGAAAAGACATTATAAATTGTGGGTGGATAACTGAAAGCTTATCTCCTCTGTTCAGGTTGCTGCTAGATTAATGATTTTCCCTCAAAATAAAACTTAGGTTTCCCATATTCAAAATCAACATTAGAGGTCAGCTTTCTAAATATAACGGCAGGCAATGGCTATAATATTAACTCAAAGTTTCAACGGTCTTGCAAGTCTTTATTTCTTTGCATTCATTTTATTTCAAATGCATAAACAACCTGATTTCCCGTTCTATTTTTTTTCTATTTTACTGAAAAGAAAAAACAAACAAACAAACATAAAAGCATTAAGCCTTGTTGTGGCCCAAACTACTCTCCTCTACTCACTTTTATTTATTTATTTGGAAACAAAAGATTGTGAACTGTCTATACACATCTAATGAGGAAGTTCCAATAGACCGTATAAGATAGTTTAGGTTAGTCTAAACAAATAATCAAGGGTGTTTCAGAATATCTTAGAGAATAGAACATCTTAAAGAGTTTCCCTTTCTCAGTCCCTGATCTCTAAGTAATATTTTCTCTTCAAAGGGTATCTCCTCTATCATGGAGGAAAATGGAGGAAAAGGAGGAAGGTGCTCTGAAGTGAGTCTTTATGGGACGTCACATCAAAGAATCTCCTTCCCTTACTTAAACCTGTAACCCCTTTGAAGATTTTCAAGAATTTACTGAAGCCTTGAGTTATCGTCTTATCCCTATGACTGAGGTACCTAATCTTATTAACGAGGCAGCATACAATAGTCTTTAATATTTTCAAAAAGCTGTAACTTTCATGTATCAAACAAAAATAGTGTCTTTGACTAATGTCTGGAAAGTCTTAACTGATTCAAAGAACACACAGAAGTTCCTACAAGATGAAACACTCTTATTCAAAAAGCCATAACTAATAGTGTGTTAAGAACGCAAATCAACAGATTGACTTCTATGCTTTTACCAAATAAAGATCCTTTGACCATAAGAAGAACTTTATAGAAATTGGATTCAATGACACATACAAAGAACTGAGAGTCTGAAAGAGAAACAAGCATGAGGGACTGAAGATATGAAATCTTGCAGTCCTCATTATAAAGTATGCACTACGAAAAAGATCTGGTAGAAAAAAGTAGTTTTTAAGCTTTCTGAGCCTTTACAGGACTAAAGAAGTGCATGAAGAGTATCCAAGAGTAGCAGCATTTATGACACTAACTAAAGAACACTTCAACATAATAATGAATCTCATACTCAAAATTATTAAACATTTAGATACCTGAACCTTCAGAATTCAGAGAACAATACCTTTGATACTCTTTATAAAGCAAGCCTTGTTGGTGACGAATTACTGCAAATTTTCGCTTATAGTCCTTTACTGAGTCTTCTAATTGTTTAAGTAACTGTTCTTTATTTTCCAGTTCCTAATTTTCCAAATAAAAATATTGAAGTCTTTAATATAGGTTTTAAGTGTGAAAGCATTAGTTAAAATTACAGTTTTCTCTTTTGTTTTTCATGATAGATATTTCTGTCAATTCATCTGTATCAATTTTGTGAACTGAATATATGAAATATCTTTTTCTGTAGAAGCAACAAATGAAAAAAAAAGTCCAATAAACACTGGCATTCATATTACTAGGTGTGAAATAGTGCAAAAATGCTCTATAGATTACAGCCCCAAAAGTTTACAACACTGTTCTTAGCCCACATATTTAGTCTACAAAGAATACTAATTGAACATCTATCTAGGAAGTCATGCTTTCTTTTCACATTCCTAAGTACCTTTCTATATTATCATCATATGCAACTAAAAGTATTATCTAATAAACAAAAGTAATCAAAGACAGAAAAAAATAATATAATAATAACACAATTTATTTCTCCTGCATTTCTTAAATAAATAGTTGTTCTTTACTATACATGTATGTTTGGTCTCTATGCTTCCCATGGAAAACACAAGCTTCGGTTTCAATGTACTTATTCACACTTATTTGTATGCTGACATAATTTTGACATAATGGAATGAAAATTTATACAGTAAATAAAGACCTTTACTATACAGAGAAAAAGAGATCAAAGTAGGATTTGCACATTCAGGCCCAGAAATCCAGAAAGTAGTGACAGAATTTCTTGTAAAAAGTGTAAAACTGGAGAAATTTAAGGAAGATTTTTAGATCAAAATTCCCACTTTAAACAGACAAAACCAAATTGTTGTCAAATAAACAATTTTTAGTTTCCAGGTTTACAGCACTTCAAAACATTTACAGCTTTAAACAGACAAACAAACAAAACAAAACAAAACAAAAAAAAGAATAGCCCCAAAAATTTACAGATGTTAAAACTTCAAAATTATTTGGAAACTGCTTCCATGTCCATATGTGGCATGACAGTAGATTTTGGAGAAAGCTGCTCTGTGTTACAAATATTCTTGATAAAAAAGAATAAATGATTTACCTGTATAAGACGTATTAAGTATTCATTCAGAGAATTAATCATGTTAACACTTGAAGGAGCCATCCCTTCTGGAAGATTCACTGTTTTGAAGACAATGTTAGCGCCTTCTGATTGACGTAATAAGCAAATTTCATTTTTCAGTTGAGTAATCTAATAAACAAAGTAACTCCTGTTATTTAATTAAAATGCACCTGATGGAAAATATATTAGTTTTCCTAAGTTAAATTAGTTGCTATTAACAATCTAATTCAGTTCCACTTATATTCTAAAGAATTCAAACACTCTTAGAAAATAACCTTTTAAAAAACCCTGTGATTATGTGAATAATTAAATGCACAGTAGCTTGAGCCAAATTGATCAAACCACTACAGCAATCAGGGCAGATTCACATACTTTTAGTTTTATTCTGAACTGTTTATACGGTGCACTAATATAATTTCTAAAAATATACAATTTGGACAGAACTATTGCAGTGGTTATTTGATGGTTTATTCTAAATAAATCTTTGCTCTTTAACTTCTTAAAAGCTTTCTAGTTCTCTAGTGTAACAGTACAAAAAACACTATTCCAGAATCACAGAATCACAGAATTTCTAGGTTGGAAGAGACCTCAAGATCATCGAGTCCAACCTCTAACCTAACACTAACAGTCCCCACTAAACCATATCCCTAAGCTCTACATCTAAGCGTCTTTTGAAGACTTCCAGGGATGGTGACTCCACCACCTCCCTGGGCAGCCCGTTCCAGTGCCTCACAACCCTTTCAGTAAAGAAATTCTTCCTAACACCTAACCTAAAACTCCCCTGGCGTAACTTTAGCCCATTCCCCCTCGTCCTGTCACCAGGCACATGGGAGAACAGGCCAACCCCCACCTCTCTACAGCCTCCTTTAATGTACTTATACAGAGCAATAAGGTCACCCCTGAGCCTCCTCTTCTCTAGGCTGAACAAGCCCAGCTCCTTCAGCCGCTCCTCATAGGACTTGCTCTCCAGGCCCCTCACCAGCTTCGTCGCCCTTCTTTGGACCCGCTCAAGCACCTCGATGTCCTTCTTGTAGCGAGGGGCCCAAAAGTGAACACAGTACTCGAGGTGCGGCCTCACCAGAGCCGAGTACAGGGGGACGATCACCTCCCTAGCCCTGCTGGTCACACTGTTTCTGATACAAGCCAGGATGCCGTTGGCCTTCTTGGCCACCTGAGCACACTGCTGGCTCATATTCAGCCGACTGTCCACCATCACTCCCAGGTCCTTCTCTGCCTGGCAGCTCTCCAACCATTCCTCTCCCAGCCTGTAGTTCTGCTTGGGGTTATTGCGCCCCAGGTGCAGGACCCGGCACTTGGCCTTGTTGAACTTCATACAGTTGACCTCAGCCCATCGGTGCAGCCTATCCAGATCCTCCTGCAGAGCCTTCCTACCCTCGAGCAGATCGACACACGCACCTAGCTTGGTGTCATCTGCAAACTTACTGAGGGTGCACTCAATGCCATCATCCAGATCATTGATGAAGATGTTAAAGAGGACCGGCCCCAGCACCGAGCCCTGGGGGACGCCACTAGTGACTGGCCTCCAACTGGACTTGGCTCCATTCACCACAACTCTTTGGGCCCGGCTATCCAGCCAGTTTCTAACCCAACGAAGCGTGCGCCAGTCCAAGCCAAGAGCAGCCAGTTTCTTGAGGAGAATGTTATTTATATTACAAATCCAGTATCCTATGCATAGTGTGTTTTTGTTCTAAATTATCATAGCAGAAACTTTTAAGTACAAATTAACTTATGGAAGATAAATTGTATACCTTTTCATTTGCATTTGCCAGCTGATTAGAGCAACTTGTTGCCTCCTTCTGACTCTCTTTCAGTTCCTTTCTTAATTCTTCATTTCGTCCTGTAAGTTGGTCAACCTGAGCTTTCAAGTGCACACTAGCATCAAAGATTCCTTCCGTGTTTTTTGATTCAATTGCCTAACACAGTAAATATTAAATTAACAAAACAGAGAAAAAACAGAGAAAAGCTTTGTTTTTCCATAATAAACTGGAACCGGTTTTAAGCTACATAAATTTAGCCAAAAAAGCAAGACATTTTAAGTTTTTTCAAATCTACTAATCTGTTTGCCGATGACACATAATTTATATCATATACCATAATATAAATAATTGCATTTGCCTGTGAAAATACTAATTTTTCAGGAAGATGTTTGAATAAGTAATTTTTCTTCAACATTTCCTGCAGGTCCTGTACAGATATGCAAAGAACACAGACAACAACAAGGCATGCAAATGAGCATTAATCTTAAACTTTACGTATAAGACAATAAACTTGACCAGGACAGTTTTATACTATCCAGCTGAAGGGATAGAAGATTTTTTTCATTTTTTTTTTCTGTTGGCAATTTCTTCTTATTGTATATTTTTCATTTGCCTTTTTACAGAGGAATCATGTTATGTACTCCCACTTGTAAGCAAGAAAGTATATACCAGTTACTATTTAATTATACAATAACCCAATAATATAAAATATATAAATATATAAATATATATATATATATATATATATAACCTTAAAATCCTATGAGGTCAAATAAGCGAGCAAGCTTACATTAACTAAACGGTCCAAACTAGGGATTGTTAAGGCTGTTTCTCCTCCCTTCACGCTTGGATCATTCTGCATTTCCTTGACAGCTTGCAATATTTCTTTCATTCCTTGTTCAAGTTGTTTATTCTCTTCTGATAATTCTTTTACTGTAAAAAATATTGTTAATGTGTCTAAAAGCAGTAAAAACTGAGTTAGTTTTTTTGTTAAATGAGTTAGACATTTCATCATAATACCTCTTGATTTGATACACAAGAAGATTGTTCATATTATATACAGACCTAACTATGAATTTTAAAGTAGATCTGCTAGGTACTTCCCAACAGTGTATTTTGCTGGAGAAATATCAGTAAAATAACAGATAAATCCTTCATGGGAACATTTGGCTTTACTGAACCTTCCATTCTTCAATATTTCCTGCCACTGTTTTCACTTTTTTAGTAGCTTGTCTGATCAGCTTTCACAGATCCAGAAATACGGTGATCTTGGAAATGCTTCTGTGTAAAAATGGAGTTTTAAGGAAACTAGGAAAGATCCTAGTTTAATGTATTTAGTATGAATAAACTATGTTTCTTGTACTACTACCATTAATTTAAGTTTAAAATTAGCAAAACTAAACATGTTTTTATATACACACATAAACACATATATTTACAAAACAGCATTAAAGAGAATTCAAGGAAATTCCAGTTTGCAAATGCTATTTATATTATTTTGTAATCATTGTGTTACCAATTTAAACCAATTCACAACCAAAAATTCCACAATTCATGAGGTTATCAGAACAATTGTATAAAAACATTCCACGTACAAGGCAAATTCAATCATTGTGAAAGATACCAAAATAAACTGCATTTAAAAGAAACTGTACAGATGGATAGCTGTGGTCATAGTCACAAAGAAAAAAAAGTACAAATAAACAAACAATCTGCAGGAACCTGATAGCATTCCCTGGCTTTAAAACATGTTCCAACTTACATTTAGATTGAAATGTGACTATTACAGTCCTGTTCTTTTCCAAGTCTCTCTCTCTTTCACTTAGTTCTTTTGCGAGGTACTCATTCTAAAGAAAATAAAAGAAAAATAACAATTGTAATTTAGGAATATTAGAATTCTCATTAAGACTCTATGGTTAAGAAATGTTAAATGAAAATAAACACTTAAAAATATTACTAACTAATTATATTTGGTAGTGACATAGTCACTGATGCAGTATACAAACTGAAATAATGTGTTACTATGATGGGAACAATCAAGGTAATTTATAGCAACAAAATCATTATTTATAGCAACAAAATCATCAGGAAAAAAGTATTTAAAGCATAGATAAGCTTTATATATTTATTTTATTTATTTTTTTTTTTTTTCTTCTCTTTAACACCTTGTACTACCTGTACTGCCTGGCTTCTCCATTTTTCAAGCTGTAATTCTGGATAACTATTCAGCATATTCTTAATCAACAAATCTCTGTATATCTGCTCATTCTTAAAATAAAGAAGTTATTAGTATATGATTCTATCTCCATTTTCATATAAGTGTTTATATTTCCAAGACCTATCTGCTAAATTATCAAAAAACACTTATTCTTTTCTACTAAAATGCAATTAACAGGCATTATTCATGCTGTAGCTTGGTTAAGAGTATTTTAAGAGAAACCAAAGTAGAAAAGCATACTCCCATAGCACGGAAAAAATGATGTATAGTAGAAAAATGCATGACACACACAGATTTATTATTCGATCGGTTACTTACATGTTGACCATAGCTCAGCAGGGCTCAACGGAAATTCAATCAGTTCCAAAATACTTCAGTTCAAGGTAGGAAAAACCTATTTTCTGATCTCATCTATTGTAACCATGATGTTTCCTCATCAAAACCGAGACAAATAACAAACATGTTTTCTAGATCCATTCAAAATATAATTTTAGTCATCTAGTGTACTAGTCCCAGCTTTTTCTCAAATTGGGACTATGCCTTCATGAAAACTTCCTAGCCCATATATTAATCTCCTGACTGAAATGCAAGTGCAGCAGAGACAGATTTACTAGAAGAATTACACAAGGTATACCCCATATAATACTGTCCAGGAAAACACAAACTCTTAGTCATGCAGCAGTTGGAACAACAGTCTACAAGTATATAACACAGGTAGGACTGTGAGACTCTTCAGAAACTGACTTGATTCATGCCCCAAATATCTCTCAGGTACCAAAAACAAAGACCTGCGCTATACAAAAAGTAACACAGCACCTTATAGTAATTATTTTGGAAGCTACCAGAGTATTTTTTTTTAAATATCATTTATCATATAAATAAAACACAGCAAGTATCCTGAAATCAATCTGTTCTTGTTATGATTCTATCAAGTTTTCAAAAACGCCAATAAGAACCTAAAGTATTTTATCATTATGGATCTTTTTAATCAATTAAATTTTTCATTGAAAATATTTTCAGTTTTTCTGAGAACTGATGGATATTATCCATTTCTCTGCCAATTGATCAAGATAAAAGGATTGAAGAACAAACTCAGTAATTTTTTAGAAGTTTCCCAGAAGGAAAGGCCTTTCTTATTCCAGAAGTCTAACTTTACACCATCTGTTTTCTTTAGAGGTAGTCTAGTCACATAACGTGTATCGTTTAACAGAAATCTCTTCTTTTACGTTGAAGGACTGAATCAGTCCCTACTTTATTCAACTAGTACTTGCAAATTAGCACTGTGATATTTGTTTGTGTACTTAAAAACATTTTAAGATGATTATCCACAAATTGTGTCGTTCAATACACAGTTGCAACCATTGATTCATTTGCGAGGTAAAGATCTATGCATTAATAAGTGGTATGCAGGAAAATAATTATTTTTTTTCACTAATGCACGTAAGATAATAGAATAAAAACTATTCCCTCGTCATACCCGTCTATAGGGATGTTCACGTGTGTTTTGCAATTTTTTTCCACAGACAGAAAGAAAATGTATCACTATATTTTTTGACGCTAAGTCAACAAATCAACTGCAAACTAATGACTTGGGCATTTTTTTGTTCTAATTTAAAAAATGTGCCAATTCTATTTGAATCACTGCATAGATTTAAATAAAGATGAAATTACACCAACATATCTTCAGTATTTGAATTTATCTCCTAAATAACTGCAACAGATAAGCACACACATATTATACAGGAGCCTCACCTGTGATCTAAGAAAGGCTAATTCCCTTCTCAACTGCTGTATGAGATACTCAACAGGATCTACTTGACCTGAGTATTCTGAATGTTCATTTTCAAATTCACTTTCCAAAGTTTTCACCTGCAGACATTCTTTTATACAGTTCCTTCCTTCTCCATCTTCTTGAAAGGTATTTAAATCAGAGAACTTCATTTGCAAATAATCTGGCTTATCCTTCAATGTCATTCTTTGTGTTTTGAGAGTCACTGGCTTTCCAAGAACAGATGCACAAGAAATCGGAGAGCTTTGGCCAAGAGATGCACATGCACAAAAATTTCCCTCACTTCTTTGATATGAATTAGAAGTTACAGACACTTGATTTGGAAAAGATGCTTTGTTTCTGTAACTTTGGTCATTTACTTCTGAAGTCTGCCACGTTCTCTGATACATAGAAAATGAATCTGTGCAGTCTGATTTTGAGCCTTTTGACACCTCTGTAATGTCTGCATTATCTGTTATCCCTGATGACACTGTAAATTGTAGTTCTGGTGATATGAAAAGTTCTTTTATTCTAAGAGTTTCTGAATTACAGTTGTCACTAACTGCTTGCAACTCTGTCACATGTTTTGAACCTAAAAGAAGCAAAGAAGCATTTCTATTTTTTTCCAAGTGATTTAAATTCCCAAGTATGCCACAAGTTCTTCTACGTAGATTTCCCACAGCCTTACTCTTTTCAGCTCTATCTTTCTCTGACTTCAAAAGGCTAACTCGTGCTTCTCTATCTGCAAATGTGTTTCTCCTTTCCATGTTACATGAGTTGCTAGCCTGTACTCACAAGAAATAAAAAATGTTCATTAGTATTCAAAAAAAAAATACAAATTATTAATTTGGGATTTTTTAACAGCAGTTAATAAAAGCTTATAAAAATATTTGAAAATATATTTACAAACCAATATTATATTTATTTGAAACAGAAATACAATAAATGCTTATGAACTTGTTTTATGAACCTACCTGTGCCTTTACTTCAGCAATATCATGGGTGTCCAAGAAATCAAGCTTCCTCTTATTCATCCACTTCTCTTCAGTAAAGTTATCTGTTATCTGCATGTCAGCAGTGTCCAATGCTAATTGTAAGTAAATGTACAATAAATTATTATGATTTTGGGGGAGGGGAAACTTCAAACAAAGGAATATATTCAAGCTACTATATATGAGTTATATTTTTCAACTACCTGCAAGGTAAGAAGCTGTAAACTTCTCCATTGGAGTAGATTATGTTTGCCTAGGTGGCACAGAATTTAAATTTTTAAGTTTTCTGAAACAAATCCATTACAAAGATTTACTGGAAATCTTGGTGAGATCATTCCATATCTAAGAACTACAAGACAATGGCATGACTCTCAGTGATGTGTTACTAGCCATCACAAGTCAAAAAGCTACGGGGCTGTAAGACTACAGAAATACAAAACCACTCACCTCTTCCTACAGATTCAGTGATAATTATTTTGTCTTATAATTTAAGCGAGTTAATAGACAAAATACAGCTATATTAGTAACTACAGACAGAATCTTCGTGCAGTATATTTTATAAAAAAATACGTTACCATTTGTTGCAACTCTTCTTCCTTTCTCCTGAGCCAACTTACGAACCTGTTTTTTCAGTTCAATTCTTTCTTCTTCTAGCCTTTCAATCTGCATATTATTTAACAGACAAGTATTTCACTCCATTCAAATGCAGTTTTATTATGTAGGTCTTACAAAAAATATGATTTATCACTTACCTCTTTCAAAAGAATATGGTTTTCAGCTCTATATTGCTGCTGTTTTAGTACTTTGCTGTTTCTGAATTCACTTAAATCAATCATTGCCTTTGGTTCAAGACCTGAAACACAGTATATGATGCATAATCACTCATTTGGGAGGAACATTAATGTTAATGGTCATTAGTAGGTAGCCCATTTAAGTAACAACAATCAGTCAAGTAGAACAAAAAAAACTAATGTGCTGATGGTTAAATATACACATATTTCTACACATCGTGCTCTCCATAATAACATCAGATGAAAGCACCATTTTACATTATTTACTAAAAAATAAACAAAGCACAATAAAATACTGCCTAAAACTAACTGTATTTATGTTTAGATTTCTTTATGTAAAAATAAGCTTCTGAATTTCTCTCTCTGTTTTCAGTCTAGCATTACAATTTCAATAAGTTATGTATGATTTCCAAATACTGTATTATGAAGCTAAGTAAGTAGTCTATAATCAAGGAGGAATCAAAAACAACAACAAAAAAGCAACATGGAACCTATTTCCCTGCTTTCTATGCTCAAAGCAACCTGTAAGCTAAACTTTAGACATGTACATACACTCTTTTTATCCTAACTGAAACTACTTGCAAATATTAGCAGACTAATACATAAGTATTAGCCTGTATAAGTAATACATAAGTATTAGTCTAATAATATAATATATAAGTATACCAAGTTGTTACTTGGTATAGTAAAAATGTCCATGACACAATGCTATTTCAATTCTTACAAAATAAAAAATTGAAAATATAACAGATACACCATACCTAAGCGCTCTCTAAGCTCTTCATTTTCATCAAGAAAATCATTTATTTTCAGTTCAAGTTTATTGACTTCCTTAATTAATGTTTCAATCTCATGATCTCTTATTTTGATTTGCTTTTTTAAATCCTTTATTTCAGCAACAGCCTCTTCCAAACCATATATTCCCTGTAAAAATCCAAATGGGAATTATAAACATATCACATGGAAAAATAAATTATGAATCTGTGTTTCATCTTTACAAAGTTGATGACACTATTTGGAAACAAAACAAGAAGAAAATACTATGATTGAAAACTTATACTAACAAGCATAGGAGACCGTTGATAAGTTATGGAAAGACAATAGTAAAGTGAAGTGAAAAAAATCCTGAAGATTATAGGGATTCAAAGGAGTTGACTCAATGTCCACTAAAGCAAAGCATATTCATTTTTCTGACCATGGCATTCAGTAATTCCTAACTGCAATGCCTATTTTTCACACAAACAACATTTTCTAGAAAAAATGCCATACTATCTGTGATTTTTCATGATTGCAATGCAGGACACCAAGACTTTCAGTCTTGCTTAACTCCAAAATACCTTTGAAATCCACTTATCACAAATACAGATTTCACCAAAAGAGTGCTAATCTTTTTTATGTTATCTTTTTTATGCTCACTGTACACACAATTTCTGAGGTATCTGAATATTTTTAATACATACTATTTAAATTAACAAATCATTAAAACCTTACTTAATAAGAAAAAAAAAAGTTTTCCAGTCTATAAGCACTGCGCTGATTGCAAACAGAGGTGCTGAATAAAATCAGTTCCTACAAACCTATCTTCTGATTACACAGTAACCTCCACATAATTCAATATTGAACCCTCTTATTACAGGATTCTTTGAAGAATCCTATCTTGGTAATTCAATTAATGTTCAACGTGTTTCGGAAGCCCCTACTCATATACTAAAATTGTCAACTTGCAAAAGTTAAGTATGGTTAACAAACATGCAATCAGTAACCTCTAAAGGCATAATGAAAGAAAAAGAAAATAGCATCAGAAGTCATTCATTTAAGTTCTAATTAGAACAATGTCAATAAAAATGCAAGCAGAAAATGTTCTGCTAAAAATACGATGAAATAGCCTGTCCACTCTGACAAATTATTTACCAGTTCATAGTCTTTCATTCGTTTCAGAGCCTCAACAAGTTCTTTGTCCTTTTCTTTAGCATCTGCTTCAGCTAGTTCTGCAGACTTCTCAGCCTCCTTTGTTCTCTCTTCTAGCAAGTTTAACTTTTCCTGCATTTCTCCTAAACGATTCTGCTGAGCAAGTGTTGAGAGACCTGGAAAGATAAACCTTGATCAACGATTCAACCAAGAATTCTTTCTGTCTCAGCAAGAAACACTTCACATGATGTTATAAAGATCTTCATTATCTGCTCTCAAATAAGTAATTAAAAAAGACTATATATTATTGCTTTTTTTTAATCATTCAATCAAACAACCCTCAAGTATGCACAAAAGGGAATTTGTTTTGAATTATATGTTAGCAATCATTTGCAACTCTTTACAAAGCTGAGCTGAGATGTATCTTATACTCTAACCTATAAAGTATGTAATATGTAACATTATTACATATATATGTAACATTAATTAACTATACAGGTATAGTTTTATTAGGTACTATATTACCTCTAAAATCCACTGGAGTACTGTAAATAAATTTAAACCATTTTGCATACTTGATAAATGGAAAGGAACAAAAATTTTAGAGTACTGTTACTCAAATATGGCAAACATTTTTCTGTATTTCTAAAGAATAAAGAATATATGGCAAATTTTTTGCTTCTTATTTTCTTTTAAATATACCTTAAAATAAAACTTACCTTTATCTTTTTGGAGATCATTTTTTAATTCCTCAATAAGAAACGCATTTTGTTCCATTTCTTTGGTATACTGTTCGACTTGCTCAGTTAGAAGTCTTATCTGAGCATCTCGTTCTTGCACACCCTGAAAAAAAAAAAAAAAAAAAAAAGAAGAAATTCTTCACTGACCATCTCACTTTGGCACATTACACACTTAACACACACACACACACCAAAAAAAAAAAGCTCCATTAAAGAAATGTTTTACTGACAGGGAAACTACCAATACAGAACACCACATTGCTTCAAAATCAAAATGGAGAAATGAAATGCAGCTAATAAAAAGACCCAATAAAATTATATAACAAGCAAACATACTGTACTTACAACATAGAGTTCAGATATTATCTAGAAGTTGGATAGATAAAGGCAAAGCAGGAAAAATAAAAGAAAGAGTAAAAATAAAGCATTCACACAATACTATCACACTGACACTGAATAAATATATATATAAAAAGAAAAAATAGAGTTGGAAAAAAGTTTCAGAAAATAATTACAATATAAAAGTCTCAAGAGTTGCTGACCTTACTTTATACAAATGTTATGAAAAAACAAAAGCTCAGTCTTTCTTAGAGGTAAAATATCACCACATTTTAAATCTAAAGATACATCACTTAGCAAAGTTGTGAAGACCTAACTACAACCCTTTCATATGTGAACATATATTGAACCATAACAAGCATTGTGTTACTACACAATGCTGTAACTTGATTTAATTTTTAAATGCCTTATTTAAAAATATGCTATTTTCCATAAAACTGTTCAGAATAAAATGCTCGTGACTTTTTTCAGATGTTTTTGCCTTCTGATCATCAGAGGCTAATTGGAACTTAAGTTTTTTTGTTTGTTTTTAATCCTTTTTTTCGGTAAGATTATACATAATGATACATTTATTCAAAAAACACTTGAAGAAGGCAGGAAATCCTTCTGATATGTATACATTATGGAAAGCATATTGATTGATATTGGGGCTCCTAAAGGGCTGGGAGATTTTTTGAATGTTTGATAGTTTTTCAATAAAGTGGGGAAATATAAGATCATGAAGAATTATCTAATTTGAGATTAATAAAAGAGGCACTTAATTCAGCTAGCTCTATAACATGCTGAACCACAAACTTGAACAGTATAGCACCAAGCAAGACAAAAGGACACAAAAGTTAAAACCTCTAAGTAATACTTTTCCTTGACTAACCAATTTACTGTAATTTAACAGCATTATATTCTGGATGCTTAGGTGTTAAAACAGTCATTCTTGTAATAGTTAGAAAAGATAAATATGAAAGTAACAGAACCAACTACCAAAAGCTCAATTTATACAGAAAGGGAACATTCATTTGTGCAATATTATGCTAACCTCATAGAGGAATAAATCAACCTGCCTTGTAATTCTCAAATGTGAATGACACAGATTCTGGTCTTTGCAAACTAGGAAAGACTAATTTGGTCACTAGCTTACCTAAAGAATGGTAATTTGTGTGTGTGTAATTTATCACATGGACTGTACCTGCTGAAGGGCCATTATACTGTTTCTGTCTACATCAAGACGGGCCATTTTTATTTCCTCTTTCATGTTAAACAACATTTGCTGATACTCTATGAGTTCATCATCTTTTGAAGCTAAGATTTTCTGAAAAGGAAGATAAAATACCATCAGAATACTTGAAGCAATTCCTAAAAATTAGCCAAGAAGTATTAGAAGTACCTTCCATTCTTCAACTTTTGCATTTACAGCTGCCATGAGTGGATCATCTTCCTCATTCTTTGCTTTCAGCTGGTCTGAAAGCTCCTGGACCTAGAGATGCAATTTGGATCAATATGGTATCACAAAAGTGTTTTGCTTAAACAACATGCACATACACACACACAAACAAATGCACACATACAACTTAGCAGAAAAGCATTATGGCAGCAAGGTATAGTTCTGGCTCCTAGAACACATGAACTCTAACATTCTTTATGAAAGTATTTTGTGATCTGCAATCAAGTTTTAAAATTTGCATCAAGCTTAAAGATCACTATTTTTAGTAAGTATTTCAGCAGTGTGCTTTAACTGGAGTTGTTGAACATTTTTGAATTTACAGAAAAATATGATGATACAATATAAAAGCAAAAAAATATATTCAATAATATAAGTTAGTTCTTACTTGAAATTTGTACTGTTCTTTCTCCTTTCTTAACTGATCCATAACAGTATCGGATTGTTGCACAATTAGTTTCATTTTATTATATTCATCCGTCATCTTCTCCATTTCTTGCACTGATTCCTCAAGATTCTTTCTCATTTCTTGGTTTTGAATGTCTAACTTCTCATTAGTTTCAGTCAAATTCTGCAGAATTAAAGCAACTGCTTTTAAAAAGTATGCATCCTAATACCTGAATAACCAGTAATTGAAAGCTACCTTAAATGTAATGCTAGAAAGTATAAAGTAGCACAGAAGAGAGCATTTCACCTCTGGATCCTCAATTTCAACAAATCCTAATGACTAAGCACTAAAAAATTACTCTAAAAGACCCATGTCAGTAACTTCAATACCTCAGACATTCACAGATTGAGAGTTTATGAATCACAGAACCCAACTGCATTAGATATTCTCTTGCCCTGCGTCACTTAGTCTGTAAATTGGCATAGCTTTATGAAAAATACTATTGTCAGAAAGACATACTCAACAGCATCCATTTTACCTGAATTTCATCCAAATACTGGACAAGCTCAAAGTTCTTTTTGGACAACTGAGATCTGTAATCAGAATAATCTCCTCTTCGTGACAGAACTGTTTCTTTTTGAGAATCTATTTGCCTCTGATAGTCAATTACATCCTGACGTAATTGTTCATTCTGCACAGAAAGCAATCCAAAAATAAATCTATTTTGAAGAGCTGAAGACTAAGTTGTTGCTTTTCTAATAAGCTAACACAAAGAGCTAAGACAAACACCATACAAATTCCTACTGTCTGCTTTTAAAAATTTAAGAAGCCTCACCTTTTTCTTTATTTGTTTTTTCTTCAGATTAAAAAGGAGAGAACAAGACCAAGAGAATAAAGCATGAAAAATATTAGATTATCTTTGTTTTAGAATTCTAAATAGGAATCAACATAAAGTCCAAACAAAGGAAAATTTTCCATATACCTGTGCATGTGTGTATATACACACATGCATGTAGGTAAATGGGCACATCTGAGGAATTCTCAAGTTTCCACCAGAACATTAATTGTAATTGTTGCTGTCCATTTTATTCTGCCACAGACCAAGATTAGAGGTAATAAAGGTATAAAAACAACCAGAAGAAATGTTTTAAGAGACTGATTTAAGAAAAAAGTATTAAAGAATGTTAACTCTATCTTTAATTTGTTCTTATATTAGCTACTTTTTGTAAAAAAATTATCTTAGCAAAAGCAGCAAGCTTAAACCAAATCCTGTCCACTATTCATCAAATCTACTTGTCAATAGAATTTAAGAAAAATACTAACTGCTCAAGAAGACAAAGTCCAAAGCCGAAGTATTTTAGGGCTGTGTAAATTCAAGCATAGACAGCTCCTAACCTCAATTAACTAAGTTTCCCTTGAACAGATCTATGATAAATTTGTGAAATCTGATTAAAATCTAATAATCTATTTGTACCAGTACCTAGGAGATAATCTAGAACAGAATTAAATACCATATCACTCCCCCAAAATACGTAGAAAACTAATAATATATATTGTTTATCAGTATTAATTCTTTACTAACCTCTCTCCTTAATTTGATGTTTTCATTTTCTGTATCTTCATTTCTAAGAGCAAGCTAGAATAAGATGATAAAATCCTTATTGTGTGTGTGTATGTATATATATATGCATGTATATTGCTAACATAAACTATGAAAGCAACGAACCCAGAAACAAAACAGAAAATGAATGCACAGTGGTCCTATTTTTTTTTTTTTTAAATTTCAGAGGCTCTTTTCAAAACATGAAACTTTCAAACACAGTTCCAGAACTGGTTTAGAGATTTCAAGCCATTCTTACCTGTTCATTCACTTTCTTCTCTTTTTCCAATTCCTTTTCTATTTCTGTTAACTGTCTCTCTTTTTGTTCTACTTGTTTCTCCAGTTGGCGGATCTCATCACGCAAAAAACGAGTATCACGACCACCAGCAGATCTTTGTGCCATCTTAAGAGCATTAAAACAATATAATAAATATAGTACTGTTCTTCAAAATAGTGGGAGGGGAGGGATACTAAGCCTAATGTTCAAGAAAAGCAACAGGAAGGTCTCACTAGCTTCTTTTTGAAAAAAAAAAAAAAAGAAAAAAAAAGAATTAATTAAAAAAATGATTTATTCAAATAAAGACAATTTTATTGTAGATGCAAGTCTTTATAAAAAGGACACTGGTGAATATTCATAAGCTAGTAAAAAGAATTAACTAAACCTTAAGGCTATTATGTTTCCTTAGCTATTTAAAACAGTATTGTAAAAAATATAAAAAGCAGCATTCTATAAACAAAATTTTAAAACATACCTCTAATTCATTTTCCAGCTTCATCACTTTTGTTTTAAATAGATTTTCTGTTAAAATAGAGTAGACACAGAGAATTAACCAGCAAATTACACAAAGCAACAATGTTAACTTCGCAGCCTTTAAATATTTGGCCCCTCTGAAGCAACTGACTTTTTATCAGTCAGTATTTTATTCACTCTGTTAAATTAAAAAGAAACAAATATATTATATTTAACAAATCATTTATGAATAGCTTAAGGTTTGCTTACCACATTTGGCTTGTTCTTCCCCAGCTTTTTCAACTTCCTCCAGTGCCAGCTCCACCTCTTGAGCTTTCATCTGGCAAAAAAAGCATAGTAAGCAAAGAAAAAAGATTTACTAACATAAATTAGAAGAGTATTTCATGGACCATGCGTTTAGAAGTATGAAAACATTTACAAAAGAACATTTTTCTCTTCAAACAAAGGAAACCGCTTATTTTCCTTACAATTAAGAACTTCAGACTGTTGAAATATTTTCTTTAGTAATTTATTCTAAGCAGCTGTCTGAACATTCAAAAGCATGTAGCTGAGAATAGTGATAAAAAATAAAAATAATAATTAAACAAAAAAAAAAAAACTAAAACCAATGTGCTAACCTGTGCAGCTTTTATTTCTTGATTCTGGTATGTTTATGAGCAAATACAAAATGCAATAGACTTATAGGACCAGTTTTAGGGTAGCCAAGTTTCTTACATTTGCAGTGACAGTTTTAAAGTTACTCCAAAACATCACCCTACCATAAAAACTTTGATTAGAGTTAAAATCATAATAAATTACTTACTACATCTAACTTATTTGTGAAATATCTTTGCATTACCTGTAAAACTAAGATTCCCTAACCACATAACTACGTTCACCCGTTCACTTCGCTTCCCACTGGTACCTGCCATAACCCCAACTGCTGCAAACAGTTACTTTGTTGCACGTACACATTTAGTACACAAATCCTTGTTAAGAGTAACCAGTACACTCAATTCAGGAAAAGAGAAAGAAAAAAAAAAAGTAATCACGTTTTCATTTAAATAAAAAATAAGCAGATGTACCTACAGAACTGTAGTAAGTGAGGATTAATACAAACCTTCATTAGTGACTGAGTAATTTTAAAAAGATGTATCAACTGTTCAGGAGTTTCATTTTTCAAGTTTTTCCCGTCAACCTAAAGAGACAACAGTGTTTTTATAAAAATATCGATGAAATTCAGAAAATAAAGCATTTATGTATGTGACAGACAAGAGATAGTATAGAGGAGAATGCATAGCAAAACTAGTATGTTCTGTTTTCCCCTTGAGTACCTTGGACACAGTCTCTAGCAATCTGTCTGCCAGTTCCTCTTGACTAGGCAAAGCATCTGGATCAACTCTCATAAGCTTCTTCCAATCTAAAATGGGTGCCATATTGATTTTATAGTATTTTCTTGGAAAAAAAAAATAGAAATAACAATTATGAGACATTAGCACTGCCCATCAGTTGTTTATCATATGACTTAAAGTAGGCTAGTGAACAATACAAATGATATTAATAACCATATGGATTTTTTAATAAATATATTGATTAACATTCAGTTCACATTTTGCTCCGTTGCAAATAAGTAGACTATAGTGAAACCATGTTTTAAGTTAAAATTACATCATGCAAAATCAAAGAATTTGTGATTCAAACCCTGAACATCAAGATGCATGTGAAACCTCAATTTTCACTTCTAAACGTTATTCAGTTCTTCCCAATTTCTCTTGAATCTGCCCTTGCATGATAAAAATCTCCTTATATTGATAAAATTGTTATTTCCTATATATTTAACCAACACCTGCTTCAGTCTGATGGCACAAGCGTCCATTTCTTGATATTAATTTCTAAAATACTAAACTCTTGCATTAAGCATCCTTTCCTTTTGATTAGAATACTTGAATTGAGACAGGACTGCAAACTGACAAATATATAAATTGGAAGTAATGCACAGTTTTGTTCTACTCTACTGCTTACCAGCCAGATGCTATAGGTGACGGTGACTTGTCATGTACCTGGAAGTCAATGCAATACCTGAAAAAGACAAAAGAGATTGGAAGACTTGGATTATTATGTTTTTCAGAGCTGTCTCTGACCTATATTGCCAAACCTTAAAAAGCAGATTCTGTCACATTTCAAAAATTTATTTACATATTGCCCTTAAATTATAAATATGTATAAATGGTTAGGAAAATAAAGAAAACAATAATAAAACCAACTAGGACACTTAATTCATTAATATTCAATAAACTTGATGATGCAAAAAGGATATATATTTTACTGGAAAAAATCAAGCTGAATCAATAACCATAGCAAAGGTGTATGCTAAGTGTATCTCAAGATCTGTTCCCTCATTCACTGTTCATCATTTACACATTCAACAACTGAAACTTCCATCTTTAATGAAAGTCTGAACAGGTATTACTTTCACAGAATATATTTGTGAGCAACCTGAGAGAAGAGCTGTAAAACTCTGAAATCTACCTTTACCCCTAAGGGAAGATAAAAATCACCCTTTCCTCATCTTCTTTGAATATGAGAATTACTTCAGAGCCCCCCTGTATTTATCATTTCTTCAGTGTTCATTAAATGTTTTAGAAACCTCACATTCCATAAAAACCACGAGCTGGTAAGGATGATATAGCTTTAAATTAAAAGAAGGTAAGTTTAGATTAGATATAAGGAGGAAATTCTTTATTCAGAATATGATGAAGCACTGGCACAGGCTGAGAAGCCGTGGATGCCCCATCCCTGGAAGTGTTCAAGGCCATGCTGGATGGGGCTTTGGGCAACCTGGTCTGGTGGGAGGTATCCCTGCACATGAAAGGGAGATTGGAACTAGGTGTTCTTTAAGGTCCCTTCCAACCCAAACTATTCTATTATTATATGTACATAAATCTTGCGTTTTATGTTTTGTAGTAGATGACAAAGGAAAATACAAGAAAATTACATGCAGGTGCATAACTGGTCTTGGTATTCTCAGTTTCTCAGTTCATCCAGTGCTACTTGGATTAACTAATATATTTTTAACACTAATATAGATTTTAACATTTAATGAGATGTAGAAAATAAATATATGACTATCAAATCTATTCTGAGAGTAAAAGCACAACCTTACGACTGTTGATCTTTCCCTACCTTTCTCATTTAAAATTCCTTTTCCTTAACTTATAAAACGTCTTTAAGAAAGTATCAGTCTTAAAACGGTATCAAAAGGAAGAGAGATATAAACAAAATAATCACAATTGTTGGGAGACCATCTACAGTAAGATATAGGGGGGGCACAAGCGTGAGGTGTGGAGTATGTTTTACAGTATATACGTATTGGAGGACAATAAAAGGGAAGTGAATTCTTCCTAAAATTTAGCTGATTCCTTCCGCTTGGTAGAATGTGTGCTTTTATTTGACAGAAGGTCTGTGAGGTGAAACAAGGAGATCAGGGCTCTAAAAAATGTGAAACATACATGCATTTGATGGTAGCCATCACAACATTTTCTTGACTTTCTTTAGGCACTAAACATACAAAAAATAGCCCGATGGTATAAAGTTCTGTAAGGACTGATAAAATAGGAGTGCTGGGCACGTTCACATACTATCAGAACTTGATAGGATATTCAGGACGGCCTACAAGAGACCGCCCAAAGCAGAGGCAGCCCAAGCACCACAGAGATTCCTCGCCATCACAGTGGCACTGGGCACCAACACAAACAGCTGCTCCTCTTCCATAACGGTGTGTAGAAGGCATATCACAGTCACAGATACTTGAGCGAGACTGAATATCAAGAAGCAGCAAAGACAGGTGGGACATGCACTAACTTTCTGTTAGTTTAGCGGAGCTCACCTAGATTAAGCTACCTGGGATTTCCAAACTAGGTCACCCAGACTAGCTCTGATACACTTGCTCTTCAGAGCACCACATCCCCACCACAGAGCTCCTTGTACAGGGCTCCCATTTCCTTCCAACTGCCACACTCCCTCCCGAGATGCCGCAGGGACACACCGACCGCCGTCCCTGCAGCGTGTCCCAGCCCTGCCCCCGTTTCAGACCCTGCGGAACTCACGGACTGCCCGCCCCGGCACTCCCGGTCACGGCAACGGCCCCCAGGCACCTCAGCGAGGACAGGAGCAGGGCCCCCCCTGCTGGTCCCCCGGCCCCAGCCGCCCTCTGCCCGCCTCCCCCCGGCCGTCGGCAGCGCAGGCCCCGGCCGCAGCCCCTCGGGCAGCCCCTTGGCCTCACCGCTCCGCCAGGGCGGCGGCGACAACAACGGAGGCCGCTGCCAGGCGATGCCCGCAGCCTCGCCCGGCGTCTCCGGTGCCTGGAACCGGGAGACGCGCAGGGGCGGGGAGAGACAAGGAGACGCGGGCCTCGCGGCGGACTACGAGTCCCAGCATGTCGCGCGGCTCCCGGCACACCCCGGGGCCCCCAGGGGAGCGCTGTCCCGGCATCCTCCGCTTGGGCAGCGCCAGCTGGGGGCGGCGGCGGTTCCGCGGCGGTCTCAGTCAGGTAGGGCGGGCGGTGGCGGCGGCGGGCAGGGGCTGCTCTCTGCTCGCGGGGTCCCGGGGAAGGGCTCGGCGGAGCCGCCGCTGCCCGCGGTGGTGCTCCCCGCTGCTTGGGGTCGCGCTTCGGTGCGGCCTCGGTCCCCCGAGCTTCCCCGGCCCGCTCCGCGCCTTTCCGTGGATTTCCTAACGGGGGCTGCCCCGGAGGCAGCGTGCCCTCTCCCGGGCCGTGCCGGGGTGTGTGTGTGCGCCTCTCTGCGTGGCCTCGGCCTCCAGGTAGCCGCCGGAGCGCTGCATCCATAAACTGCCGGGGTCCCGTGAGCGCTGCCAGCCGGCGAGGGGGGCTGAGCGTTGGTAGCGGTCCGACGGCCCAAAAGGTTCGGGGTCCCCTGTTACAGCTAACTAGGCGTGAACGCATCCTAAATAAAAACGGAAAGCTAGCAACTACTTGAAGTGTTTTTAGATGTTATGTGTTCATTCAACGGGTGTGTTAAAAGCTGAAGATAATTCTTTTTTTTTAATCAAAAGACAAGGAGGTAATCTTCTGTTTTTTTACCTTCTTCTGGATTAATCATACTTCTCTTCTTTGCGATTGCTTAATCAGCATTGCTATTTAATGAAGGCTGACAAGATGCAAGATGCTCGACACACCTAATTACGTAACTTGTTCTGGCCATGTCGTAAGCCTTAACTGTTGATTGAAGGTAAAGGCTTATATCTCACCCAGAGGTTGGTTAGTTACATCTCTCTATGTAGAAAGAGTAAACTTCATGGTTAGGGGAGAGAAATCACAGAATCATCTAGGTTGGAAGAGACCTCCAAGATCACCGAGTCCAACCTCTGACCTACCACCAACAAGTGCTCCACTAAACCATATCACTAAGGTCTACATCTAAACAACTTTTAAAGACCTCCAGGAATGGTGACTCAACCACTTCCCTCGGCAGCCCATTCCAATACCTAACAACCCTTTCGGTAAAGAAAGGAAAAGGAAGAGGGACTGGATTGTATTTCTAAAATGCAAAATGTTGCAAAAAATAAAATTGATCGTGATTGAGTGTAAAACAATGAATTCTTAACAGAAGTGACTTTATAGGTGAAGCAGGGGACCCACAGAGAATAAAGCTGCCTTGCTGCAAAATGAGCTTTCGGAAAATGGATTTTGATTCCCCTGTGATTTAGGAAATAAAATAACCCATTTGTTACGTTCATGAAGTTCAGCAAAGCCTAGTGCAAGGTCTTGCACCTAGGTCAGGGCAGTCCCAAGCACAAGCTGAGCAGAGAATGGATTGAGAGCAGCCCTGAGGAGAAGGACCTGGGGGTGTTGATGGATGAAAAGCTCAGCCTGAGCTGGCAGTGTGTGCTTGCAGCCCAGAAAGCCAACTGTATTCTGGGCTGCATCAAAAGCAGTGTGGCCAACAGGGTGAGGGAGGTGATTGTCCCCCTCTGCTCTGCTCTTGTGAGACCCCACCTGGAGCCCTGCGTTCAGCTCTGGGGCCCCCAGCACAAGGACATAGAGCAGGGCCGGTGGAGGGCCACAAGGATGATCAGAGAGCTGGAGCATCTTCCTCTGAAGACTGGTTGAAGGAGCTGGAGTTGTTCAGCCTGAAAAAGAGAAGGCTCTGGGAAGACCTTGTAGCAGTAGCAGCCTGTTAGAGTTGTTCCAGAGGAGCTCTAAGAGGCTGATAAGAGGGCTGGAGCGCCTCTCGTATTAAGACAAGCTCAGAAAGTTGGGATTGTTCAGCCTGAAGAAGGGAAGGTTCCCTGGAGACCTCATTGAAGCCTTCTGGTACCCAAAGGGGGCCTACAGTAAAGCTGGAGAAGGACTCTTTGTCAGGGAGTAGAGTGATAGGACAAGGGGTAATGGCCTTACACTAAAAGAGAGTAGGTTTAAATTAGATATGTGGAAGAAATTTTTCACTCAGAGAATGGTGAGGCACTGGCACAGGCTGCCCAGTGAAGCTGTGGATGCCCCATCACTGGCCAGGCTGTATGGGGCTTTGGGCAACCTGGTGTGGTGGGAGGTGTCCCTGGAACTAGATGGTCTTTAAGGTCCCTTCCAAGCCAAACTGTTCTATGTTAAGATGCCTCTGAATAGAAACATCTTTTTTTATCTTATTCTGTAGCTTAGTAAGCTGTAGAGGCTAATATAACTGTTTAATGTGTTTTAGCTTTTCTTTTTTTTTTGTGGTCTTCTGTTACAGAATCAAGATAACATACTGATTACATATACTGGCAGTGTAACTACATCTTGGTTATAATTCTGTAGTGCAGCAAATGAAGATCGATGCAGAACTAAAGTAGATATTGAGGGAGGCGTGAAAAATGAAAACGAAAAGAGTGAAATGGAAACGTAAATCCCACATAAAGTGGCAAAATGTTTAAAATGCAGAGTGGCTTAGAGCAAGTGAGTTAATTTATTTATATTATTTTTTTCTGCCTTGACATCTCTGTCTGTATAACACTTATGTAAGTTGATCGTTGTTTGGTGAGAGTACATGCTTGTAGTTCTGGAGCCGGGAATCATTTTAGTTCCATAGCAGAGCTCCCTGGTGGAAGAGTGAGGCATCCATGTTAAGCCACAGTTTTGATAACACTATGCTATTTCAAAGAGCTAATTCAGAACTGAATTATGAGAGATCAAATGGAATGTCATTTCAAAACAAGAACACAAACAGAAGTCATCATATACAGACCAAGCATGCTAAATAAGGACATGAATAGCAGAGTCTTTTCAGCTTATGCCACCCATGTAGTTCATCTGCTCTTTGGAGTTAATGAACACACAGTTTCTACTGTTTGTGTTTTCTGGAACACTGAGTGTCAATCTGTTTGAGCATTATTTTAGGGACAGTTTCTGCATCAGTGTCCTGTTAAGGAAACAAATCATGTTGTTCAGTGTAAATATACAGTGCATTTTGTTTTTGTTTGAATATATGGCTTGTTAGGAAGAAAAAAAAATCAAGTGTTACTGAAGTGTTTGGTCCTCTTAATGATTTTAAGGTATATATTACCCTACATGTGTATTTGTGTATTTCAGGTATTTGTATTTCAACTGACTGTTGAAACAAGCTGAAGCTGCTAAACCAGTATCTTCCTCTTAGCCATGTTTAAGCTTTGATCCTTGTCTGTGCCAGGATACCCTAAAATGTCTGAGTTAAAATACTTGGTTGCTAGCAAACTCCTATCAGTCTTCCCCCTGGGAAATCTTTCCTCTGGCATTCAGCACAGGTTCTTACTTATGTCAGAGCTGCCATTTTTCATCTAGTCAATTCTTCAAAACTGTGCTTCTTCACAAGACGGGTATCTATTCCCTTCCTAGGGAATGAAAATTGCTTCATATTTGCAGAAGAAAGTTGCTGCATTGAAACTTCTCTTGTTATATTTGTTCTGTTCTGGGTCTCAACAAGAAGAAAAGGAGTCCAGGCATGTTTTACATTCTTCCTCCTGTCTTCCCAAATACATCTTGCCTTCTCTCATGTATGATCCAAGCCCAATCATTAAAATGTCAGCTGTGCATCTAAGTTGATTCATACTGGAGTTGTACCTTGGAGTGACATTTTAAAGAGATGATAATTTTAAAGGCTTTGTTGGAAAGAGACAACAGAAAGGAAATAGTGATATCTTTCCATTATTAAACATTGATAACAAGTTGGCAGGAGTATTAGGTTTAGCAAGAAAAAAAATAAAAATAAAATGGAGGTAAATAGGCAAGACCAGTGGGGACAGTAGTGGAGCCTTAGGTACTGAATTAAAACACCATTTTAAAGTGACAAAGCTGCTGGCTTTGGCAGTCTGTTGTATATATCAATGCTGGTGTTCCTCATTTCAGTATTGGATTAACTTTTGCTCCAGTGAAAAAAAAATAAAATAATGTGGTTTTAACTGTTGTTTTATTACACTTGATAATTTAAGTCAATTGTGTGTGCTTTAAGTATGTTTTAAATAGTTTAGGGTGTCAATTATTATCAAAGTCCGTTTATCCAAGGCAAATAAGATGCCCAGCTGTTTTTTGGCAGCTCTTCCATGTATGGGTATCTCTTTGCTGGTTTTAGAATTCCAAATGAGAGAGCGGAGAACCCACGCTTTACGATTAGGTATGTGCATAAATGATCATTAGTTTGTTTGCAAAGCTTTTCAAGAAACTTCCTGATCCCTTTGTAAATTGCTTTTGTTTTCAGCTGCCTAATTAATATACACAAAATAAAGTTCCTTGAGATTTACATAATAATTATGTTTCACATTAACAGACAATGCTTTATGTGTGCAAAATGAAAAAAAAAAATAGTCTGTAACTGTGTGGAGTTACAGACTAATTCCTTATTGATACTTGCATTGATAATTCCACAGAATAGTTGCTGACATCTTTGTGTGATTAAAATGTCAGGTGTATTTTTAATATTTAGTCTTTAATGAAGCATCAGTGAAAATATTCTTAGAATAATAGACAGGAGTCTTTAGAATATATTAACAATTCTGTTTTATGGACAGTAAGTTGATTTTTTTTATTTTTTTGAGAGCATGAACTAAATTTTAAAAAACTGTCAAAAGCTGCAAATATTAATATGTAAATTTTGCTGATTTGTTTCAGAAATAATAGGAGCTCTCATAGAAAAATTGGAAGAGATGAAAACTTTGCAGTTGGGGCAACTGTTTGAGATGAACTTTAATGAATAGTTTTGTTCCACTCAGCTTTGCTGAGCGAATGCTGAGGAGGGGTAGGTGGACTGTACAGGTGTTTTCCCATACAGAAATGCTATGGTTTTCAATAATTCAATTACTGCCAGTATTATTTTTTTAAAAAAAGAAATATACATGTATTACTTAAAGCGTTTTCTTTGAAGCAGACCTTATCAAAACAAATATTCATACCCTTCAGAGTTGTAAAAGAAGCAAGTGCCATTACCCAGAAGAAGAGAAATGTAAAATGTATTTAAGTTCCTAAAATTAGGTCATAAGGTTTATCTGAACATAAATTGTCTCCTTTAAATGTTGATGTAAGGTGGCAGATAACATGTTTATTAGCTGATAGCTAGTGGTAGAGTGGTAGATAGCTGTTGTTTTTTTAAGGACTGCAACTGTACTCTGTAAATGCAACCTAATTTCGCCTAAATTCATATGGGCAAAAGGGGGCATCCATACTTCCAAATTTCCCAAGCAAGGATGCAGAGCATCTCTCGTTTTTGTGCGTATTTTCGTTCATTTTTTTTGTGCAGACTTCTGTATTTTGAGGCGTGCTGCTCTCATCAGTTTGTATTGTCCTGGATTTGGTTGTGATTGTGGAGAAACGTTTTCTTGTTCTCCTACTTCTCCAAAAGTGTTTTGTTTTTTTTCTCTTATATTCCTACTGTCTGTAAATCTTGAAAATGACTGCATGAACCAGTAAGGGATTCTCAGCGTGCTGGGGGAGCAAGGTTGCATGCCTTACAAGCCAAACCTGCTGGAGAGCTCTGTTTTTTTTCCATCCTTTTCACTTTGTATCTATGAACATGCATGGAAATGGTGCATTGTGGAATGCAAATTTCTATGTCAAACATCTTGAGGAAACTAGCCTAACAAGCAGGCATTATACGCGGCTTCCGCATGCTGTTTTTCCACAATCAGCTCTCACAGTCATGTAGCATGTCTCTCAAGGTGTATCTTGCCACTTATTGTTTGTGGCAAACTGTAATATTTGTATATTCAACTGTATATTCTTCCTGACAGGTTCAAGTATTGTTGTAAATTAAAATGTTTGGCAGAAATCTTGGAAATGAAGTACTTGTCAGTCCTGATTTTATACAGTCAAATTAGGTCTCAGTGGTTGTTCGTAGATCATGAATTGACAGTCATACAGCCCAAGGGCTGATTAAAGTATCAGAGGTACAGTTTTAGGAGTTACGAAAGTAAAAGGTTGGTGAGCTTTTTTTCTGTTAGTTATTTTTTTTTAAATAAAGTAAAAAATATGGAGGGACAATCAACCTGTTTATGTGAGTTGGAACAGTCAGTTATGTGGTTCTCCATCACAGCAAGCCTGTGTTTAAAAAAGAAATAAAAACAAAAGTTGTTGAGCAGCATGTTTTACAGATACTTATCAATACATCCATCGCTCGGAATGGTGGAATACTGGCACTTGCAAGCCCATGCTTGTGTTGCTACCAAATTTCCATGTGCCTGTTGAGTGAGCAAGGGAGTGAGTGTATCCACTCACCATGACTTGCATTCCAAAGCTTCAGCAGCCTCTTGCACATCTATGATCTATGACTTCCTTTGTCTTGCATACTCCTTAGATGGGTTCTTGCTTTCCAATGTCAAAATGAGAGCTAATTAGTTGATGTGAATGAAGAGTGTTGGCTGCCAGATGGCAATTGCTATTTTCCTCAGAGATTAATGGCAGACATACTGCTGCCTGACGTAGCGAGTACAGATTAGCTTTTATAAGCTTCCTTCATTGTTGACCGTTCTGAATACGGAGTTTGATGGACTCAGTTGTAGCAGCAGATAAGAGGTTCTGGTTTTGATGATAAGTCTTCCTTTCCTTGTCATGCTGTATGTCATAAAGGGCAGCAAAGACACCTTTCCCATATGTATGCTTTAATTCAGCAAGAATGTTAAACTACCCTGCAGTCAGACCAGATGGAAAAAGTGATTTTCCTGACTTTAGCATAGATTCCAGAAAAATAAGATCTCAGAAGGCCAGAGTGCAAGTGAGTAGTAGTCAATTATCCACGCTGCAGTTTTGTGCAGCCTACAGATTGTACGTGGCCTTGCATTTCCCATTTTTCTCTTGCTTGCAGAAGCAGGTTACTGGAAAATGGGGGGCCTTATGGATTATTTATACCCTTCTGTTGCCAAGTGAGCTTTTGCACACTGCAGAAGTTTGAGGGTGCTCTGCTGGGATGCATTTGAGATTACCAAGCTTGCAGCAGTTCAAGTACTGTGTTGCATGGCTTGTTGCTAAAACCAGAACAATGCGTTTTATTGCATGTGTTTGCTTCTTACATTAAATTTAGTAAGTTGTTAAGAATTGTTTGGGAATGTCTGTGGCTCGAATACTTATCTGAAGAGGAAAACTTACAGACATGTATTTGCATTGGTGGCATTTGAAATGTACAGGTGTAGGGAAGGGCAAGGAGCAAATAAGAAAATTTTTATGATAAAGCTTTTTCAGAGATCTAAAACAGACTTTTCTGATGGTGAAATAACCACTTAAACCAGACTTTGGATGTGGCTAAAATCTTTATGTGCTTTACAGTTCCCTTTGATTAAAAAGAAAACAGTAGTACTTTACCTACTGGTGGCATGCAGGTAAATGTAGCATTGTAAGGGAACAGTGTGGTTAGCAGTTGTGTAAAATTACAATTCTGGATTGAAGAAATGCTAGAAGTTGGGAATAAAAATAAAGGCTTGTAAGAGCATCAGAATTGCCTAGGATTAAAGGGTAAGTAAAGTAGCTGTGTTAACGTATATTCTGTGTAGGGAAAAGTACAAACCTACAAAAAGTAGTTGAGCTAGCAATTGAGATTGGATAAACTCATTCCTTTGGATAGAAGTCTCTGCTTAGAGATCTATCTTGTTTTCTTCCCAGCTGTTCAGCAGTAGCTTTTTCTGAAATAGGAATGTTTAAGAATTACCTCAGAATTAGACTTCGAAACTCAAAGCAGTATCTTCAAGGGTTTGCTGCTCCAAGTGAGCAGTAAACTTACAAAAGAAGTCTCAACTCACCAAAAACCTTTTTACCTAATGATGTGTTTTCTTAAAGAGGGAATTTAAATCTTCAGGTTGGTTCTGTATGGCAATGTTACCTCATCCCTTACTTTTTAGAACATGGTATTTCAGAAATGTAGGTTTCTATGTTGACAAATCATTACATGCTACTTGTAGGTCCTTTTCAAATACCACTGCTTTTCAGCAGAGCTAGTGAACTTAAAAAAGCTGGAAGTACACTGTTCAGAAGCTGATTCAAGCAAGGAAATTCAAATTGTTTCTCACAGGCTAATAGCAGATTCTTCTCGTCTGCATTCTTGGGGAAGGGGGATAAAAAAAAAAAGTACATAAACCTCTGATGGGTTGAAGTTCCAAAAGGGGATGTCTTTCCATGTATTCCTGTAGTATGCTTTTTTTGTTTGTTTTGTTTGTTTGTTTTTAATAAGACTTCTCTGCTAATATGTGATCAGACTTAATCTTGGCTAAAGTACTCTGACCCAGGCTACTATAAAGATGCACCCTTTGACATTTAACATAGCTTTTTATCTTCTTTATTACAAAGGTGGTGACGACTAAAAAAAGGCTCTTGGTTGAAATAACAGCAATAGCCTGAGCTGCGAGTACTATAGAAAAGAAAACCTTTGCTATTATGTGAGTAACAGTGACTGGGTTGGTTCTGATTTCTTTTAAGTGATCCTAGTCTTGGTGTTAGTGTAACTACACCTGCATCTCGTTGCACGTGTCCCTTGCAGTGCCACTGCTCGTTTACCTTTACCACTACTTCTGATAGGTGATTGTCATGCTCTCAGGCCACGCTGCAGACTGTGACTGAGATTACCTGTCTGGATAAGATAGCTTTGCTCACCTATTTTTGCAGGATATCATAGTATAATTTGAACGCTGTTATTAAAAAATATATAACGTTAAACAAAAACAAAAAAGGAGCATTTCAGGACTTAGGAGAATCAAACACTTTAAAGTTGGTTAGTTATTTGAGAGCTATAATGTGTGAACCTTGCTAGGTACAAGGCTGATGTTTTTACATATTATTGATCCACATTATCTTACTAATACTACCCATTCCATGCCCTTACAGATGTTTCCCCCCTTTCTAGTTTTGGGGGAAATGCTATATAATTTGTTCAGTCATCTCTTCTTTTTCTCAAAACTAAGTCACTGTTCAACTGTCTGTAGTTTTTCAATATCTTTAGTCCAAACAATTGGCACTAAACTGTGTTGTGTTAACCAGTGGTCAGAAAGAATGCCTTTGTACTGTAATTGCCTTCTTGCTTATTCTTCCAGGGCAAAACTGTTTCCAAACAACCTGATACATAGTAACGTGAACTTTTGACCTGGCCACCTATGTATTATTTATGAAATAGTCATAGAATTGCTATTTAATAATTTCTAGAGATTAGGAAGTTCATACAAGACAGGCTAAAATAATATAAGGTTTATTTGTGCTGTTTTCTTGACATGCCATTTTTCTTGAGACAGGACTCTCATGAACATTTGTTGACATCAGTGCAATGGACAGAGCTGAGGAAAAAATGACCTTCTTGTGAACTTTTACAAAGAATGCAAAAGAGCCAAGTGTGAGTTTCAATGGTAAGTTTAACTTTTTACTATCAGTAATGTCCTTTTTTACCTGTTCTTGCTCTACAAGTTTCCTGTTTGTTCTTCGGAATGTTTTGAAAATTGTTTTTGTTAATGAATTTTGAAAGGTTTTGTGAGAAACACCTTTCAACCTAAAATAATTAACACATTTTTGGTCCTTTTTAAAACCTCATTCTCTGAGTTTTCAGCATGCTAATTTACTCAGGATTCTAGGGCTCTTAATTTTCACAGTTCTCCAATTTGTAGCATTCACTTGAACTGCATGACTATCTGCTACAAATCACATCACAAGTCATCTTCAGTTTCACTTCTTTATTAGTAAAGTGTGAAATGCAATAGACAGTATCCACTTTTTGAGGGCTTTTTATGGCATGAAACTCTTTAATGAAAGTAATTCTTTTAACCACTTAATTGTCTAAAAAATGAATAAGATGTGAGGAAAGCTTTATCCGTTACTGATACATAGTGCCATTATCTTATATCAGAAGTCGTAGTTTGATCTTATTTATCAAGTTCAGTTTTTAATTAATAAAACCACTCAAGTTTCTTTCTATTTATTTCAGCTGTTGCCCATGAAAGCTCATAGGGAAGATGGCTGACGTAAGCCTGAAGGAAGTGGCACTAATTGTTGGTGTGGTGGCAGCCTGCTACTGGAACAGTCTCTTCTGCGGCTTTGTTTTTGATGATGTTTCAGCAATTTTGGACAACAAAGATTTACATCCTTCTACTCCATTAAAAAATCTGTTTCAGAATGACTTCTGGGGTACTCCAATGTCTGAGGTAAACTGTCTGTAGAACACTTGGAGGAATAAATTACAGTCAGCTTTTTTTTTCCCATACTGTGGTTTTAATAGAACACTTTGTTTCTGATGAAATTTGGTAATGTTAGTATTTTATACTGCCAGATCAGGAACAGATGTATTCTTTTGTTCAGTAAAAGAACTTGTAAGAAAATCATATATCACGCGTCAAGACTCTGTGTGTTATCTAGGTTCAATACAGAAATTGGAAAAATCTACTATTTTCCCTTCTCCTCCTGAAAAACTAGACATTGACATACAATAGTATTTATTTCTAATTTTAGTCTGGAAAGAAAGGTAATTCTCTTAAACAACAACTCTAAGAGTTGGAGGATAGGGATTGAATCCATTGAATTTATTTCAATAAGTATCTTTTATGTGAATTCAGAGCTTTTGTTTTATGTTGAGTCACTACATTTTTATCTGAAAAGCTGCAGTTGATTGAATGTCATACAACAGCAATGTGGCTACAAAATTTATATAAAGTCACACATGGTGCCATCGATGAACAAATTAAAAAAATGTCATAAGTTTTTTGCTTATCAAAGCATACCACCTTGTAATCTTCATTTTTTTTCATGTCTGTAATACACAGAGTTAGTTTGTTGTGGGATACTAATTGTTAGCTCTACAAATAAATAGACTTTGATATGGTTATATGAAAATTATGTGTAAGAGAAGTTTACAGATTCTTTCAGATGCCATCTCGTTCAGTATTCATCCAGAGTATATGGGTTCCTAAACTAATAAAATCATAGAACAGCTCGGGTTGGAAGGGACCTCAAAGATCATCTAGTTCCAACCCCCCTGCCATAAGCAGGGATGCCACCCACTAGAACAGGTCGCCCAAAGCCCCATCCAACCTGGCCTCAAAGACCTACAGGGATGGAGCATTCACAGCTTCACTGTACCAGTGCCTCACCACCCTCTAAGGGAAGAATTTCCTCCTAACATCTAATCTAAATCTCCCCTCTTATAGTTTAAAACCATTTCCCCCTTGGCCTGCTGTTATCTGCCTAAGCAAAAAGTTGCTCTCCGTTTTTCTTATAGATATTGAAAGGCTGCAATAAGGTCACCCCAGGGCCTTGTCTTCTCCAGGCTGAACAACCCCACCTCTCTCAGCCTTTCTTCATAGGAGAGGTGCTCCAGCTGTCTGATCGTCTTCATGGCCCTCCTCTGGACCTGCTCTAACAAGTTCTTATTTTTGTTGTGCTGGGGGCTCCAGACCTGGATGCAGCACTCCAAGTGGAGCCTCACAAGGGCAGGACAGAGGGGAACAATCATCTCCCTTGACCTGCTGGCCACTCCTCTGTTGATGCAGCCAAGGCTGCACTTGGCCTTCTGGGCTGCAAGCACGCACTGCTGGCTCACGCCAACCTTTTTGTCAATCAGAACCCCCAAGTATTAAGGTTTTAAAAAGGCTTATGAAGGGAGTAACCAGCAACATAGACACATTGACTGGTAGACATGTTGCAAATGTGTAGATAATAGTGCACAAAGTTTTTCTAAGAATATTAACCTAAAACATGAAATGTCAAATTGATCAAAACACTTGAATAATACATCAATACTACACATAAGTTGGAAAAAGTCAGAACTCACTTCTTTGTTGCAGCAACTTACTTGAAATTGAGTTTTCATTTAATGCATTAGGCTTTGTTAGTATTACTGATTTTCAAGTTTTTATTTTGAAGGTATATGTCTGAGAACAGTGGAGGGAAATCTTGAAGGCACAGATCTTTAGAAAGATATTTTGGAGTAAAAGTACCTTTATAATACAGTAGTGACTGATTTATTTATCTGTTTCCTTTTAGGAGAGGAGTCATAAATCTTACCGACCACTCACAGTTCTCACATTTCGTTTAAACTACCTGTTCAGCGAGTTAAATGCAGTTTCTTACCACTTCCTAAATCTCATCTTTCATGGGGTGGTTTGTGTAGTCTTCCTCAAGGTCTGTAAGCTTTTTCTGGACAACAGGAGTAGTGTTGTTGCATCCTTACTCTTTGCAGTGCACCCAATACATACTGAAGCGGTAGGTAAAGTTGTGCTAAACTTGTTCAAGTTTTGTTTGTTTGTTTTTTAACCTTAGATGTCATATTTTGTGTTTATCTTTCTATATTGGAACTCCAAATGTGTGTGATTTTTTTTCTTATGTGTACTGTTTACTTTGCCATTTGCAAGGAGTGGTGAAGGTGTCTGACTTTAATGCTGAATTGTTTGTTGTTCCGTACAGCTAATGAAAAGTAAGGAAATGTTCATTTAGTTGTTTGATAACTTTAATCTCTGTCACTGACATTTCACTTTTATGACGACTATCTTATCTTGCATGGATGCTCCATCCAGGGTTGCATAAGTACTATGAACATCTCTTAATTTATTTTCTTGAATTCAGTTTATTTCCTAAACACTTTCTTCTAGTTAATCACAGTCTGTTCTGTCCTCCTTTTTGTCATTTTATCTATCCCAGCAGGACTCTTTCTATGATTGTTATTGCTATACTACATTCAATTTAGCGACTTAGTGTCTTTGTTTGAACCTGTAATTGAAAGTATATGATATAAGAAAAAATAAATACCTATGCCTTTCAGCTTTCCATTGATTCGTAAGGGGTGTTTCACAGCTATGAAACACTCCCAGAGTTCTAATCACTGTTTCATGTTCTCTTAAGACAGAAATTCCTATCAGGAGCAATTTAGAAGCCTGAATTTATGTATTTTGAGCAAATCTTTACAGGTAGTAAGTTCATAAGGCTTATAATTGGCTGATGTCTGAGCTACTAATTTCTTTTATGTAAGAAGGTAGTATCATGTTTAAAATTGCAAGAGATTTGCAATTTTGCCTAAAAAATTGCCTAAGAATTTTTCCTTGCTTTTGTGCTCAAAAACAGAAAAAAAAAGTATTAGGGGAAGGATGAGTTTTATTTGTTAATTTCACTCATTTTTCTGTTTCTTTAAAAACATGTGCTTTAAGTTTCAAAGTTTGGCTTTGTTTGTAGCAAATGTGATAGCATCTTTGCAGGAATGCCTTACATTACTGGTTCGTGGCTTAGTGATAAATTTATAACTTCTTTCATTCTATGATCTATGAATTTCAGTATTCTTTATCTTGCTTAAACTGTCAGTTTCCATATAACATAGCAGTAACGCAGCTGCTTCTAGTACTGTGAAATAGTTATCAAGAATTTGTACAAATCCTGTGAAACATTGTTCAATGAAAGTTTATTATGTAAGGCATTGTATCAGAAAGTTATGAAGTACAGTTATGAAGCAAAAGCATTTGGTAGTGTATGCAATTCTTGATATCAGCCGCATGAGGGCACTTTAAGCCTACGCAATTACTAGAACTTGATTCTGTACTTAAAACTCTGAGGTTTAAATGCAGTTAGTTGTAACTGAATTCCCCTGCTGTTTTAATTAGATATGTAAAAATATGTTTCTTCCTTCTCCCCATATATTTCAAAGTAAGCCTTCTGATTTTGAGACATACTATCGTTTCAAGTGTTTGCATGGAGAATTCCATGTAACAAGCAACCAAGAAAGGTTTCTTATAGTTGAAAGTTGGCATGTTCATAAAGAAACAAGGTAGTAAAAAGCTATATTTTAGAAGCTTGGACTTGGGTGCCAACAAACTTATTCAGACTTTAATAAGAACTTCAGAACAGGTCTCATTCTTTGTTTTCGTAGCATTTGATGATACCACTTGTTTCTTTTGATATTTGAAATGTATCTGAATTGAATACCTTCAGTTTAGTGTCCTACTTATTATTACTCCCCTGTTTGAGATAGTTTGATACAATACATACAAATTTCAAACTTTTACCTGCCTGGTGATAAATGGATTTCTGCTGAAAAAACTAACAGAGCAGGATAAATAGAGGACAAATTTTCTGCTCAACTTCAGAGAGAAACTGGACTCCTGAGAGGGTAATATATCATTTTATGAGGGGAAAAAATTTGAAGAAACTGGTTGAATAACAGCATCATAGTCTCATTTGTCCTTGTCTCTGGAATTCCAGTTCAGTCATTCTAGTTCCACTCAGTCTATGCTAGTTTGCTACTGTTCTGTCCAGAGGCATGCTGACCACATAGACAGCTCATGGGATGTCAACTAACCTTGTAAATCATGGAATTTTCTTTTTTTTTTTTAAGTCATCTTTGTATCCAGAAATTGCCTCTCTTTTGTGGACTGTGGAAGCATACCAGCACATTTGCTTTATCTGCGATCTAAGTTCTCCTTTAATGTAATGTAATCTGCTTTAATGCAGGATAATTTTGTGATACAGATACATTTTGTGATACAGGAATATTTGAATCCTCTGAGAAATCTTAAGATGTTTTTGAAATAAACGCCTCTGTACTACCCAAAATGCTAACACAGTCACTGATGCCATATCAGTTGTGGAATATGATTTGTATCTGCGCCTCTTTCAGTGAGTCCTTTGTTAAATGTAAGTTAATCTCAACAGAGGCACCAGAGAATGATTTAAAAATCAGAATTAAATAGTTTTTTTAACACTGTGACCTTGGATATTTAGTTACTTTCCCTTTATGCTGTGCTTGATCAATCATGCTTGTCTAAGAATGTACCTAGCACTAAAAATTTTAAGCACAGTGTGGATGGTTGAGAGTCAGACGTCAGCATCAGCACAATTACATGGTGAGCTGTAAGGTTTTCTTAGCCAAATAGCCAAATATGGTTGTCTGCCTTGGTTTAGTATGCCGCTTTCAACCAGTTTACTCAAAAAAAAAAAAAAAAAAAAAAGAAGAAAAAACTGGATGCAATTAGAGACGTTACAGAAGAGGGCAAATTAGGAGGAAAGACAGTCCTAAATGGTGCTATGGTCAGGTAGGAACAGTGACTACTGCAGTAGGTATTAACACGGTGACCTGTCTTTCATCCATGGCTGTTGGTTGCAGCATAGATTTAAAAGGAAGCAGGGGAGAATGAGGAAAACATGCAAGTTCTACAATGGAAGCACAGAAATTAATCTGTGTTTTCACTGAAAAAACCTTCTGCATTTAGGTTTGAACAAAAATAACCGCTATAGTTTCTGTATGCCACTGTCTTCAGGATCTATATGTAAGACAGACATTGTCACATTCACTTACAGCTTTTATTGAAGAAAACTAGTTTCTTTGAAGTATTATTAAGAAAGTTATTTTTCTGCCCAATTCTTAAGTACTAATTGCAGCTGTTACTGGAGATAAGACAGTACAGCTTTTCTGAGTTGTCTCATTAATGGTGGTGCTATGGATATCATAGTCTTGTTTTCAGCACTGATTGAACTGAAAGCAGTCTTACTCATTAGACTTTTTTGCTAGTTTACAGACTGTTTATGCATATCCTGTTAGTATATTGGTCATGCGCTCGTTTTGTGTTAGAATAATCACTAAAGGAATAATATTGTGTGTTTTTTTCTTTTTCTTTTAGGTAACCGGAGTTGTGGGCAGAGCAGAGCTTCTATCATCCATCTTTTTTCTAGCTGCCTTTTTATCATATACTAAATCTAAAGGGCCAGATAATACCATAGGTAAATGACTGACAAATATACGTAACTTAATTTCTGTATCAGGGATAATAGAGCTCTAAAATGGTAATGTGGATACACATTATTCAACAAGTGTGTACAAAAAAAAAATCCAGCCCCAAGATAGCCCCTATAGTTGCACTTCTCAATCATAAATTGCCTTTTATTTTCTTTAATGCTTAAGCAGGTTTTCAGTTTTGTTAAACCTAGAGTTTGCTAATGACAAGGGGATTCTTGCAGTAACTTTCATTGATGCAAGTAAGTGGAAACATGCTGAGATACCTCAGTAAGCTGCAGAATCTCAGTACAGATGTAGGAAGTGGCCTCTTTTTCAAAGGCAGTTTGACTTTTGACTGCCTTTAAAAGATACATTTGAAAAGGTATTCTGGTGAGTTAGGAAAGATTGGGTTTTGCTTTCCTAAGAGGAGGAGGCAGTTTTAAAACTCCTAACTTGTGAATTAATGTCTGTAGGGTAAGACTGAGAATTTGTAATAACAAATGGCACATTAAGTAGGCTTATAGGGTGTGTCCAAATGGCACATTTTTAGATCGTGTTCAGACATAGAGTCAATTTTCACCTCTTAGGTAAAATTCCTTTATTAAGCTTTTGTGTTGTAAGATGAAACATTTTCAATAGTGTCTTCTTGATTTGCAGTGTGGACTCCAATTGCAGTGACTGTGTTTCTAGTAGCTGTTGCAACATTGTGTAAAGAGCAAGGAATAACGGTGGTGGGGATATGCTGTGTGTATGAAGTATTTATTGCGCAAGGGGTAAGATGTCATTGAAATTTAAAATTGATTTCTTCTTGAAATTCTCTAAAGAGCTATCAAATACTTGGAAGCATGATATTTCAACACTGACTTCATCAATTCAGGCTAATTCTATAGTTCTGTTAATGTTTTGAGGTGTTCTTTTGACTCAGTTGCTGTTTAAAATACATGGATCGTGGGGAGGGAAGCAAATGTCTTCTAAGTTGTCTTTTACACACCGTGCAGAGATACTGTCAAATCTACTTGATGAAGAGTCAACATCTCTTAACGAAAACCAAAGGTTTTAGTTGGTTTAGGTTTGCAAAGACTAGCATGTAACAGTCTTGACTGAAGTCTGAGGTGCAGAAAGAGGGGGTGTTGGTTGTTTTTAAATCCTTCAGGAAAAATAGAGAACATACAATCTACAATCACATTTCATTATTTGCTTACGAATAACCAGATGTTCTGGAGTAGCCATCTTTAAGTAATACTTTGATGAAACTTATTTCTCTAAGAATACTTTTAATTTCTAATCTGATAGGGTTCATCTCGAGCATTCAGAAGTTCCTATTAGCTTTTGTTTGACAATTTTCCTGCAGTGAAATAATTTTTATCTTTTTAATAGTCAAACCATATGCAATTTAAAGAGGTATAGTTGCATGTACTAAGATCATCTTTCTAATTTACCACTCCTTATTTATTTGAGGGAATATTTTCTAAAAGCTACAACAGTAAAAGCTGAAGTATATGCCAAGGCAGACTTAAAGGCTAAAAAGTCAAAATCACATTTCTGTGCTTGAAGGAATATGTTTGTAATTATTGGTCATATATGCCTAGTCAATAAATGTAATTTTCAAACTAGATTTCTAAGGAAGAACTTCAAACCACTACTTCTCTTCCAGTAACTTTTAATATGATCCTCAATTAAGTCTTTAAAAGTTCATGTAAGTCAGTTGAGTTGAAAAGAAAAAATCCAGATTTGGACTTGAACTGAGTTTGACTGTTTTTCAAAACCCTATCAATCCCTGTATTTTAGTCAGACAGTATATGTGAAGCAGTAAGTCATCTGTAACACAAGACATGAAGACATAAGAAAAGAAGTCAGCACACAGGAAAGAAATTAGGGTATATAACGTGCAAGATCATAATGTTCATGCGGCAAGGACAGATGGGTTACTGCAGTAGAGACATAAAATAGAAACCCTGGGCTAATAAAGAAATAAATTGTATTTCTACTGTACCTTGATATTTTGTTCATGAGATAGGTTTTCAAAGCGACTGATAATTCTAAAAAAATAAAAAATAAATTATTTAAACTCTGTCTGAAGATGGTACATGTTTATTCATCTGTCTGAAAATTTGGCACTACACTATGATAGCGTTAGCAATAATACTTGGATAGAATTATTTTTATTAGAATGGTGAACTTTAGGGACAGGCATATGAAACCTAATTAAGAAACTATTTGGAGCATGCATTTACAGAAAAACAAGATTAAAAAAAAAAAAACTTACTATTTACCTCAGTTAATGAATACACTTGTTAAAAACACCTTTTCCTTTGCAGTATACCTTGCCAGTGCTGTTGGACACAGCTGTGCAGATTCTTCAAGGGAAGGGCAGTATACCTTTTTCCATGCTCCAAACGCTGTTGAAGCTCATAGTACTAATGTTCAGTACACTGCTTCTTGTTGTTGTCAGAGTCCAGGTTATACAGTCTCAACTTCCAGTGTTTACAAGGTAATAGGAAAATGTCTCTTATTTACAGATACTGATACATAAGATATGGCTTAACAATGTCTGAATAAAATGGCCAAAGATGCATTACCTGAAGAGTCTAAGTTATTTCCCTATTATAGAATTGCTCTCCCTATTGTAGAATTGCTGTACAATTCTACAATTTTTGTCAAATTGTTAACTGGTATATTTGAGTACGTGTTGACACAAATATCCAATGTACTAAGGTATCTGAGTATGCATTAATTAAAAAAAAAAAAAAAACAAAACACTTTTGGTTGTTAATTGACTCTAATAATCCAAAATTAAGTTTTACTACGGAAGTATTTTTTTATTGGCTGTATGTTTGAACCTTGGCTGAGTACTTCAGAACATTAACAAGTTTTTCCTTGTCTACATATGAATAATTTCTTTGGTTTTAGACATGCATTATGCAGAAAGCATGCTTAACTTCAGATACGGTGCCTGAGGATAAATGTACATGAATACTGGTAGAACTGAAAAACTGCAATTTAACGTTCTAAAAAGTAAAGTAATATAAAAATACAACAATCAAATGTTTTTCCCTGAAAGATCAGGCAAATTTTTAAAAACGTAACAAGGACCATTGAACCCAACATCAGGAAAAGTAGTGTAAATCACTGTTGAAACATGCTGATTATATCCCAAACAAGTTTTTTAAAGAATCTTGGAGGAGATTCTGTCCTGTGCTAAAATGCATCATTATGTGTGGTTCCCAAATTGTGCGGTTCCTGACAAATGCAGGAAGATTAGGATATTGTACATGGCTGTAATTGGTAGTTCTAGCTATGAATCTAAAGACTACTTGCATCTGGTCATACAGTCAATGAAGACCATAACTTGTTTTCATTAAAAGCTCCTTTTTCTCCTTTATTTTGCTTTAGGTTTGATAACCCAGCTGCTGTAAGTCCATCTCCAGCAAGGCAGCTGACTTTCAACTACCTCCTCCCTGTAAATGCTTGGCTTCTTCTCAACCCCTCAGAGTTATGCTGTGACTGGACAATGGGAACTATTCCACTCGTGGAGTCTTTGTTAGATGTTAGAAATGTTGCCACCCTTATATTCTTTTGCTTTCTGGGATCTTTGGTTGTCTTCAGTCTCCGATATCCTGGGGATTCCTCCAAGACTGTACTGATGGTATGAATGATGCATGCTTCATATTCATTTTTGTTCCGCTCTCCCCAAGAATATAACTGTCGCAGGATGTTTGATCACATGCCTAGTCTGTGGTAACCCAGTCATGCATCGTCTCTTGGGCTAAAATTAATACGTAAGAAAAGAGAAAAATCATTGTAGCCATAAACCTGTTAAACTGCAGTTAAGTATGTTTACTCTGTCAGGGATGAGATGTAGATAAAGAGATGAGATGAGAATAAGTATGGCTATTGTTATTTATTTTCCAACTGCATTGTAGCCAATCTCAAGTTTTCAGAACTTGGACAGCAAATTGTGATTTTCAGTAGAACTTAAATTTGAGGATAAGAATGCATTTCCATCCTTCAAACTCTACTTAAACATCAGTAATTATTTTACACGTTTAGCAAGGAAATTGATTTTTTTCTGATATAAAAGGACATATTTTGGCATTTAGGTATATAAGTTTTCCCCCCTTTTTCCCCTTTTATAATGAAGGCACTTGTCTGTAGTCTCTTCTATATACTAAGGCAAAACTACGTTTTGTCAGCTATGAAATCACTTCCTGATTTTTACTAGTATACAACCTTAAAATTGAAATAGGTATTTTGGAGGAAATGGAAATGTTTTTCATCCAAAAAGACCTTTTTGATTGTGGCTATTGAAAAAAAAGTCACAAGGTGAATGATTAACTGATACTATGTTTCTCATTAAGTCAGTGGTTCAGTTATGCCTGCAACAAATCTACAAGTATAAATCTGAGCTTGCCTCAGAAATACCGTGCTTTTTTTTAAATATATAACTCTAGCCAACGGAAGTTTCAGATGGGTGGGAATATTTATGCACAATTTAAAGCTATGAATTTCTTTGCTAATCAGCAGACCAACTTGGATACGTTTCAAAGAGACCTAATATTACAGTTCCGACTAATACATTTTATTTTTTTTGTCTTGTCATGGAGTAAGGCAGATTGTTTCACTAGAAAATTCATGAAAATAAATGATCTGTATTATATCTGGTGAAGCTTCTAGTCCTTAATTTGGAAACAGCATATGAACAAAAGAAACTTAGCTTATTTGTATAATAAATGCGCAAGATGACATACCCAGAAAAGCAGTTTAATGCTATTGGAGAATATGTATTTCAAAACTAAACGTTGTGTTTAAAAAAATAGTTCAATAGTACTTAAATATAAATAAGTAGTTTAATCTTCCTTTTGGTAGAAGCTGAAACATTTTTTATCCAGCGTACTGAAAGTAGTGGAAATGTGTATGGGGAGCAGTACACCCTTTTTCGTGACTGCTCTTGAACTTTATTTCCCAACCCTTCCCTTTACTTCCTAACTCGTAAAGTTCAGAAGAGAAAAGGGTTAACGTTTTCAACATTAGTTTTTGTTCAAGGGCATTTTTTTCTTATTATTCCAAGTGGTTTTTATAGCAAGGGTCTTTTGAGTTCATTCAGCTGAGCCTGTGATCTACAGTGTAGCTTAAACACAGTGTAATCACTGTTGAACGAAAGTTATTTTTGTTTCATACCTTTATTGTGTATATAACCTTCTGTAGGATGCGGATTTTTGCAGACGTATCTAAATGCCTGAAAGCTAATCTCTTAGATGAGAATGCAATATAAAATATTGAAAATGAATTGTTATAACTTGCAACAGCACTGTAGGCCAAAAGCCGTTTCTGCCTACCAGTAAACCATTAATGTCTTGATGTAGACAGGATATTGTGTCATGGGAGAGAGAGGGAGAGAACAGTTTCTTCACTGGGGCTTCTTAGTTTCTCTTATTAGAGAGATCATAGTATAATCTTTAAAATGAAGAAATTGAATCTTCGTTTAGTGAAACCCACTTACACAGTTTATGGCAATTTTCCAGATAACTATGTTGAAGTACTGTTTTTTTAACTTTTTTTTTTTTTTTCCACACTTGGTTCTCAGTTCTTCCAATAAAAGCCTGAATTAGTGCTAGTCAAAATAAATTAGTTCTCTGCCAGGTACAAATTTTAGTTGTCTGCATGGATGCCACCTAGTATGCCTAGATGCCTAGTAAACCTAGATGCCACCTGTGTTTTCAGCACAGCATTATTGAAAGCATGACTGTTCACACTGGTTTTGAACTCTTAATGAGCATCACTCTGAAGGAGTCCTAAAGGGCTTTGTAAAGAGCTTCTGCCTTTAGAAATCTCTAGCATGTTTTGGCTCTTGCATTAGCCCCATGAAACCCTCAGGTCTCATGCTGAAGACAGTGGACATTCCACGGTTCTCCACAAGACATCCCACAGGGTGAACTCATTAATGAGAGAGGGAAAAGTTGAAGGACCCATTTTCAGCCAGCATCTGTTTGATACAAATCATCTCCACAAAGTATAACTCAGGTAAGTGGGTACATTGTGTTCTACTTTGACATATTTTGTTTTGCTGTAGGTTCATAAATTGCCTTTTTGAAATAACAGAATTGGGAGAGGATAAAACAGATTAATTGCTTCTTCAAAGTAGCCAATTTATTTTACCAACTGACAATATTAAACTAACAGAAAATGGGATTGTGTATTATAAATCAGAATGCATGCTTTGGCAGGTTGATGTCGTTATGCTGCTTGAAATAATCAATTATTTTGACGTTAATAAAGGATGTGCCCTAGAAACAATGTATGAAGAATTAAATTCTCTTGTATTTTGTGTTTACTTTATCATTTTGAGCAGTCAGAAAACTTGACTATCAGGCTAAGTGACCTTTTTAAATAATTTACAATATAAATATTGAAAATGTTTAGTACAATGAATAGTACAGATTTAGAATTACTTTGGCTTTTCCCTAAGTTTCCAAATCAGTCTGTGATCATGGCTTTTGTTTTCTAAATTAAATTTTTTGGGTTAGACAGTTCTTTGTTGGCTGGCAAAATTTTAATACAAACTTTTTATCTCTGTTGATACTTGCTTAAGTGTCCCAAACGAGTGCTTTACCATCCTTTCTCAGCCCTCGTTTATGATGAGACAGCACTCCATGCTACTCAGCCACTAACCTTGGTGTTTTTTTACTGTGCAAATGTCAGGAGCAGACAGGTATCCTTAAGCTTCTTAGAGAAAGTTTTTGCATTTTTGCATTTTTAAGTGACCAGTGTTAAAGTGATTTTTAAGTACCCAGACATCAGTACTTCTGAACTTTTCACTGTTTATTTCCAAACGTCCCGTACTTGCATCTCAGGTTTTCAAGTGTTTCCTTGTGAACTTTTTGAATGGTCATCTAGCAGTTCACTTACTCTTTATATTTTATGGTCATATTTTAGAGTTCTGTCACATGCTTTTTCCTTCCTGCATACTGTGAATGTTTCTGTCTCTTTTATGTTTTTCAGTTGCCTTGATGGGGCTATTTTTCAACTGAGCTTTGCACCTGTTGAAAGTTCATGATAAAGAGAGCAAATGAACAGAAGAGAACAAATTTTTTATCTGCACTGGCGCTTTGAGTCTGTCACTTGAGAAATTATATTTGAAGGACAATAGACAGGAGAGGCAAAGAGACCGAAAGAAGTTGAGCAAAATCTTGTGTGACATTTTGCCATCAGAAGAAGTGCAGAGAGCTAAATAAACCATGCCAAAAACCTTGGATTCATTGACAGTCCTTTTTATTAGGTGTCATTTAAGCATATGTACAAACCTTACGCATTTGAAAGTTTACTTTAGTGTGAATAACTTTTAAGTAAAAGATCTGCAAAACAGCACTTTTTTTGGTAAAGCACACTTGGAACTTGCTTTGTAGATTCACTTTTGTAGTATTGCTTGTGTTTAGCTACTGGAAACAGTGAAATACAGAATGACAGTAACCCTCACTTCCCCCCCAAAAAATATGAAGACGTTTCCTGTAACTGGGTGAAAGAGTGGTACAGAAGACTGGCTTGGGGATAGCATGATGAATTCCTGCATTTCAGAATGAATTACAAAAATCTATATTAAAGTTTCATGGTGGAATTTTTACTTCTTGATGAGATAGGTTGGGAGGTGCTCTGTAAGGAGCATATACTATAAAAATGTAAAGGATAAAGGTAGAGGAATGTGAAATGACATTAAATACAATTTTCTCCTCAAGTAATCAACATATTCTCTACGTATTATGCTTGTAATTTCTTTAAGACTCAGTTATTTATTTTTCCTGTAGCTTAATGAATTGCTGTGGACCACTTGAGCCATGTTAATGATCCATACACCAAGTGCATACTCTTGGCTCCATGAAAAACGAGATAACCTTTAATCAGTTTGGCATTTTTATATGTGAAGTCCTAGATTCTTTCATACTGGATGTGTTGACTGTTTTAACATATGAAAGACAGTTCTCCTTACCTAGACAGAAGACGACAACCTGTTGTATATCAAATTTCTAAAAATAAAATAAAAAAAAAAAAAAAAAAAATCCTTTTTACTATATTCAAATAAATATTATATTTTTGTAGGGGGGTTGTTTTGTTTTTATTTTGTAACTTGGAGACCATATATTTAGAATTAATTATTTAATATTACTTAATTATTTAATAATTAAAATAGTTTATTTGTAATTATTAGTCATGTCCAATTCCTTTGTAGCAGATGAGTTTCTCTGTCCTTTAATGTCTCCCCCAGGCATGCACCTTTTTGTTAAGATCTCTGTCAGAAACCTAAGAGCTCCAATTAAGGCAGTTGATAAGTTCATTGTCATTTTTGGTATTTTGGGGTGCCTGTAGTATAGTATCTAAACATGGATGTTAATTCAGTGGTTGCTTCTGATTTTTGTTACTCAGATTTGTAATGGAGATTAAAAATAGAATCAATTGTAAAATGAATTTGTTTACATCATATAATTGTTAATTATTATGAAAGACAGTCTCCAAGGTTTTAGGTCTGTCATGTTTTTGTATGTGGAGCTCTTATTAAAACACTGGTTTGAATTTGACCTTTGATCCTAGCATTCTGTCATACAGGTGCTCTTTTCTGTAGTACAGAAAACCAGTTACACTAGGCTGCATAAGAAAGTGTCATTTGTAGGGTTTAACTTGCCATGCTCAGAGTGGTCTCAATGTAAAACAGATCTTAATACATAAAAGACAAAAAAAAGACATAGATCTACCATGTATGTCAGACTTTGTTTTTTGCTTTTGTAATTGCTTCATAATTTGTTGAGTACAGTCTGTCACTGCCTAATCTTGCTTACTAAATAATTTGCGTTTCTTTTCTAGGCACTCTGCTTAATAGTGCTACCCTTCATTCCTGCATCAAACCTCTTTTTTCCTGTTGGATTTGTAGTAGCAGAACGTGTGTTATATGTTCCTAGCATGGGATTCTGCATTTTAGTGGCACATGGATGGAAGAAATTATCAAATAAAAGGTACAGTAAGATTATCTGTAACTCATTTCTCCTAATTTAATAGAAGACAAGGATATTTGTAACTGCGGGCTTTCCCTAATAGAGCTTTAACCAGTGTGAATGTATGACGTTGCAGGTCCTGTTCTGCATCAAGTTCTTACTGAATGCAGAGAGGTGACCAATAGTAACTGTTTGGCAGTTCCATGGTGTGAGCAAATGACAGCAAGGAACTTAGGAGGCCAGTGGATATTTTTTAATTTATAAACAGACATGCACCATCAGCAGCATTGCTTTGAAAACGTAGTAGTACAATGGCTGCTCTTCCTGTAGAGGAATTTAGTACTGGTTTAGGGGATAGACATTTACTAAGCAGTTTATTAGGAAAAAACATTTTCGTGTCAGCAAATACTTTGAATTAGATTTACCCATATGTATGTTGGGTGCAGTCAGAAGGTCAGCACTGTGAGTTAGTCATCTGATTAAGTACTCTTAATTATTTAAAAATTAATTGTGATTTAGCTTCATGCTACAAACAAGGTAGACTAGAAGTTACTTTTAGCTGTGCTGTGTGAAGTGAGTTCCATAGTATTGTAACAGATAACTTCAATCTTTTCAGTCTGTGCCACAGTCTTTTGAAGCGTCAGTGATGTGAGGTGAAAGGATAATATATTTAATTTATACAAGCTAGTATTTTAGGTTAAAATATTTTGCAGAAGATCAATGATTTCTTTGAAATTTTTGTGACATCATTAATCAAATTTTATCATGAGTTCGTGGCCCTTAAGATTTTTTAGTTGATAGCAGTTTGCCATCTTAGGTCAAACCATTTTACCAAATAGAAATATTTTTTGTAATTATTTTGGAGCAATCCATTTTAAAAATTTGGTTGAGCTTGTATTTGGAGAGAGAACCAAATTGTAAGACAATGGTAAACATTACAGAACCTTTGTTTCACAAATTACATATTTTTACATTTTGACTTTTATTACAGAAACTGAATGAATAGGAGTACAGGAGGAGTTTTAAATCTGATGGAGAGGGGAGATACCTTAGTGCTTTGATCCTTTGCCTCTTAAGAAAAATAGTCCTTAAGACACTAAATACTGAGATTCTTCCCCTACATCTCCAATTGTTGTTGTTAGTCTGAGGGTATTCAGAGATTCATTTAAAAATGCAAACACCGCAAAACATATTTTTCAATACCTTTGACACCAAACACTTCAGAATGCAAGGTAGTTATTGTTACACATCACTACAAAATGGACTGCCTAGTCTCTTTTATGTAAATAAACATGGTATTTTCTGTTTTAAATCATTTTTAAGTATTTGGCAAAAAAAAATCTTGTCTAGATATGATTTGAACTTCATTCAAAGGTGACTGACTAAGGTTTTTGTAATGCATGTATATCAGTCTGCAGCATGTGAAAACATCTTTATTACTGATAAAATTTTCAGAGTTTAAGTGCTAAGAATGTACATCAGAACTGTTCAGTATTTGTTTAAGTAAAGAATGATGTAGATAAGAATTTCTCCTTTGAAATTTCTGCTCTAAATGCATATTTTGCATGGACCTTAGGTTTTCTAGGGTCTTGTACATTGTAAATGCTTCCCCCTGAGCTGGATGCTCTACCCTTTTTACCCTAGTGCCATCCTTCTGCTCATCTGGACAAACTGAAAAGCAGCCGATCCCAGTCTGTGTTGTCTGCTGTCGTTAGAAGTGAGGCCTTGCAGAATAACTTGTGCTAACTGGTGCTGCCAAAGCTGACAGCACTGGAAAAGGAGAAATCAGTGATACCCCGTGGGAGTGAGGAGAAAGTATTATCACAAATCCCACTACGAAGTGGCAAAAATAGAAGTGTGACAGAAAGCAAGGATCTAGGAGAGGACAGATAGGGAGGAAAATTAGGCAGCAGTGTGGCTTACTACAAAAATATTGCAAGTCAGTGCTCTAAAAAGTCTCACAATGTGGAATAGGCTCCTTGCTTGCTTTAGTAAAATTGAAAGGGGTGGGGGGCTTTTTCATGAGCCTGGTGGGAATATGGATTATTACATGTCTCAGTTCTCACCAGCTGCTTTGTGGTGTTGGAATTCCTCTCAGTTCTGCTGCTCTACTTTTTAATTTATTTTAAAGCAAAACACAAGAACCACCAACAACAAAAACAAGCACAGTCCTGCATGTGCAGCATTTTGTATATGAGGGGAAAAGCTTCTGTTTTTTCTGTTAAACCCCTCTAGAGTACACAGGGTGTGAACAGCTAAACCAAGAAATAGCTGGCAAAGGTGGATAGCTATGTCTGCTTCAGAATGATATTTTTAAAGCTTTTTAACAAAGTCATGTTCATAATTGCAGGAAGACTACTAGGTCTTTAGTGTGTTTTTTCACATATAGATCTGAATTCAGAGACCAAATGGTCAGTCTGTTAAAGTTTGTTTTATATCTGGTGTAGTTAATCCAAGCAATGTTCAAACTCCAGAAAATAAACTGCAAAAAATCTAGAAGGTTGTTGCTGACAAGCTGGCCATAGAGCATGATCTGTGCTCCTGATTTGTAGCTTTTAAAATAAAATATAAGCTAAATAAAATATAAAATATATAAAATATAAGGCACTGAACCTTTCTCCTACTAAGGTACTACTATTGCATCGTGTTTACTTAGGAGCATTGGGTGATCTCCACAGCAGACCTCTCTGATAAGAGGTATGCTACAGTGTGGGAAAGGTTGGTTATGGGTTCAGTAAAGAAAGTGTGCAGAATCACCTGATACTAAATAAAGGGATAGGATGACATGTTAGTTTTTCTTGTTTCATTTTTGTAAGCTATTACATTTTATACAGTGTTTTGAAGAACCTCACTGTTGGACGTAGTGATCATGTTCTTTGCCTAAGATTACAGATAAGGTCTGAAAAGCAAAAGTACAGTTTTCCTACATTTTTTTTCACGTTATATTATGTGGATTGCATTTGTTTTTATTAAGCAGATTGCAGAGTGATAAAAAAAAAATAGCAGGTAAATAACTTGAAGTCAGACATTAGATTCCTTTTAAATTTTGTACTGCTACAATTAATGTTCAGGCAAATTAGAATATACCATTCACAAATATGTTTTGCAGTTTTTTTACCTCCTAGGATAGGAGATATTTTATTTAGTATAAATAAGAATTGTTTGTGTGCTTTTAACAAATCTTTATTTTTTATTTATTTATTTTTTTTAATTTAATAGTGTACTAAGAAAAATCTCTTGGGTTTGTTTGGCTGTGGTACTATTCACGCACGCCTTAAAAACACTGCACAGAAACTGGGACTGGGAATCAGAATACACATTGTTTATGTCAGCTTTAAAGGTACTGTATCTTATTTGAAGGGGATAATGGAAAATTGTGTTGCTGTTCTAAAATAAGTTGACTGCATTAGAGCATGATAAGAGTGAAGAGAAATTACGCTTGTTTTGCCACTTTTGTTTCTATGTTGACAGTATCTAATTAGTAGCTTTTGGGAATGCTTTAAAAGCAGTGTGATGCACACATGGGAATTCATGCACAAGAAACAAGAATTTTTTCTTAATGTGTTAAAACAGTTGAGTGTATTCTCTTAACTGGAGGTAAACACAATATGTTTGAATGCAAAATCTACAAAAGGTTTGCATAAAATAGTTTCTTTAAATGTACATATGGCGTGATATAATAGTTTGAACAACCATCTATTCATTTTCCAATAATTACATCTTAAAATCCCTGGAATTTTTAGGTACTAATGACTAAAATAAATGGATGTTGAGCAGGAAGTTCTATGTAATTGTTCTGTATGTGCTGGTTTATTGTTCTTTATACATAGCAGCTTGGTATTTCATATGTTTTGTGTTTTTCCAACTTCAAGATTTAGTTGAAAGAAAATCAAATGCAGCTGAATATGTTATATATTGGTATCTTTTTGTTGTTGTTTTTAGGTGAATAAGAACAACGCAAAACTATGGAACAATGTGGGGCATGCCTTAGAAAATGAAAAGAATTTTGAAAGAGCTTTGCAATTCTTCATACAAGCCACCCAAGTGCAACCAGGTAAAACCTTTGACTAGCTGCCACTGAATGGTTTTTCCCTGCTCCTAATATGTCAGGTTGCTTAGCTTACTTAACAAAAATTACCTGTTTTTTGCCAACTGAACAGCAAACAAGGCCAGTTAAGGGATACATAGTTTTTCAGTGTGATATTGATGAGTTAGTATTACAAGTTAATAAGCTCCTCACCCAAAAAGTCCTCAGTAGAAATTTAGAAAATGTATAGAAATTATATATATATCTATATGCATCTATAGAAAGATGAATATACTTTTCATTTAAAGCCATTATTTCAGTTCATTCAAAAATAACATCATCCAACCTCTAATTCCTTTTGAAGCATAATTATTATTTAATTTTCTCGTTTAATACTACGGAAGAGTATGAAAAAGATATATAGGATGTATCCAAGAGCACATTTATTCTCTTTTTGTTGTTTTTGTTCTCTTTCTCTTACTCTTGCAAAAGAGTTTCTTGGTAGTACTGGACAACCTTTCCTTTTCCTTTTTAGAAAGCTAATAAACAACTTTCAATTCATGTGCCTCTACTATAGCAAGAGCTTAAAGACATATACATGGAAAATTTACCTATAATTTTTGACCTTATCCCAAGTAACTTTATAACGCATCTTTTGGTTTACGATTAAATTATTAGCTTCATAATTCAGGTGAAAAATAATTTAAATTGTTTTGTGTTTTTTTTTTGCTAGTCTTTATGCAGTACCTGTATTTAATGCTGCTCTCAAGCGTAGATATTTTTTGTGATACTCAGTGCATGAAGTATTTGAAGTTTCACTCTTTTCTTTGTTAAGATGATATTGGTGCCCACATGAATGTAGGAAGAACTTACAAAAACTTAAACAAAACTAAAGAAGCCGAAGAATCATATATGATTGCTAAATCATTGATGCCACAGGTAATTAGAAACTACCACCATAGGAGGAAACATTTTCAGACCTTACATTCTTGATACAACTTTCTTATTTTTTTGTTGAAGCTGCATGTTGCTATATGCTCCCCCTACCCCCAAACTATCTATTAAAAGAAAAGGTGATATACAATCATAGCACTTTAAAAAATGCTAACTTGGAGGACCTTCTTTGTTAAAAAATATTTTAAGTTACTTTTTATATTGTTTTAGATTTTTTTATGGCTCAAATTGAGGATACAAAATAAGCAAGTTGCAAATGTGCACTTACAGCTTCTAATCACAGTGGGTATACTTTAATGCTCAGCTAATCGATAATGATTAGTTTCTGAGCCCACAGGAGAAGTCTGAAATGCAGTGTTGGAGGTTGGAGAAGGCAGTTGGCAGCTGCAACAAAAAAAAATCTTTGAAAATACTTCTAAAAAACTGTCCTCTGTTACCTTTACCATTTGTAAAATTATATTTATACCTAGTAAGTATTACTTCAGCTGTTTAAAAGAAGAGGAATATTTTTGGGGCAAGGTAACAAATGTTAAGGGCAAAATGAGACTGACAAGAAAAATCAGTAGTCCTTTGAGTATAACATTAAAAAGCTTGCACCATGAAACAGCATGAAGATCCTAGTAGACAGTATGTTGGTTTTAATGCCATATATTTTCATCTTTCATGTAAATTTTTCATCTGCTGTGTAAGTGGATGGTAAAATTGTACTTATGCTGAGCTGAAGGGTTTAAAAAAAAAGGATTGATAGAATGTCATTTTAGGCTTTAAGAAATACTCTTTGTATGAATGGGGAAAGTTTTACAAGATCTGGATGGTTGTTAATGGCTATTTGCATGAGCCAAGTTAAGTACTAACAGAGCTTAGTTGGTAACTTTTGTACCCCATTTAAGGTGATGTTCCACGTGTTCATAGAACAAAGAAGACAAAATATTATGTTATGTTTTTTTTCTTGGAGAAAGAGTTGCTGTTTATAATTGTTAAGTGACTTTAGACTGTCCAGTAGTACCCTAAAACAAATGCAGCAGGCTGAAGAGTAGTTCTGTACTGATTGTCTTTCATATTTTTACTCTTTTTTTTTTTTTTTTTGGTACATATATTCTTTCTGGTAGATTATTCCAGGTAAAAAGTATGCAGCAAGAGTTGCTCCTAACCACCTGAATGTTTATATTAATCTTGCAAACTTAATTCGAGCAAATGAATCTCGCCTTGAAGAAGCAGATCAATTATATCGACAAGCAATTAGTATGAGGCCAGATTTCAAGCAGGCTTACATCAGCAGGTATTTTCTAATTTTCAAGATACATATTCTTGAATGTACATTTGGGTATTTGCAGTGCTGTGAACACTGTTTAGTTCATACAATTACATTAGCTTCTGGAATTGATTTATTTTCAAATAAGATGATGAAAATTTGGGGCAATAATAAATTATTCATGACAAGTCTTGTTTTTATACATTCCTACTTCAAACAGTGTTTCCACATATGCTGTGTATTTGAACATTGTATAGGAAGACACCTCCATTAGACATCTTTATGAATAACAAACTCAGATTTCTAATCTCCTTGTTTAGTTTTGAACTAAAAAACTTCTGATTACTCCGAATCATGGAGTTTTTCTTTATTCTTTTGTTGAAAATGGTTCAGAAAAAGCAAGAAATGGGAAGCACATAAACAGGAGGCTAAATGACTGTGGGTTTTGAGGCTTCTGTCCACTGTTTTGTTAATTATGATTCTTCCTGGGACTTAGGGATGTGCAGAGGTGTGTAGACTCCAGCTTTTGCAGTGTCACACAGCCAATATCAGGAGTCCTTGATAACAGTCCTGTATGTGGGTTCTTTTGTTCTGCTTATACATCTCCTGTATGTAAACTTCTCAGAGCTGAAAGCTTTGGGGAATGGTATACAATCAAAATCTTGTGCTTTCTTGTTTTTTTTTTTTGTTTTTTTTTTTGTTTTAAATAAAAAAAACTATCATTACTAGTATTTCACATCTACTTTCTATAGGAAAATTAATTTCTTTAAAAAAAAAAGGCAGAAAAAATGTTAATTATTTTTGTACTTACATGAATAAAAATTGCTGAAGATTAAATTTATTCTTTAACAGGGGAGAATTACTTTTAAAAATGAACAAGCCTCTGAAAGCTAAGGAAGCTTACCTTAGAGCTCTAGAACTAGACAGAACCAATGCAGACCTGTGGTACAACTTGGCAATTGTTTACATTGAACTGAAAGATCCAACAGAAGCCCTGAAGAATTTTAACCGAGCACTAGAACTCAACCCAACACATAAATTAGCATTGTTCAACTCAGCCCTGCTAATGCAGGAATCTGGTATGTTAGTTACTCCTTAAATAAATATTATGTATTTAGAGGATGCATATCACCTCTTTTTTTAATGAACTGGTTTATTTTTGAAAAGTGAAAGTTTGTAGCATCAAAGAAACTGTTTTTTGTAATAGTTGTCTTTGTCATTTTTTGGTAGTGTTTGGAATTTATGCAAAGTGTACATATACTATAGCTGATTAGCACATTTAAAACTAGTTTACAATAGAACATCTTATACATATAAAAATAGTGTTACACAAAACTCTTATTCAAAATTGTACCTATAAAATAGTGAAGTGTGTATAATACATTAGTATTTTTGTATGTATATTTTGTATTAGTGATAGTATTTGTATTAGTATTTTGAATGTATATAGTTTTGCATGTATATTGATTTTGTCCTTTCCTCATTGATTAAAAATCATCGACTTCTGTGGGTTTTAAGTCTAGTCTTGGGACATGTAAATGTTTTCAGTTTCCTCTGAAATATTTCTGATTAGTATGATTCAAGCTGGATTTTCATGATTTTGATTTTAGATGTTTAGCTTCTGCCTGTATGGGTAAATATGGCTGTCACCATACAAAAGCTGTCGCAAAACGTAATTAGGAAGTGACAAGTAAGGTTTGTTTCCCTTTTTCTTAGGGGTAATTTACCATCCTACCAAGAGATAATAGAGTTGATTGGAGCTGATCCAAATGGATTGTTCTTGTTCTTCATCTCTTTCCAAATTAAGTAGTACAAGAAACACCTTGTTTCTTGTCTGAAGTAGCACAAGGGGCTTCAAAAGAGCAGAAGTGTTAGTTTTCTAGTTTTGAGTAACCCATACTGGAAGAAGGTACAGGCAGGAAGGTGGAAGGAGGAGGTTAAAATCAGCTCCCTAATCCCCCATCCTTCAGTAAGTCTATGCCTGGAATTCTTTATTAAAATATATTCACTGAAATATTAACTAAAGTAGCACAGACTACAAGCTAGGATTCCTGCTATTATCAGACAAAATTATTTTTATACTTTTTAAACAACCTGATGCAAAACAAAATGAGTTGCAGATTTTGTTTTGACATGATAAGGTATTATAGCCTGGCTAAATCAGATATCACCCTATGTAATCTCGTATCAGTATTCTTTTCAATATGTCTTTAACAAAATGAAGTCTTCTTTTTGCTTCTATGAGAGGTGATTTGTCAGAACTGACAACTTCTCTGCATTCCAGTTGCTCACTCATACATGAAAATAACCTCTGTTAAACTTGTAGAGACGCCTTTTGTATCTGTTGTACCGAATCTAAATATAATTTAACAGATAATAGGATAATGATGCTAACTTTGGAGACAAGTCAGCTGTAAGTAGTTTTGTCCTGTAAAGGATGTAAATGTCATTTACTTTTGCTGCTACACTGCACAAATAAAAAGTAATATTTTAAACCCTTTTAATTTTCACAGAAGTTACATTTTAATTTGTGTAAGAATTAGCATTTTACTGGCCTGGCCTAAAAATAGTTCAGTATAAATCTAAATGCATTTTTTGTCATTTAGGTGATGCTCGGCTTAGACCCGAAGCTAAACAAAGACTGTTAAATTATGTGAAAGAAGAACCACAGGACGCAAATGGCTACTTCAATTTGGGTATGCTGGCAATGGATGACAAAAAAGATGTGGAGGCAGAGGCATGGATGAAGAAAGCCATAAGGTTACAGCCAAACTTCCGAAGTGCTTTGTTCAATTTGGCATTGCTTTATTCTCAGACATCAAAAGAATTGATGGCTTTGCCTGTCCTGGAAGACCTACTGAAATACTATCCTGATCATACCAAAGGTCTCATTTTGAAAGGAGATATCCTTATGAACCAAAAGAAAGATATAGTTGGAGCAAAACAGTGCTTTGAAAAAATTTTGGAACTGGATCCCAACAATGTACAAGGAAAACATAATCTTTGTGTAGTTTACTTTGAAGAACGGGACTTAATAAAAGCAGAAAAATGTTTGGTTGAAACTCTAGCTCTGGCACCTCATGAGGAGTATATTCAGCGTCATCTGAACATAGTTAGAAGTAAAATTGCATCACTTAGTGCTACAGAACAGTCATCACTTCCGGCAGATGGGACTGCAACTACTGCTGCAGAAGAAAAAAAAAAATCATTTCAAAATTTGAAAGAAGTAAAAAATGAGCAGAAAACCTCCCAAATGATAGCTGATAACAAAAAAGGACAATCAAAAAATAAGAAACGAACAGAGAAAAACAATATGGAAGAAGAGACTCCCAAAAAATCTACAAAAGAAATCAAAGATATTGAGAAAAAGAGAGTTGCTGCTTTGAAAAGACTAGAAGAGATTGAACGTATATTAAATGGTGAATAGTCTTTATCATGTCACAAAAGAGTACAGGAGGAGTGCTATTTTTAGGTGTTTAATATGGCCCAACTCGAAGATGGTTTCAGTGCTTTGGACGTATAAAAAATGTTGACTTCATATCATTTGGCAAGCAGTGAAAGTCATTGCAATGCTTTATGTGAGAACTACAAATTAAATACGATGTGGGGTATAGATGGGGATTAAAGAGTAATGGGTTGAGAATAATCTTAAATGCAGAATCTTATTTGAGAAAATAGTACTCAAAAATCATTGTAAGTCAGGGATATTCAGGAAGGTTACTTTCAAGGAATCCATGAAAAAAATGAGTGGTGAACTGATAGGATAAGCCAGACACTGCTGCTTTTCCACATAAAAATCTGTTTGGGTTAATGTTTTCTACATTTCCATTTTACACATCAACAGTTTAAATCTTTCTAGACCTTTGTTTGCTCTACGTGGAAAAGCATTTTTCTTTGTGTTATTTGTTTAGAGAGCTTATCAAAGTCAGTAAAATGCCACTGGTTGTTGTATGTATGTGTTAGACCATAGGATGATGCAGCAGCACACTAAAATTTTCAATTGTGTTCTAAATAAGGAATGATATGATAACCTTTTAATTGTTCTTTACTTACAGTGCTAATGGTTTGTACTGTTTTACCGAATAGAAATCTTATGGTGCTTGTAAGACCTTTAGTCTATGCTTTACTTTTAAAGAAAACATGTTTTTTCTTCAGCTATCAAACATCTGGTTGTTTTTTAAAGTATATATATGGGGGAAAGAAACAAAAAACATGTTTTTTCACTCTTTCCCCAGTTCGTTGAATGCTGACAAATGCACTTTTGGTACAGCAACCGATATGCTATGCAGTAGTCCTTGTCAACTTTGTATGGGTGACTGTGGATTGACTCTTTTGTCTGGGAAATTCTTCCTTGTTTATAGTAAATCGGCTTCATTGTTGGAACACTATTTTAAGTCTCATGACTTTTCACAACATTGATTTAAGCAGTGATTGCTTAGAACAATGTGATAATAATTAAGCCACTGAATTTTAGAAACGTTTAACACAAGGAAATGTGGATAGTGTGCTTCCAAATACTAAGTTCTGTTGTTTTGATACTTTGTTATGGGTGTGTGGTTTTTATTAAATATTTATTTCGACTACTAAAATATTCCCATTTACACTTATCCACTAATGCATAATTTTTATTTCCTACATGAAATTATTTGTTTGTATTTTCAGTGTTGCTTTTACCCTTGTGCTATGCATATATTTTTGTTTAAATATATTACCTATTACTGAAGTATGATGACTCCCTTAATTATGAGAAAGAATAGAAGAGCTGGGTGGAGAAAGAAGTATAAGAGATGGGTTCCTTAATAACTTAATCATTAAATCTAACTCTTACTCTCCATGTTTTATCTTATTTCACGATGTAGAAGTATTCCTTAGCAACCCTGTTTAACCATAGTCCTTTCTGTAACTACTCAGCTTTCTGCCTCTGGCAGTAATCCAGCTGTAAGATGTAATGTTTATCTTAGTGGGAGGGTTCTTAAATGTCTGAAGGCTTTGCAGGGACCTTTTCATTATTATGTATCATTTGTAATGTTACCACAACAATTGCTTGTATGTTAATAACTAGGAAAAGACTGTATGGATTTTTAAAAACATGATCTAAAATTTGTGGACATAACCAGGTACCTGGTGTGCAGCCATTCCTTATACATAGGTTTTAGTGTTCACTGTAACACCAGGAATCCATTGACCGCACCTTGAAAATTGCTGCTTTATCTTAATCTGTGCATAACTTGGATACTTGTAGCCAGAATAGTTATGTGGAGCTGTATAGAAACACTAAATTGCATATTAAATTTTCCCTCCTGACCTTTGTTTTACAAATGAATTAGTCATTGTTCTGGGTGATACAAAGGAACATTCATTTGAAAGTGGAAGGAACTGCGTAGCAAGAAAAGGTACTTTCTGTCTGGCTATGCAGGCCAAAATTCTGTTTTTGTTTTGGTTTTACTATTAAGAGTCTAGAATCCAGTTGCCACGCTGTTATCATTCAGTCTGTAAATCTGAGAGCTGAAGAGGCATGCTCTCAGGTTCAGCAGTTGAGCTGCTGTCACTCTGCTCTAATATTGGCCATACCATACAGGTAGCTGCTCTTCAGAGACTTGCAAGAGTTGTTAGATTTACTGACACTCAGATGTGCCATCAGTTTTAAATAAAGTCATCAGACTGGAATAAACTAGAGTATGCCAGTGGTAGGTCTTCCATTCTCTTACCAGGTTATATGTACCCTTTGTTTCTTCTAAAAACTGTAGTAAAAGTAAGTATTTTGACTACTGTCAATATGCCAAATTGTATTTATCCTATTTTAGGGTGTGTCAACCATTTTAAACTCACAGGAAGAATGTTACAGTAAGTTGAAGCTGTGTAACTGCTAAAAACAAACAGCAACAACAACAAAAGTCAAATTTTATGTTCATTCAAATCTGGTTTCTTTTAGTGCATTGAGTTTTATCATCTCTGAAGGGAAATAGCTGGTTATTATTAATAATAAAAACATTTCCCTACAAACAGGCATGTGCAAAGTGTTGCAGATTGAATTCACAAAGAATGGAGTGGGAGATAAATTCCTTTCAGTGTGTACTGCTGTTTGCCCCTTGGTTTGGCAATACTGGAAGAGAAAAAGTCAAGACGGGAATAAAGATAGAAAGATTGGTGTAGATGGAGGGTTACATATAAGGAAAGCAAGAAAATGTGGTACGTGTATGTTGCCATGGACTTTGAAATGTGAAGATTTTGTTTTCTGCTCAGTTGCAGAGGCTTACAGAATTGTACCTTATTTTGAAACAATGTAATTTCAATACATTTAAAAGGAAGATGATGCACTGAAATCTTAGGTGAGTCTTGGATTCAACCTGTGAAAAAATGCCTATGTAGCCTATAGCAACTTCTCATCCAGATCCTCATTCCCCACCAGCCTTCTGGTATGAACCAGACAGACTCACAAGCCTCCTGCTCTGAAGAGACAAGGTTCTCTTTGCCCGTAGGATGCAAGAGATGCACATTCTTTGTTTTCCTGGAGCTACAGGACTGTTGTCACCATGTTGCTCCTAAATCAACATGAAACACTGACAAAAGTATGTTATTACTCTGCCTTTTTCGTTTACCAAAAATAGCTAGGCTGAATAGGGCCTGTGGGATACTGAGGCGGCTTCCCATTTAATGGGACTTCAGAACAAAGCATGGACCTGCTTTCTCAGTGGGTGTTGTCAGTTGCAGAAGTTAAGTGCTTCAAAAGCTGCTGAAACATTTTGGCACTGTACATATAGGCTGTCCAGCCCAGCATCCAAGCAGATTCCCCTTCTTCACATCACAAGACTAAGACTCACTGAGAGCAGCTTTTTATATGCAACAGTTCAGTCTTCTGCTGCTTCAGTGTCAGATGAGGTTTTTTCAATAGCAAACTGTACCTTCTACATAAATGTAAAGCTGCCCACGTGCCTGCTTCCAGGGTACAGAGCTAAAGGCTGAGCATGCAGGCTTGTGGCATTTGTTTCTTCCTGAAATTTCATTTGGAAAGGCCCAATGGAGATCAAAACAATTCTGGGAAGTTAGCAGCCCGCCCCGGGCTCTTGCATAGTTTGCATCCCACAAAGGCACAAGGAAGGGTCCCATATTGGGCAAGTGTATGTGTCAGGGACTTTTTTGTGCAGAGGTTCTGTGATCATCCACCTCTGCCTAGCCAAATGCATAGAGCTGCTGCAGCAGAACCTGCTCCTCCTTGAAGGACCTGCTTCAGCCTATGCCATGTAACCAAAATTGTGCCTCTTTGACCTTCATCCTTGGAATCCTGCTTTGCATAGGAAAAAAAAGCCTGGAAATGGAAAGGCTGGAAGACACTTCTCCTTTCACCCATCCTTCACCTCACTTCCTCTACATACAAAGCTTTAGCACTCTTCATGTTTCATGCACTCTTCGTGTTTCAGCTGAGCAAGAAGAGCCTGTCCCCCCAAACCTCCAACTTAGCTTACAAAAAAGGTAAGTAAACCACTCCTATTTGTGATCAAAATAGCATAGCTTGGTAGTTTACATGTATTCATATGCTACATTCAATTAAAAAAAAAAAAAAAAGATAAATACCAAATTATTTTTATAGTATTCGGTAAGTGGAAGCAAAACCAGTAACCAGTATTATTTCAAAAACTTGCAAACTACTTTTTGTGGTCTGATAGTCCCCTTCTACAAACCAGTGGTTTGCACACAGCATGTATGTGTCTTTCACAAACACACGGGGGAAAAAAAAAATGGAAAACCATACACCTGTCTCTGTCAAAACAAAATAAGAGAAAAAAAAAATGAAAAACAAAACAACAACAACAAAAAGAACCTTCTACATAATTATTCTTGGATGGGAAGACTGTAATATACTCTAACTTTCTTGAGCTAGGAAAGAGTTACGGCTTTGATAAAATGTCCATACAGAGGCACTAACAAGTTTTACAGAAGGTTTGGAGGTTACATGCTTATTTGGGTGAGCTGTCTTTTTCAGATGTGAGCAGAAAGAAAGAAATATAATGTGTGGGTCTTTGGGGCTTTGTGTGAGACTACACCTTGATGTGGGAAAATCTACATATGCTAATGAGTGAAAGGGGCTGTGCTGGCAGGAACTGTAGTAACTGGTAGGTTGACAATACAGACAAATAGGTATATTTTTTATTCTTTTTTGGGGGGGTGGATAAAATAAGCTTTATATGAGGTCATTAATTCTGAGTCTTTTCTGAGATGAAACTTTTACAAATGTGAAGCCTGAAGGATTCTGGATAGAATATAAGTAATCATTAAAATAAAGCAACTTGTTCAGATTTCCTACACCTATTCAGCATATACTTTTGTTCCTTGCGTGTAGTTACCAGCATATTGTCTTAAATACACGTAGCAAGGTATTTTTAATTCATGTGTATTCATCCACACACAATGAGAGTAGGTGGAGGAGGAAAATACAACAATTACAGGATGTCTTACCAAATGTAGAAGTAATAATTTTTGATTTTTAAAATACCATCTTGAACATATTCTCACCTTTATTTGGTTTGCAATTGTTAACCCAGTCCTACATTTTTGTTGTACATGATCACCATTAAAGCAGGATGCTGTAGTACTAACTTGCCAGTACTAAAAGCAAGTTCACGACAGCTGATGCTTTCACAAGGGGATCAGTTTTTACCTTTCCTCAGCCTTCAGTTGAATAACAGAGCCTTGCTTGTTTGTTTGGGCACACTGTATGTTTCACTTATAGGCTACCAGAAATCACGCATCTCATTTGGCAAGGTATGGCAGTTTATATGTAGATGTATGGTGCCTGGTGCCTACGGCAGGGGAATTGGAACTAGACGACCTTTGAGGTCCCTTCCTGTTGTATGATTCTGTGTTAAACATGTGCCTCCTCCTTAGCAGATAAAGACAGCCTGATTTATGTTGTTCAGCACACCTGAAAGCTGTAGCGGGTGGAAGTGAGGAAGCCAATTTATAAGAAGTGTTAAGTGTAATTGATATCCAATAAGTATTATAAAAGGCATGTTTTAACTGCTGTGCTCAGAAATTATGCAGAACTATGGTCTTGGTTAAAAAAAAAAAAAAAAAAAAAAAAAGTTTATCAAGAAGATTTTTGCCTTGAACAATTTTCAAACAGTTGAATAGTTTCATGTCTGCAATGCTGTTTTTTCTTCAGTTCTGTACATAAGCACTTAACTATTTATTCTGCAAAACTACAAGCAAATAAAACAGGCAAAAGGAGATATTTGGAGCTTAATACTCAGGAAATTCATTCATCTGTTTCTACAGATATAGCAAGAGAATTAATTTGCAAAAATGTTCATGAAAACATTTTTTAAAAAATGTTTTGGAGTAATTTAATTCTGATCCATATGCATGAAAGAGTTTTGTTAAAATATGACATTGTGCATTGTACAAAGATAAAAGAAACAAAGAAATTACAAAGATTTTAATTTCAATTGAGAAATTTAAATGATTCTTTAAGGTTTTCCAAGGATGTTTCAGTTATTTGTGTTAGTTTAAATTCATAAGATTTCATTTACTTTCTTTTGATCATCTTTCTTCTTCACCTTTGTTTTGTTCTTGCCCTGTCTGCAGGACCTTTTCCTCTTCTTTCCAGCAGCTTTTTGTTTCTTGTAAACTGATCATTCAGTTTACAAACACAAGACAAATTCTATATGCATAAAGTATACTTAATACCTAGGGATTCTCTACCCTAACTACAAACCATCTCAACTTCAAAGTTTAAAAAACCCGTCATGTAGTTGTTTTTATTATATGCTGTTGCTTCTTCAGTTCAAAATGAAATGCTATAAAGGGACTGAATGTTAGGTTGAAGTGAGGTAACAGACTATTTCTCGGATACTTTTAGTTACTATTTTTGTTCTCTTATATTCTTTCATTTCCCTGGCATTGGTACTTTCTCACACTGCCAGTACTTCAGGACAGAGGCTGTAAAGACAAAAAAGAAAAAAAGAGAGGAGCTAACTGAAGGTTTTAAAGTCTTCATGTATTTATCACTGATAAACATCTTCAGTGTTCTGCTTTTGTTGTTGTTGTTTTAAATATATATATTTATAAAATCACATATGTAAGTCTTTGCTAAAGAACTGGAATGTTGTCGTTTCAACTTTTGCTAGGAGGAGTGCTCATTTCTCTTTATTATTGAAAGCTATTATCATTGCTTTTTGGAACAGCAATGTAGAAAAACATCTTCAGGCAGTGATGACCAAATTACTGTTTCAGGTTATTACCTATTATGGAGCAGTCACATAAATCATGAAATGGTCAGCTATGTTATATCTTGTGGTTTGGTTTGTTTACTGCCCAAGGTCTGGCAGTATTTTGAGGAGGTAGCAGTTACCACTTTGCTTCCAGGGGCAGCAACTGTTTGTGCTATTGTTTGTCTGCAATCCTGTTACCACTTCAGAGGTGAAAGCTGTTACCTTTGTACTTGTTATCTTTGTACTTGGTCCATCTTGTTAAATGGAGGAGCAGAGGTAGAGTCAACAAGATTGCAAGAAGATCATGATACAATAGCTGATGTATGGATAAGGATGAAATTAGGAGGCATCATTCCATATTTCCGTCCGGTGTTTAGCTCTTTACAGTTAGTTTTCCTTGAAGTTGTAGTAACAACTTTGCTACAGTTCAGCCAAGTAAGAATATAAATCTTAAGTACCTGTCTAATCCATGTTCTCCATGTGACAGGATAAATTGCAATGCTCTTAGTAACGTTGCTAGCAGATACAGCCTCTGACCTGAGATCATCATCATAAAAGTATGTAATGATCTAAATTTTAAAATAAATAAAACCATTGCTTCCATTATATGTTGGCAACTGTCAATAAAGCATCTAAAATCATACAAAGCTTCTTAATTCTTTTGAAATATGAAGATTTTTACAATATGGTTTAACATCCCTCCCTGCCTGTAGGTTTCTTGATCAGAATTTGTTTTCTTCAACTGCATAATGAGAAAAAAAAATGTCAAATCCCATACTCAAAGTTTTGGTTTTGTTTTTTAATGTAATTTAGGATTGTTTTACTTATATACTGAAAAGCCTATGTGTATAATTGCAGCAAACAGTGAAATTGCTGTGAAGGCCACTTTCAGAATATCACAGACAGGAAAGGTTTAAGAGCAAAAATAATCATCTAAAACTTTTTAACTCAAAGTTACAACTACTGTATCAAGAGCTGTTTACTCCACAGATTTCTAGGAACTTGAATATGTATCACAGAAATATCACTTCTAACTTGCTTTTCACTTTTCTTCTTTCTCTAAGCATTCACTTTTGGAGTCTGAAAGTGGGTTACATATGCTACAGTCTAATTTGGGGTGGCTGCTCTTAAAAGGAATTCTGCCATGTACCCAGTGTGGCTGGGGGCTGTAACATATGATGTGAACAGAGGCTGAAGAAGCTGGGTTTGGTTTTCATAAAGACAAGACTACAGGGACATTTTATTGCAATCTTCAACTCTCTGTAGGTAGTTGCGCTGAAGCTGCAGCCAGATTCTCCTCTGTGTTGCAGAGCAAATGTAATGGGCACAAGCTGCAACAAGGAAAATTCTAATTAAATGTAAGAAGAAAAAAAAAAAAAAAAAGTTCTTCAAGAACAATCACTAAAGTGGAGTTCTGAGGTCTCCATGTTTTGGAGATTTCAAAACTTTCCAGGAGTTAGATATGATCAGCCAGGTCATACTTTGAAGTTATTTCTGCTTTGAGGAGGGGGTTGGGCCTCCAACTCTGGTTACTCTCATTCTGTTCTGTGGTTTTACTTGCATTATTTTGTGCACCAACATGCACCTTACAGTTACTTCATACATTGCCTTCTTGGTTTATGGAAGTGTGCACTTTTCTTGCACGCTTCCATACTCCACTCTTCTCATCATTACTATTTGTGTATAGTCATGCCGTTCAGAGGCACATCACCCTTTGCCAGGTCACAGGCTCTTCAGCTGTCACATCCTTGCACACCCAGGACTGTGCTGGCCACCTGTTTCAGCAGAGCTGAAGCAAATCATTTTTTGGAGCAAAGCAGAGGTACTGATGAGAGCAAAGATCTTTGAAATGCCATTAAACACAAAGTAATAGGTTCAATTTCTGTTTTAGGATCTTCCTATTACCAAAACCTGGTAGGATATACCTAGAGCAAAAATGCATACTTGCTATATTCCTGAACTTCTTCCTAAACTTTTTGTCTAGACAGTTGGCAGTAGATACAGTCAGAAACTGCCCAGGAAGTTAAATGGGCTTTTGTTCTGACTCATGCCATAAGAAACATTACTATTAACTTCAAAATCACTAGAGAAAAAAAGAAGAAAAAAATTGACTGGAGTAACATATATCAAAAAAAAAAAAAAAATCCATCCTAATCTCAGTTGTGGATATAAATACAGATGAAGATCTTGTCTACAATGCTTTTGGACAGATAAATGTTATGGAACTTCACAGATAGAGACTAGAGATCAAATACTAATAATGTGGTAAGTCTTGCATATCTGTGTACATCTGGCTGGAAATTTGTTGGTTAAATAGGCTGTGAACCTGCAAAGGGTGAGATTAGTTAATTAAATAAAAAATAAATAAATAATTAATTAATTAATTTAAAGCATCTTGCTGACAAAATAAACTTTGCAGGAGAAGAAAAAAAAACTACAAACTGATTTATGTTCAATTAAATGGAAATATGGGAAATATGAAGTAGGCCGATTTCTGAAGTCTGGTTTGCAAAGGACAGATTTTTCTTGAAGGCAGAGTTGCACTAAGACAAAAGGATAAATTAAATATATGGAGTGTGTATTAAATATGTTGTGTTTGTAAAACATAAAGTTCTGTGTAGATTAAGACACTATTTAATAGTTGATTTAACAGGTGAAGAAAATTCTTGATACTGTCTTTCTGCAATTAATCTCTGGAGAAAATACTAGCTAAATTACAGTTAAGAAGTAATAGAGTTATTGGAGAGCCAATAAAAGCCATCCGAAGGGAAAACAGCCACAGGCAGCCCTGGAATATACAGCAGCACAGTAGTTAGCAGAAAAGTTAATAAGAACTTGCTACTCAACTTGTTCAATCTTGTCCAATTGTCAATTAATAGTCCTGGTAGAAATACAGTGAAAATGCTGATTGTACCAGTTGACAATATAAATTTGTACGTGCTGTCAGGACAGGATAAGATGCTGTATAAAATCACTTATTAGGTCTGGATTAGTAAAAATGAGATACAATTCAATAATAGATAATGACGTGCTCTGGTGCTGGTATCAAAATTCTGTTGAAATCTGGAGGTTTGTTCTTAAAACAAACAAACAAAAAAAACGACTCTGGAAATTTCCTACACAGCAGCATAAATGACTTCTGTAATTTAGCCAGAAAATAAGGTGAATGTGGTGAAGCTATCTCCAGTAGAAACAGAGTTGTTTCTACTACAAAGATACTGTTGATGCTCATCTGGAATATTAACTTACTTTTGATTACCTATGTCCAAGGTTGATAAATACAAACCAAGACAAATACAGAAAATCTCTGCTGGGTGAATAGGGAAAGCAGGAGTCTTATCTTCTAGATAAGAGGTAGAACATGTTGTCTGAAGCTAAACAAGTCAAACGGGAATGTGGTTATCAACATACTAAGTAGGAGGTTAAAAACTGGAAGAAAAAAAAATAAAAAAAAAAGGAAAACTACCATTTAGGCTAAAAGCCAATGTTTGTACAAGAATAAAAAGGAGAAAACTATTAACAAACTCAGTCTGGAAATAAGGCAAAAAGCGGACTCTCAGAACAATATATTTGTGACTGTCTTTCAGAAAACAAAAAAATCACAACAAACCCCCCAAACAAAAGCCATGAACAATTTTGAAAGTGAGTGCATTAGATGCTGCCTGTGATAATAAAGAATAAAATTTTCTGACCTAGCAGGTTCACTCTAATTTCATACTTCCTTAAAACACCCTGAGCTAAAATAATAATAATAATAATAATAATAATAATAATAATAATAATAATAATAATAATAATAATAATACATATGTTTAAATTGGAGATGCTCTTGTGAAAGTAATTATGCCTATTGCAAACTGACATATTTTGCT